GTTGTCACCGGTGTCACTGTTGTCGGCATTGTCACCATTGTCACTGTGGTTACTGTTCTCACTGTTGTCACCGTTGTCGCTGTTGTCACTGGTGTCACTGTTGTCGTCATTATTAGAGTCGTTTCTGTTGTCACTGTTGTCACCATTATCACTGTTATCACCGTTGTCACCATTGTCACCGGTATTACTGTTGTCGGCGTTGTCACTGTTGTTGGCGTTGTCATCGTTGTCACTGTTGTTACTGTTGTCACCATTGTCACCGGTGTCACTGTTGTCGGCGTTGTCACCGTTGTCACTGTTGTCGCTGTTGTCACCGGTGTCACTGTTGTCACCGTTGTCACTGTTGCCACTGTTGTCACTGTTGTCACCGTTGTCGCTGTTGTTATTGTTGTCTATGTTGTCACTGTTGTCACCGTTTTCACCGTTGTCATCATCGTCACGGTTGTCACCGTTGTCACTGTTGTCACCGTCGTCACCGTTGTTACGGTTGTCATCGTTGCCACTGTTGTCACTGTTGTCACCGTTTTCACTGTTTTCACCGTTGTCACCGTTGTCACTGTTGTCAGCGCTGTCACTGTTGCCACTGTTGTCACCGTTGTCCCTGTTGTTGCTGTTGTCACTGTTGTCACCTTTGTCACTTTTGTCACTGTTGTCATTGTTGTCACCGTTTTCACTGTTTTCACCGTTGTGACCGTTGTCACTGTTGTGACCGTTGTCACTGTTGTGACCGTTGTCACTGTTGTTACTGTTGTCACTGTTGTTACCGTTGTCACTGTTGTCACTGTTATCACCATTGTCACCGTTGTCACTGTTCTCACCGTTGTCACTGTTTTCACTGTTGTCACGGTGGTCACCATTGTCACCGTTGTCGCCGTTGTTAGCGTTGTCACGGTTGCCACTGTTGTCACTGTTGTCATCGTTGCCAGTGTTGTCACCGTTGTCACTGTTGTCATTGTTGTCACCGTTGTCACTGTTGTCACTGTTCTCACCGTTGTGACCGTTGTCACTGTTTTCACTGTTGTCACTGTTGTCGCTGTTGTCACAATTGTCACCGTGGTCACTGTTGTCAGTTGTGACCGTTGTGACTGTTGTCACTGATGTCATTGTTGTCACTGTTGTGACTGTTGTGACTGTTTTCATTGTTGTCACTGTTTTTGCCGTTGTCACAATTTTCACCGTTGCCACTGTTGTCACCGTTATTGCCGTTTTCACCTTTGTAACCGTTGTCACTGCTGTCAGCATTGTCACCGTTGTCACTCTTTGTCACTGTTGTCACCGTTGTCANCGTCATTTCGCGGAAAAACAGTGGTGGCGTCGCGAAATGTCGGCTGTTTTCTCAGGCTACGAGTTCTGAAACCTGCCATGTTATTCTATCAGAGAGAACCCAGAGGTACATGTACAAACCATTTTTGAGCTATTTTGAAAAAATAGCTCATATGTCAGTGATGTGAGCGTATGTATCTTTGTGGCTTTGTAACTTTGTATGTTTGGATCTTTGTTGCAAGAGCCAATAAGGTTGAAGGTACTATTAGTTGATGCTTAGGAACCAATGAGATCTTAGCATCTACTTAAACATGATATTGGTAAAGGTCGAACAAGGGCACTTTGAGACCGCCATCTTGATGTTTCACAATTTTTTCGTCTTTTATTACGGCTACAGGTGTTTGTAAACATTATATTAAATATCTTCATTATTCAAACGCTGTGTACAGTGATGCAGCTGTTTAAGGGTTCATATTTTAGTATGGATGCAGCTGGATGCTGCGTTAAGGCATTTCTGACCTAATTCGGCTATCGGTACAACGCACGTCAGTATGAGTTCTGTTTCACCTGCTACAACTGGGTAGAGTGTAAAAGATCATATATTTTCAAAGCTCTTCCAATGAAGCAATAATTGATATTTAGATATAGACTTTAATTCGAAAGTATGCGCCCTATAAAATGTGGTTTTAGAAGTTTAAAAAGGCAGCTTATTTTTGTGAAAGCTGTACCGAGTATTGTTAACCCTGTAAACAAGCTTTAAAAATATTATTCTCTCGCTTACAAAGTTCAACAGACCTTTTCCGTTCTGGCAAAACAAAACAAAAAAAAGAATAATAAGTGAACAACATGATACATCCTTCCTGCATACTAAGTATTATAGTTTCTGAAACGTATTTTATTTAGTAAAGATGCGTAACTTAAGTAGAAACAGTAGGGTTAGGGAATAAAATTGGAAGAAGCTAGTTGACACAATAATTAGATACTGTTGTATTGAGTGGAGTAACATGATACAAGCAGAAATATATTTCGGCAGTTTGATAATTTTCTTGAAAGTTAATAAATGTTAGGCTATCAACCTTGATATTGCATGAAACATAACATAATTGCAGATGTTGTAATAAAGCCGAGGTGATTTCTTAAAATCGCTTGAGAAAATTTTGTAGTAAAACAATTTGCCGTTTTTTTACGTACGAATTGTACAAGGTGCCAAAGACCAACATCTTCACATGCAAATTGTGTGCATGAGTTATTTTTATAATTCTGTTTAATACTGTGTGATAACTCGAATTCCCTCACGTACGAACCACGAAAGGGGGCAAAGTCCAACACTTTCACGCGCCAGCTGTGTGACTGTACATCTTATGCAGATTGGCTTTTCACAATAATAATAGTAACTTGGACGTATGAAGACCTGCTTCGTTTAGTAACCAATGCCCTAAAAAAGGCTCTTGTCTTTTAAGAAGCAATAGCTTTTAAAACATGAAGAAATAAGTTGTCGGAGTTAAAGACTGTGTCACAATTAATAAATGTTAGGTAATCAACCTTGACGTTGCATGAAACTACTTAATTGCAGATGGTATAATGAAGCCGAGGTGATTTCTTAAAATCGTTTGAGAAAATTTTATTGTAAACAATTTGCCGTTTTTTTTGTACGAATTGTAAAAGGGCCAAATACCAACATCTTCACGTGCAAATTGTGTGCAAGAGTTATTTTATAATTCTGTTTACTAGTTTATTGTGTGATAACTCGAATTCCCTCACGTACGAACCCCGAAAGGGGGCAAAGTCCAACACATTCACGTGCCAGCTGTGTGACTGTACATCTCATGCAGATTGGCTTTTCACAATGATAAATAGTAACTTTGACGTATGAAGACCTGTTTCGTTTTGTAACCAACGCCTTAGAAAAGGCTCTTGTCTTTTAAGAAACAATAGCTTTTAAAACATGAAGAAATAAGTTGTCGGAGTGAAAGACTGTTTCACTGAGTAGAATCGCACGTGAAAACCTCGTGAATTATGATGATGCAACCATCTACCACAATGATAAAAATCCTGGTATTTCGTAACTATTCAGTATTCGATGAGTCACATTTTGGCTTAAGAAACTCCGAGGAAACCTTAGAGTTTTCCTTCTAATCAACGTTTGGTGAGTAGAAATTTATTTTACTTTTACAATTTGTTTAACTTGCACCAGATGTAACAGGGAAAGACAGAGGAAAGTGAATATATAGGTTGAGGATCGACTCAGCTGAGCGTTTCGCATTTTCATTTATGTAGCGCAATACCCAATTTCGCACAAAAACCAAATCTACATTTAGGATGAAAAAGGTAGATTCATCACTCTTGGTAAGTTTACACCGAAGTATTATAGTTACAATGAAGCAATCACAATAGCTCATGCACGTTTAACGTGCCTATGTTGTTATATAGTTATGATTAAAAGTGAAAATGAATCGTAGTAAACAGTTACCCGCACTGACAAACAACTTGTAAATGGAATCAACCAAGACTAAATACAAGAGAACAGCTGCATGGACAACTGGCAATTTGACTAACAATAAATAACTGTTTAGCTGTGACAATAGATGGATTAATTGAAACACACCAATGACATTACAAGTCCTCATAGCACAGATGACCTATAAAATGGTGACTTAATTGACCAATCAGGTCGATAACTGGAGTTTAATACCATCAACTGACACTTACAACTCGATCACTTTGACTCTGAAGATGACTCCCGTACAGGTGGTTGAAATGTCTGCTGGGTTCAAACCTTTCACAGTTTTATTATTTGTCTTGAAAAAATTCCATAGTTTTGTACATGTGGAAATTGTCAAACAATACTATACTACTACTTTACACCCCCTTCCCAGTGGGGGAAAAAAGACCAAAACAAAAATTTACACATATTAGTCATTTTTACAGGATTAATCAAAGGTAAGAAGTATATTTACAAACATGTAACTAAATCCACTCAGTGTGACTGACTCAGTGTGCCCTATGCTTCTGTGAGGTCATCATTAAAGTATAAATGCATGGCAGGTAGAAATTGTTCATTGTTCATTCTCAGTTTGTAAAACTCCTCACTTTCATCAACGACTCCATTCTCCTCTAGGGTCTTGTTCATGTCCAGGTTCCTCCCATTGTATTTCCAAGTATAACTGGCTGCATGTGCATTGTACTTGAGATAACGATCTTGGATTTCACTCAGTATTTCCTCTGAACAAACCTGTGGAAAGATATTTACACAGGTAGGCTGGGCAGTGGTGGGATCCAGGTCTATGTACAAAAAGATATGTGGTAGTAGTATAGTTTCACAAGCTCAAAAAAAAAATTGTATTCACTGCATGCTGCGATGTTCCCTTTTAGAAATAACACATTGCCCAGAATCACGCGACATATCGAGGAAATTTAAGCGCACTCTGAGCGCCAAATTTGAAATGATGATCAGCGAACCGAGGCCAGAACAAAGAAAAAACGGCCAAAACTGTTCAGAGTGGCTCAAGTTTTACACTTTTTTGCCTTAACTATATAAAAATTATTAGTGTCAGCATATAGATTTTGTAGAAGAGACGTCAATAAAAAATACAAGACCGCTGGTGACTCTTTAGACCTTGTAGAAGTTCTGACTTTTTGCTTTGAAAATCGACTACTTTAGTCACTATTTTGCATGGGAGGTCACGTTTGAGGCTAAATATCTGTTCGGCAAGTCACTTTATTCATGCGTCAGCATGTGGCTATGTTAGTTTGACCACTAACATATACCAAGAGAGAATAATATTCTTTCTTGCATTTACTTCACCTCATTCGTCTTACAAATAGAAAAACTTTATTATTTTTAACTCCGCGACCAACGCAATGGAAAACAATCGAATAAAAGAGCGCGTCTTTTATATGAGCTGCTTTGACCGGTTTACGAAACTGAAACGCAACGATGAAATAGGGGTAAGTGTTCCGCTCATTTCTTTTGCCATTTGACAAATATTTGTCTGGCCGTCGCACGCAGTCAGATCTAATACACTTTACGCATTAAACCGGTACGGTGATTGACAGCTACCGATTCTTTTACGAGAGTAGTCGGTCTTTAGCTGGCTTTCTGAAAGCTTATTTATTCAGTTATTATGCCGCACATTAAGAAACTGTGCACCGTAAGTACATGTTGCAAAAGACAGTAGCATTCTAGGCGATGAAAAATTATTTTTGTAATTTCTAAAAGTGAACATAAAAGCAATTGTCATTATTTTGATGATTGACAAGTATTTTATACCTTGCATGATGATAATGACAACATTATGTGCAAATTATGTTTCCCCCCCCCTTTTTATTTTTTCTTACCAGTTAACAAATTTACCGGACCATGTGTATTATAAATAACATACTGTAGTGTAATTTTTATAGCCTGCAAATTATGAATGAATGTTATTATTTTGGGGATTTTACCATACATGTGAGTGAAAACAAGCATAAAGGAAGCATGGAGCGATTCTGCACACACTGATGTTCAGACCTTTGCTCACCAGCAAAAAAGAACAGAAACATGATAAAATTAGCTGTTCTGCATGCTTGGTATTATTGTTTGAGCAGTCACTCATGTTATTTGTTTTGTAAGACTAATTAATACCTCAATGCATTGCTCTTGTGAAGTCAGTGTGTTGATAATTTTGATTTTCCTAGTTACAGCTGAAAGCACGCCAATGCAGTATGATTCATCTTTCCACCATGGACGACCAAAATCATTTGCCCAGTCTGTTCTGGGACACCTTGGAGGTGTGTGTATGAAGCGTCCTCTTGGAGTGTAGTAGAATTTGCACTTTGTTACAGGGTCAATGTGGGTTCGAATCTGGGCCAAATGAATGTCAAAAAATCCACCTAAGTCTTAAAATATATAATCTTCTAGTTTAGGACAAAGTGATACAACTGTTTAGGGGAGATTTGTATGACAAATTTGGAGAACAGAGGTTGAGTTTGTACCAAGAATGTGTAGTTCCAGAGGATATCCATATCCCCATGGAGGGCAACAGAATTCCGAGGGGAGGAGGGGTCCAAAAGAGGGCAATTTCCAAGGGCGTGGGGGGGTACTTACAGAGGTTTTTCCCCAGTGGGTCTGAGTAAGATTACTGAGTTATTAACAAACAAGAACGCTCTTAATATCGGAATTAAGTCTCACTTGCTTGGAGATTAGACAAGAAATGAGGAGGCGATTAATTCTAGATGAAACAGGATTTACTCGCCAAAGGTTTTTCACTTCCCACTTAATTGGTGGTCGAGTGTTCTCCAGGATATTTACTTTTTATATCATATTCGACAATTTGTTTCTGAATTGATTTAGTATGTGTGTTAGTGATGAATGGAGATTTGTCTGCATCTATATGCATTAATAATAAGGAAAGTTCAAGGGCCTTGATTCGAGAGAAATACATCACTGCCAGAGATGAGAACATGGTATGTCATTTCAATCATTACCAAAAATAAACCGCATGCTCATCACAAGACTTATTTGCATACAATAAAAGTTAAAACACCCTACCAGTTAGCCTTTGCTAATTAAGATTTTTTTCCGACCACTGAAGTTAATCACTGAAGTTCACTTGTTCTAAAGTTATCAACTCTTTCAAGTGATAGAATTCGTGGACTGGCCTGTTCTGGAAAAGCTCTAAATCGCATTTATTAATCTTTCCTAAACTTTCTTCCCAAACATGCTTGGCTTCTGTCACACAATAATTCTTATTCACAGTTTCCATGGTCTCCATGGGAACCCCAACCGCCCTATTGTGTCCTAAATAAGAAGAAAAACGGCTTGCAGATTATGAGTCTCGCTGCTTACGCAAGCGAGACTAATAACAGCTCCTTTGTGGAGTAAGCTAATATCAGTTATTTTACTGTTACAGGTGTTTCAAATCAAGTATTATTGTTTGCATTGATCATCTTTAATCTACGGTCGGCTAAATGCTTTTTTCACAGCTGTGATAGTTTCATGGGGTTTTTAGTTAATTTGAATGTAACTGGTTCTTTTGCAGATGAAATTATTCGTGTAGTCCGTAGTATAAGGTATCGCCTCTATGGTTAATTATTAATTAAGAATGTCCTTGAGGTTATTAGACATCATATTAACATGAATGAAAAGTTTTGTCATTTTATCTTAGAAAAAATTATCTTTCGCATAATAATATAGTGCAACAACATTTTTGACACAAGTATTCTTTCCAGAGGGTATGTACTGTACAAAGTTGAATAATTACAGGGGGGGGGGGGCGGGGGGAAAATTCAGTTAACTCTGAGAAGCCACTTGGATAAGTTAATTATTATGCACTTGATGTCAGTAGCAATTTTAGTTAGGATGGTTTAGACAATTTTGTTACGATGACAAATTAAAAGGCTAGGAGTATGATTGAAATTGAAATAATGGTGCAAACAAGCCATTCAATAGCTTATCATTTTCGTTGACAGGGGAACCTGGAGGATCCTTTTTTGCAGCACGGTTGGAAATATCAAAGCTTAAAATAACCACCATATACACATGATACGTACATCTTTTGTTTTCTTGTCAAACCAGTGGCTAATGTCCTTTCCTGCAGCTTCAATGACTGGTTTTAAAAGAACATCACCTTAAACAACAACAACAATCAGCAGGTGAAGATCAGACCTATTGTTCCCATGTGACTGTCACTTAATAAGGCTTTAGAGAAGTATGAGTTTGTGAGTTGACTAACATGCTAGCTCAATATGGTTACAGCACTGAGCTGACATTGAAAAGGTCGGACTTCAAATCCCAGGAAGCCTGGTTATCGCAGAGGTCAAATTTTTTAATCATGGCAAGCTTGAATTTTTTAACGCTTTCTTTTCCAGCTGCATAAGTTGCAACTTTTTGACTGCAATCTTTGCGTTTACACTCTGTTAGGTGAGACAATGAAAACCTTAAATAAAATATACATGTAGTATCAATGAAGGAGCTTTATTTTAAGGCACAGAAAAATGGGCAACAAAAAATGTGCAACTTGTCCTTCAACATTGTTGCAAAACGAGTTAAATAGAGATGGTGCGCATTTTACCACCCACATCAAACCTGTCTAGCATTACAAATCAGGTTGTCAACAGGTTTGAACGTGGGTGGTAAAACGTTCAACATTGCTATTCAACTTGTTTTGCAACAATGTTGCAAGACAGGTTGCACGTGTTTTGTTGCCCATTTTCCCATACCCTTATCACATGTTCTTCAGATATTTTGTAAACGTTCATCTCACAACTCCATTCAAATATTCAAGACTACTGGTCATGCATGACAGAGCAAAGTTTTCCTGGGTAGGCAAGTTATCCCTAGCAGAGCATAATTTACAGGGCAGGTAGGGTATTACCCATGGCACTTGGGTTAAACCCTAGCACTCAGCTATAATATTGTAGGGTTACCAGGGATGTAGCTATGTGTATGAAAAAGCTTGGCTTATGATGTCGTGATTAACCATTTTGGGGATCCGTGAATCGTGATGTACTGAAAAACTGTTCTGTGAATCACGATTGAAGTGCACTCCGTGAAACCTGAATTAACTGCCAAAATTAAAAATCCTTGATTGTTTATACGTACTGTACATTGAAGATCAATTTGAAGAAAATAAATCATTAATTTGGCCAAACGACCGTAACTAGCACTTGATGGCTTGATTTAACTTCACTTTTGAGTCTTTTGATGTAACTTCACACTTAAGTGTGCAGACCCATCTACAGCTGGTTTCCCTAGGGAATTAATAGCTGCGCGGTGTTTTTCATATTAGGCTCGTAAAACTCTAGTTAACTTGCTAAAATATAATCAAAGCACTCTGTTTTGCAAAATGGGACTAACGTAATGTTTCTGACATTTTGTACGACCACTATTTTTGAGAAGTGAAAAGACATAAATATTTGTTTCGTGACTCGTGAAACACAAGATTGTTGTTCATGAACTCGTGATGAAGACCCCCCCTAATGCCCCCCCTATCAATCAGTTCCACAATCCTGGAAAAAGCCTTTCGCAAAAATGCTGTCCAGTTGTTTTAACCTTTAAAACATATCCACCATGCACGAATCTTGTGAGAATTCTTGCGAGTTAGCTCTTGGTTTTTAAGAGGTAAACTGTGATTGACTAATGTCCTGCATCACAGAAATCATTCGGTGGCTCGGGTTCGCAGACGTTTTTTTTTAGGTGGAGAGAAGTGACAACCACAAAAATATCTGTATTTGTAGGCTAACCAGTACGAGGTTAGTTAACCTCTTGCTTACAGACCAAAATGCCAGTATGACTGCCAAATTCGTCTACATTCAGTCTTGAAAACCCAGTTCAGAAGTTAATAAATTTTACAAGCCGATAAAATTAATAGTTTATAAACTAATATTTGGGTTTCACGCAAAATAGTGCATGTAGCATTTCACACGTCCTCTTATGGTCACTGCCAAAGTTTTTCAACCCGTCAAATACAAAATTTCTTAAGTCGCTCTTAAAATACGTTTAAGGATAAAAACATGTTATCCTTCAAAAATACATTTTTAAGATTTTATAGCACCTTCAATAAAGTATCAAACGTCTATAAGGTTATCGTGTATTACCTCCTCAAATGAAAACAACATTAAGCTTAACTGTTAAAGTAAAGCTAGTTAAAAAACGTACCTGCGTGTTTTTCACAAAGGGGTGTTAAGTCGTACACTTTACCTAAAAAAGACACCCATAAATCCTTCAAAGTATTGTGAATGCTCACTTCGTTCGGCGTGAAATATTTTGGCCGTTTGTTAGTAGTTTTAGCTGGCATTTTTCAGCTGCGTTCAATAGATTCTTCTTCGATACGGGTTTCTTTCCTTGACAAAAGTTTCCTTGGCAACTAGTTGTCAGGAAGGTTTTTTTGCTGCAGTTACATGACGAGAATTCCATCTTGAAGAGTGCCGCTGACCATTAACTGCGCTAAGAGAGGTCGAGGATCGAGGGGATCGAGGAGGATACTAAGGATGACTCGTTTCTGACTGAAATGCTCTATTATCCTGATTTCTAGATGGATGTGGTTGGCCGTAAATGTTGAACTTAACATGATTCCTCTACGCTAAGAGATTGTTTCACTTTGATTTGAGGATCCTTGGTTAACATTGGTAAGACTCTGAGAGGGAAATTAACTAGTCTTAAATACAATTCCACAACACCAAAGAGTACTAGGAGAACTGTCTAAGACGACTTAGTAGATGTAGATATTCGAATCAGAATCAAAGTGTTTCCAACGGATATTAGCACTTAACCTGTGTGGCGAGTATAATCTGAAAAAGTTAACATCTTCTGTAATTTAAAACTTTGGACAATGACCATCACCAGGACAGGACAACATTTGGTGGGTACCCATTTGGTGCCTTTACATGCATGTATGTCATGTATGTCGCAGTTGCTGTCGTTTAGATTCTTCTGCCATTAAGCTTATACATTGCAAGGTTTTGCTTTGGCATTTGTACCCACTTTCATGTTCTAAATGGTGTTAATGGATTGCAATGGAATTGCGTGTTAACATGGCAATGCATGTCAGCAATGTGTAGTCTAGAGAGTATTCTACAGTACAGTGTAGGTGTATTTTCCTCTGGTGACGGCTGTAAATTGCTCACTTGGACAGTTTTTCATGGCCATTGTTTGAAGATGGAAAATGCGTTTGTGGGAATTAACTTAATCAAATGCATTCGAACTTAATCAATCAATAATTATTAATGGTCTCAAATAAAATCTTAAAGAAATAATGCAATATTACAGGTGGACCCAGTAGTTTACATTGTGGACCAGAAAAGGGGTGTGAGAGATCAATAAAATTATTGCCTTCAATTTCAAACCAGAGCATACACAATAGAACTCATTCAAATGTTCTATACTATCAATAGGAACAGACCAGATTTTTTTGAGTGGTATCCCATACCAAGCATGAGTAGCTTGAAATCCATACCATACCATGAACTGGTTATAAGGTTGTATTAGATATTTTTCTTACCATCAAAATACATTGCTCACCCGTAACATTTTGTAAGGCACCTAGTACAAGAAAATATTCAGCAAAACAGGCGCGTTTCCCCTATTTCTTTCCTTTTTTAATCAAATATATTATCTAATTTTACCATCACATCCAATCAATGATAAAAGAGGTAAAAGCCTTAACCCTCCCCCCCCCCTTAGTTGTTAGTTGATCTCATTACTTGTGTGTTGATTCAATTTTAATGTATTTCTTATGCAGTCTTCAGTTGTTTCTGTGGTTATTTTAAAATGGCAATGCGTGATTTGGTGGAGGGTGAATGTGGGAGCGCAAACCCTTTAATGAAACTTGTCACACACTTTACACAAGATCAGTCATTTCAACAGGTAAGCATTTTAATGCAGTTTCTCTTTACCAGTTTTCAAGTTGTATAGTCTGCAAAAACAGCCGTTTTCCCTCACTCCTCGCTGCTGGGGATGTTTTACGAGGAGGAATGTCTGCGACTCAGTGACAGATATTCCATACTGATGACGTAAAATCTGTCCAGAATCCGGTCAGAAGTGCTGATTCGTTGACGGAGTAGTTGCATTGTTTAGCTATTGTTTACGAATGACAGACAAAGACAAAAGACAAAAGGCCACAATGGTCAAATGTAAACACTATGAATCTCTAACAAACAGTCAATATTTGTGGAATATAGTCTTCTCCAGAAGAGGCATTTGAGTTTTTCATGAGCCCGTTCACGGATAAACACAACACTTTACCAAAATCGTCTGGGAGATACGTAAAATTGAACAAGTTTGCATTTGGAACCCTATGACTACTGGATTTATTATGTAAACATTGATTTACGTCATCAGTATGGAATTTCTGCCGCTGACACGTGGACGTTCCTCCATGCAAAACGTCCCCAGCAGCAAAGAGCGAGGAGAAATGGCTGTCTTCGCAGGCTATAAGTGGTAGTATAGGTACATGTACGTAAATACTATGATTCACCTTTAAATTTTTATTTTGTAGACATTGCTCTTCAACTTCTTAATCTTCTTTTTCTATCTGAAATACAAATTTAGGAGGGTCTGGTGCAAGACAGATTTGGACCCCACAGAGAATTGGTAATATGTTTAAGTACAAATATTATGATAAAATAGTAATAACAATAATAATATTGATAACAGTAACCTATTTTGTTATGTAGCTAGAAATTTCTTCCTAACAGTGTGTGCTCTCATCGGTTACTTTGAGGTCACATGACATCTAACAATGAAACTGTTTCTTCCAAAATCTCTGAGTGGGCAACATTGCAAAATCTATGACGTAAGAGGGTAACAGTGCACTGTTACCCGCTAATGTTGACCATTTATCTATGTTACAAGGAGGTTTAATGAATTTCCAGCTTCAAAAAATTTCCAGCTATATACAAATCACAGAAAGACTGGTCCTTCAGGAAACAGTTGATTTTGTTTCCCTCAAATCTCAATGTTTTCTGAGGCAAAGTTGAAGGAATTATTATCATTCGAGGGAAACAAAATGGGATGGACCAGTCATTTAGTGGTTAATAATGAATTATCATAATAGCAATACCCAGTAACAATCTGACAGTGAACAAAAAAAGGTGCTTACCGTTAAATTATTTCTCTTTTTATTGTACAAGTGCTTCCTTGCCCATTACTGAAGTTATTATTTTTTAAAACAAGGTTGTCAATTTTACGATGATTATTTTTCAGGGTGAAAGGGCTTTTGATGAGACACAGCAAGATGAGGTATTTTATTTCATTTTTAATAGTTATTTTTATTGAAGGCTTCCTGCATGTTATGTGCAAAAAGGGTGTAAATGAGGATTTTCTGCCGAAAACCTCATCATGGTGATGATGATGGTTTGGAATTTTTGCCTTTTCACCAAAAGGGAATCACTTGTCTTTTGTCACTCATAGGAAAAGAAATGAGAATTATTTTGTTGACTACATTTATTGTCCAGGGATACATGTAACCCCAGAATGGGGCTTTGCAAATGAAAAGTGCTTGTCACCATTTTTTCCAGATCCTTTTTGTTTCCATGCATTCTGAGGTTTACGAATTTGTCAGAATTTGTGTTGTGGGTGGATCTCAAGTCACCTTCATATAAATATATATATTGGGTTAGTGTCTGCAATTTTCTACCAACAAAACTGCACGAAACAAATTAAACCTCTTCTCGAAGTTCAAACATCTTAATCTGCCATAGCCTGTGAGCAAGCTATCCTATTTGGGCAAGCAAAGCAAGTCTCGCGAGAACGCGAGAAAAGGAGAGCTTGCAACAATCTCTCTTAAAATTTCATTTGTACTTCACTCAGACGAAGGGAAATACAATTGGCTGTAAAATGACGTTCTGGAAAACAAAGTTGATTGATAACAGGCCAAGCTGGCACCTCCTTCGTCGGCGTGTCGAGTTTAGTTGTCAGTTGATCAGATTGGTACCGACAACTTGTTTCAGTCCTCAAAGCGGACCAGGGGGCTCGTTTGATTTAGTTCTCGCGAAGAGAATACATGAATTGCGAGCCGAGGATAAGTCGGACCAAGTTTATAGTTCTTGTGGAAGGAAAATGAAAACCCTTTCTCAGTTGTATTCGTTTGTGTCAAGCGCCTTGTTAAGTTCTGAACACAACAAGAGTGAAAGTGAAGAGAGATTCAAACGCTACTCTCCAGTTCTGGAACGGACAAATATGTCTATTGTTTTTGTTGGTGATTGCGACAGGGAGTAGTCTTCTACCCTGTAGTATGGACGACTTTTCAAAAGTAAACGAAACAAGAATCAAAGTATTGAGTTCTCATCCAAGCAGGCACGTTGATATCTTCAGTGATTAAAAATATTGTTTTGGTGCTGTTGCAAAAGCGATTTTAATATAAGGGACGGACCATTAGAAAAGTTACAGGGCAGAGGGGAATTTTCGAGCCGCAGGAATTTTTTTTGTTATCAAATTCCTTGTATGAGTTTTTTTAGGCCATAGCATGAATTTTTTTTAGGATTATTTGGCGTGCAAGAATTTTTTTCATTTAATTTTCCCTTGCACGAATATTTTTTTCTGTACTTCGCCCGCCCCCCTCCCCACCCATAAGTTTTCTAATGGTCCGTCCCTAAATAAATAATTCTACGTGCCCTCGGCTGTCTAAACTTGACAGGCGGTTGTCACTTTTCTAATCTGCAGCACGTATGCAGTGACAGTTTTCATGCTTTGCGGGGTCCAGGGGGTTTCCAGGGTGGAAATGAAAATTTATGAGAGATCGTTGCAAGCTCTCCTTTCCTCGGCCCCTCGCTCGTGCGTTATCGTGAGGCTCGCTTCGCTTGCCCAAATAGGAGAGCTTGCTCGCAGGCTAAATCTACCATCAGGAGCAAAAGCTAGTATAGTGCTAGCTATAGATTTGTTAAGAACATTTTGGGTAGGTTTGGTTCTGTTTGTCTGCTAGCCAATGCCTAAGTCCTCATTTTGGCCACCACTGTACTTGCACCTAGCAGGATTTGAGTATGCACCATTATTTGCTTCTGTAAAGAGCCATTGTTGATCTGCCAATCAGGTTGATAGGAAATTGTTAGAAATGCACTTTTGGTTAATTGTTGAGTTTTTTGGGCCCCAGGGTTTGCAGACGTTACAAGCTGGGGTTAAATTACATCTGCGATGCAGGGTACATTTTTTATCAAATAAAAAATGTGCCCTGTTCATAGACAATACTACTGCTAAGATACAAAAGGTAGCAATAAATACTGGCAGTAAACGTAAAAGAGATGTTTGAAAAAATATTAAACTGATATACACTTTTGTTTTTGTTATCCCTTAGTTGGTGTCAGAATTTCTCCATGATCCAAGGACACATGCCCCTCCCCAGTCATTTCGCATGGGTGATTTGTTACATGAAATGAAAGAAATTGAGCAGAGAAACTTTCATCATACTCCTGTTAGAGGTGGGTTAATTCTAGTCAATTCTTTGTATTGGGTTTGGAAGTTGTAAGTAGCAATTTATTATTTGGAGGAGACTTGTCTGAAAGTGTTCAACTGAAGGACTATACATGTAAGTCAGGATCAGCAATGCCCACAAATAGCACTGCGCACAGATTCTAAAAGTAGTCTACATCTGATAAGACCCCCCGCATGACTCCTACAAACTTTGCTTCTCACTCAGAGGCTTTGTATGCACGTTTACCGAGCGTTGAGTCAAAACATTGTTTTTTTCACATATTTTTACTGGGATATGGTAAACAACAAGCATTACAGCTGGTAAGAATGTGACAGGAACTCAAGGATCCTGGAAAGAAAGCAAAGTGTGCTGTGTTTTGTGGCAGTGATCAGGCAGCCGGGAAATGTTTTGAAAGAAGTAGATACATGACAGTCTTAAATTTATTCCATTTTCACAAATTCTCCGATTTAATTCTTCTAAAAACATAAAATGCTTCTGTAGAAATCTCAAGCGATTTCAAACATTGCCCTTGGTTTAAGGTAGACTCAATTGTCGACCTTGGGCATTTTGTGAATTCTCATTGTTTTCAACGCCTCACTGGCGTGACGCACTGAGTTAGTTTTCAGGATATCCAGAAAAATTACCGTCAAAACCTCCCTGAAACATTTGATGTTTGTTTGCAAATGCCAAGCAATTCTGAAACAGGCTTGGTCTTCTAGTGCACGAATTCCCTGAGCTTGAGCATATTCGAATCTCGAATCCCGGGGACGGCCGAGAATGGCCCGGCAGTCTAAAATGTTTTTCACGAAAATCTGAAGTTATCAAATATCTGGTACGACTATGACTCCTTCTACTTCGGCACAGAAATCAAAATTTCTAAACAATTATCAAATTTTCTTTAAAGAATTTGATGAGAATTCTCTGAAAACATTTACCGGCTGGGCTGCCCATAAGGTATCAACACGCGGCATTTAAAAGTTCTCTCATTTTCCACTCTGCTTCAATCCTTTGCACTTGAGCAATGTTTTGATTTATTCTACATTATATTTTCCTGGATGTTCTTTGAATTTCAAAACTGAAACGCTCCTAAAAACGCTAAAAAGGCGAGCAGAACTGATCGCAAACTTTGCGTTTCCATTCAGCGTTCTTGTGACCTCAAGCAGAAATGGCCAATGTTTGTCTGAGTCTCAGTGGGGGTCACGTTTTTATGACATCGTCTGTGCTTAATGCTATTGTAATCATAATCATGTAATTGTTTGAAATCTTTACATGAGTGTTTTTGAACTGGATCTTCCTGATACACAGGTATACCTTTCTTTTGTGATTTGCATTCAAGCTATGCTGCATTTTAATCTCACACATGGCAATGTTGTTATAGAGCAAAATGGTTTCTGAGGTGTATGACAGCAGCAGAAATTAATTGAGCCTACATGTACCTCTAAAATTTACGGTGCAGTTAACTTTGATAAACTTGAATGAGACTGTTGTGTGAGTATACTCCACCGTTCACACAGTCTTGAAAAGACCTTGGATTTTAGGGGAAGTCCTTGAAAACTCCTTATTTTTCTGTGCAAGTCCTTGAAAAGTCCTTGAATTTTCTTTAACTTTGAATTCAGTGGCCTGGAAAGTGTTTTGATGCTTTTTTTTGGTTGTCTAAGACAGAATATTAATCATAACTCAGAGAATTTAAAGGTCATTTAGTCCAGGGTGCAAAGAAAATCATTTTTACAGCTTGCCATTTGAGCAAGCTGAAGCTAACATTAATTTTACTAGCCCAAGCATCATTCCAACTAGCCCCAGAAACGTTTTGATGAGCACATTGATTTCACAGTTCTTCTGTAATTTGAATTCCTCAAAAAACTTCACTTGCCTGTCGGGCAAGTTAATAACAGAATTCACTAGCCTGATAGCAAAATCCACTAGCCCCGGGCTATCGCACACTACTTTCTTTGCACCCTGTTTACACAAAGTGCTCAATGTTTTATGCAATAATTAACTATCAATTGAAGACAAGTGAAAGGCTGAAAAATGTAGAGGAGTTGATGAAGCAAACAGTTCAAGCCTTAAAGAATACTATTATTAGAATAGACTGGGAATGTGCATTTTTGTACAATCTGTGAAATTATATTCCTGATGGGTAGTCGTTGAAAATCTAATGTGGTCCTTGAAAAGTCCTTGAAAAATGGTTGCTATTTTTATTTGTATGAACCCTGTACTCATATAATATTTGGTTCATTAATATTCAGCTTATACTTAACAATTATGTCATTTTTTAAAACAATATAAATTAGCTCCTGGTATTGCTGATTTGGCATCAAGTGAATGGGCTGCAGAGTACATGTCAACAGAAGTCCAAAGAGCTGAAGGTATGACTGGTTATTTATCACATACATAATACATTGAAATACGGTCTAGTATTAAACTGTGTTACAGTTAGCTATCAGAAGTTAAGAGGCAGCAGTTGTAGGATTTAATTCATCATTCATTTAGGCAGCCTCGGCTGAGCTAGTCAGCTGGCTGCATAGTCTGCTTTGCTGTTCATGCGGGTTGAGAGTTTGCTGGTGGGTGCCGCCCCAATGTCCTGCATCAGGTTGTCTATGAATGTACATTGAGACACTGGGCGACTGCATTGTACAGCTGTAAGTGTCTGTAATTTGGCCTCCACCGGACAAGCTGGCTTGCTGGCAATTTCAGTCATGGTGGCAATGGCCAGCAAGACCATGCCTTTTGAATCCATTCCGGTCTGACAAGGTTGGAAGGTTGCAGTACAGTTTGGCGTTGGGGACTTGCTCCCGCCAATTGGTGGAGCATGCGGGTATATGTTCCACTGAGGGACTTTTTCTAGTGATAGTAAGGATTGTAGGAGTAGGGTTTAATGGAGTTGTGGAATTACCTGTAACCTCATTTTAGGTATCCCACTGAGGAACAGTTATTAATATTAGATATTTCCAGGAGTAGCAATAATAATAAAATTTAATAATAATACCATAAACTTTCACCAATAAACCCTCCCCCCAGTTGTAGGCCCATGTACAATGTACAGTGTACCTGTAAACAAAAAAAGCTTCAAAAAGCATGTAAATTTAAAAAGTTTGTTTTAACAGCACTGTTATGTCACTTTTTTGAAACGCTTTTTTGAGTCTAGTTATAAGCCTCCCACCCCCACCCCTGGATATAAGCTCCTCCATTTATAAACCCTCCTAAAACCACTCATAAAGTTGTAAATGCACAGGGCTTATAAGCAGAAGTTTACAGTGTTCTTTTCTGCTATTCCGTGATGAAGGGATTAAAAGAGTAAATTGTAATCAAAAGTGGCCAAGTCTACTGTTAGATGATGGACTGATACCAAGCATGTTGGTTGCATTTATTGCAGAGTGGTCAAAAGAATATGAACATGAAGCAAGGCTACCAGTGCCAGTAGCAGGTATGTTACTTGTTTACTCTTAAAACCATTTCCATCTTCATGTTATCAGGTACTTTCTAACCCTAACCATGTCTGATACTACTTATGAATAATTATTGATCAAGCGTAAACTCAAGATGGCTGGATATAGGCCAAGTTCTTTTCGAAGGAGGCTAATATCAAACCGTTGTGACCAAGCTTGGTGTAGCCAAGACAATTATTTCTTGCAGGGGTGAAGCAGGAAAAATGCAGCCATCTTGCCCCAGAATCCAAAACACTCTTTTTTGACAAGAATTCTCTTGTAATATGTTCTTTTCCTGGTTTTTGTTCTTGCTCAGACACCCACAAAATTACGGTTGGGTATTTCATTGAAGAAGAACAGACTGAAGTTAATGTGACTTTCAATAGCTCAGTTTATTTTAAAACTGTGTGCTTCACTTCATCCATTTAAATTTGACAAATCCTCAATGATTTGCCATAAATGTAGTAACGCATTGACTTAAAACAAGTATTTAGCAGTACATTAAGCTTGCAAACTCCACCATCAGTTCAATCAATGATGAAATTTGATCGCCAGACCGCGATCTTCTATCGTATGAATTTTAACGACTGCTTTAAATGCAAGGACTTTTTTGATAATGATAAAAATTAATGCGTAATGTTTTTATTCAATCTTTTTCTGTGATTGTTAAGTCTTGAGTTTGAAACGTTTTTTGTTCTTGCAAAGCCTAATGGCTACACCACTTTTCACAGGTGATGTTTTAAAAAATGGGCATGTATTTTCTGTAACGTGTTCTTACAAAGAAGGTGCTTGAAATTGTCTCAATAAACCTTCTTATTTTTTTGTACTAGTAGTAGCCTTTAGTTGGTTTAACTTAAGATTATTATTTTTTACACACTGTAGCACAGTTGTTCATGGAACAAAAAGTTTCTCTCTAGGTGCATTTAACTTCAGATTTCAGTTTGACTCACTGTGCTCATCATTTACAGGTGTTCATAATGTTCCTACAAAGTGGGCTGATGAGTATTTAGAACATGTAAGGTAAGTATAAATTATTAAAAAGGTCTGCCACTTCTTTGGTGGTAATTTAGTCAGTAAAGGTATTGTTAATATTGCATACAAAAATAAGGCTTTGTAATGTTCTAACTGGGCCTGCTCAAGTACCTTTTGATGGCTGTTTGTTGTTTTTGTAGAAACTGTTGTCGCTTGCTGGTTGGGTATAATGTGTCGGGGTCCATCACTGTGAGTGATGCTCAGTGTCTTTTCAGTCTTTGTAATTTTGTTATTTGGTGGTCTCACTTATCCATAACACCAATAGTTTTATACATGTACATAAAACTTGTCTTTTGACAAACATAAACTGCAATGATGATTGTGTTTCATCCATTGTAGGAGTATGCTGGTCATGTTTGTCTTGAATTTAGTTATATGGCATATATCTTTTGGATAACTGGTATATATGTTACAGGTCAAATTTGATTTCAGGTTATTTTTGATTTAACCGAGGTTGATTCTCAATTTCCTTTGTTTCCTAGCCCTAATTCATAAACAATTAGGTCCAGGAGACAAAGGAAATTGAGAATCAACGTAGAGCTGAAAGTTCAGGATCAGAGGAGGTGTCTCGCCCCAAAGCATTCAACTTTTATTAGAGAATCGCCCTAGGCATACTTTCTGAAGTTCCAATTACTCTTCATTTGGAAGAGGGTTTAGTCTTGACACTGGGTCAGCGAGAAGCTCTTCTGTGCCAGGTTTGTACTTGATAGTGAAGTCATATGGATCCTTGTATTCTGAGTAACATTCTCTGGAGTCTTGGAGGAGCAGTTGTAAGATTCTTCAAGTGAATCATCTCAAGAGTTTTGTGATCTGACTCTACCATGAACCTCTTGCCAAACAAGTTGGTGTGAAAGCAACAACTTTGCCTTCTTTCACTAATGCACTCGTCTTAGGGAGGCATCAACCTGGAGGATTGTTTCCTTCTAAGGATCAAAATATGTAAGTGAGACTTGACGGCAGATTGACTGGTTGATTTTCTCAAAAGCGGTACTGTGGGGAGGAAACCAGTGGAAGTCAGTGCCCTTCTTAAGCAAGTTCCTCAGAGGCTCAGACAAAGCAGACAGATTTGGAATAAAAGGAGCCATGTATTTTGCTATACCAAGGAGGGACTGGAGTTCTTGGGCATCCTGTTGGTCCTGGATGGCTCAGATAGCTTCCACCTTTTCTGGGTCAGGGTGTGCTCCTTCAGCATCGAATAACATTCTAAAGAATGTTATCATTCTTTCTTTAATAACACGCCATCGTCCACTGATTTGATTTTTGGGAGTAAGCCACGCTTGAAACCCAGTCAGTGGGCTCAGTCACAGGTTTAATAACACCAAGATTGACCATTTCATCAAGATCCTTTTTAACATCATCCTTAATGTGTATTGGGCACTTCCGTGGTGCATGAACTACAGGCAGCACATCAGGGTCAATGGCAATGTGGTTTTCCCCTTCAAATTTGTCAATGCCATCAAAACGGTCAGGGTACAAAGCTTTATTTATTTATTTATTTTATTTTATTTGCCACACAAGGCCTACGCTTGGAGGTCACCTTTATCCTTAACTGCTGGGAGAGGCACTTTGCTAGAACATGCGCCTACTGCACAGAGTAACTCCACCAAGTTAAGTTGGCAACAAGTGGGTAGGCCACAAATGGCGGGGCCAGCGACACCGGCAACATAAAAACCTGCATCAGTTGCTTTGTCACCATAAGAGCTCTTGGTAGAACATACTCCATGCTGAGACATTTGGGTGCCATTGTATGCTGTCAGTTTGGTCTGACTCAGTGCTGTCTCCGTGGGAAGGCCATTTTCATCCACATGGTGTGAAAACATGTTCCGATAAATTCGCAAAGGCAGAATATTTCCTTGGGCGCCAGTATCTACTTTCACTTTGAGCACAGGGTTAGGATGATTAACATTAGGATGATTAACATTAGGCAATTACTCGGAGCTTTGCAAAAGCTTCATCTTTTACTGGAGTAACATTGGAACTGTCAATCTGAATTGTCTCAAAACACAACTCGTCAGAGTCTGAATTTGTCCCTTCAACTGTGTGTGCCTTGTCCTGACTTGTCTTGGCCTGTAGTATCCAACCCCAAGGCTGCTTCCGAAGTGAAGGCTTGGCTTTCCGGTCCTGTGCTTGTTTATTTCTGCACACTTGTTCCCAGTGGTTCCACTGGTTAAACTTTCTGCACCTTCTACCTTGAGCTGGGTACTTTTTTTCATGGCTGACACCATATTTTCCACATCTGAGGTTGAATTCTGTCTGATAGCATGTATGTTAGTGTCATGAGAACGGGCGGATGCTGATGCACCTCGTTGCTGAAGGGGTTTCATGTCAATGACCGCATCTTCCCTTGTCCTAGCAATGTCCATTGCTTTGTCAAGCTTTAACTTATCATCCTTTCCTAAGAGGACTTCTTGTATCTTTCGTTCACGAGTACCATTAATTAGTTGCTCAATTAAACGCTCCTCCAGTTCGGCTTCACTGAATCGACATTTCTGGGTCTGTATTTTGCACCTGGCCGTGAACGAATCTACGCTTTCGTCATCTGCCTGTCTGTGAAACCTTGCAGTTGGTACCTTGCAATTCAAAAATTTGACTTAGATTCCAGGGACGTTGCAAACTTGTCAAAAATCGCGTCAGGTTTTGCTTTCTCATCAGCGGTCAAGTCAAAAGAGTTAAAGATTTTTCGGCCCTCTTCGCCAATCCAGAGTAGAATATAGGTTGCCTTGACTTTGTCCTCTTTCGCGTTCATAGGCCCATCAAAGAATAGCTGACAATATTGTTTGAAACTTTTAAACGCCGTGGGTAAGTCAGAGTCATACCATTCCATCTGAGGCGGCTTAATTTACGAAAGCACGCCCTTGTTTGTGAGAAAAATGTGTCGGGTGGTAGAATTACGAAGATACTCGGCTGCACGCTACGAATGATTGACTTTGTAATCCTGGTTCATCGGGTCCACCTCAATGTTTTAGAAGTCAAAACTTCATTGGGCGTGTTGAATTATCCCACTTCTGACACCATGTTAAAATATCATGAACAAACTATGATTTCTGGGACGAGATAAACGGATAGATGAACACAACTTTAATACACCCGAGTAACAAGATGGCGGGCCCCAAAGACAAGAAACTCGGGCCAGTCCCTAGCATATAGCATACTATAGCACCCGGCAAGTGTAATTTCTTGGAAAATTTCCACCCGGGATCCTGGGATCCCAGCTAACCGGGCTGGCTCAGTTGTCATATAGTCGCAAAGTTGATTTTTGTTGCGTTTACTAAGGTGCCGTGATCTCTGCAAAGCGAGCCGGCCCGGCTCATGTGTAATCAGGCCCTTAGTTCTATAGCAAGATTTTACGCCTTCCCCCTTGACTTCACCGATTTTTTAAAGCCCCCGAGCACACACACAAAATTTTAGCCCCACCCCCTCAACATCTTCATACCCCCTTCTCTATATTAAATAAAATTTCCCTTATCCATGTTCTCTTCATACAAAAATTTTCAAAAATAAAGGGAAAACAATCCTAAGCAGAAAGCCTAACAACCTTTGAAATAAATACTATTGATAAGACTTTTTACAACCACCACTTCATTTCAACACACTGTAACTACACTATCCCTTCATAACCAAATTAGCACTTCCACAACTACCCCACTGCCACACCTAAAATCACTTTTACCTCCCCCCAAACTTATTTTTTGTTACTTCGTATTTAACTCTACTCTCCTTTTCGTCTTTTATTATGGCTAAGGATGTTTAGAAGTATAACATTTAAATGTGTTTATGATTCAAACACTGAGTACAGTGATGCATGAGTTTAAGGGTTCATATTATAGTGTGCCCCCAGTGTGTCTTCGGCTTCAAGACATTTATGACCTAATTCGGCTATCACTAACGGTACAATATACGTATTTCATAACCCATGAGTTATGCTTCATCTGCTTGAAGGTGAATTACACAAGAAATCATATATTTTCCAAAGGTCTACTAATGAAACTTTAATAATTGATATCATCTAGATTTTGACTTTAACTCGGCATTATGCGGCGTAATTGTGTTTTTAAAGTTTTAAAGAGAGCTGTACCGAGTAAAACAATTCCGTTAACATGCTTTGTTTTCTTGCGTATTAAGTTAAACAGACCTTTTTCGTTGCGGCAAATTAAACAGTCTTAAAAGTAGTTAAAACGTATTTAATTTACCCAGTGGCTTAATGAAGATGCTAACTTTTGTTGAAACAATAGTATTAGCGCAAAAACTTGGAAGAAGCCAGTTGACAAAATAATAACATGAGATGAGTAGAAATCAGTATTTCAGCTGTTTGATTATTTTGTTGGAAGTATATGACGTTAGGGTATCAATCTTACCATTGAACGATGCATAATTTAATTGCAGATGTTCGAAGAGGAGAAATTTGAGAAAATTGATCCCGTAAACCATTTGCATTCTTTCACGGACGAACTGTAAAAGGGGCAAAGTCCAATATATTCGCGTATAAATTGTGTGTTATTAGTAGTAAAGACTCATAACCTGCAAGCCGTTTTTTTTCTTCGTATTTAGTACACTAAGAGGGGGTTCATGGTCCCAGGCTTTCCTAGCGGTGACCGTGGAAACTGGGAATAAGAATCTTTGCGTGAGCGAACCCAAGCATGTTTTGGGAAGAAAGTTTTGGAAAGATTAATGCGATTTAGAGCTTTTCCGGAACGGGTTGGTCCACGAATTTTATCTCTTGAAAGCGTTGATTACTTTGGAATAAGTGAACACTTCAGTGGTCGATGATGAGGCTAACTGGTCGGGTGTTGTAAACTATCACGGTATGCAAATGAGTCTTGTGATGAGCATGCGGTGTATTTTCGGCGGTGGTTGAAATAACGAGCCACATTCATCACGTTTTTGATATCTGGCAATGATGTAATTTCTCTCGAATCGAGGCCCTTGAATAGCCTGCGACCGCAGACGTATGTCCGGTCGCCGCTATCACGCGTACTAAATCAATTCAGAAACAAATCGTCGAATAGCATATAAAAAATAAATATCCTGAAGAATACTAGGCTACTTTTAAGAAGTAATAGCCTTTAAATCTTAAAGAATAAGTCGTTAGAGTTGTAGACTGTTTCATTAAGAAGAATCGCACGTGAACACCTCGTGGATTATGATGATGCAGCCATCTACCCAGCCACAATGATAAAAATCGTGATATTTCATTTTTATTCGTTATTCGATGAGCCACATTTTCTTAGGAAACTCCCAAGAAACCTTTGAGTCTTTGTTCGAAGCAACGTTTGGTGAGTTGATATTCATTGTACTTTAACAGCCTGTTGAGTCTGCACCAGATGTGTGAAGGAAAGACAAGGAAATGTGAATCTATAGCATGAGGATCGACTCAGCCTTGCGCAGCGTTTCACGTTTTCATTCATCTATGGCAATATCCAATTTCGCACAAAAAATCTATATTTAGGATGACAAGAACGCTCTTAGAAGCGTTAAGTCTCGTTTGCTTGGAGATTAGATAAGAAATAAGACGCTCTAAAAGTGTTGACTCGACCTTGCTTGGAGATAAGATAAGAAATGAGGAGGCAGTTAATTCTTAAGGAGCCTGTGTCCAGGGGTGGAAGCCATAAGGAACATGTGGGGAAGGCGAAAAAAAAATGCAAGCTAGCCAGGTTACACAATAACCATTGACTGCCTTTGATACATTTAATAGTATAATATTCGCACTGCATACTTATTGTCCCGGCACGGGGAACTAAGTTATGGGAGGAAACCGCTATTCTCACTGCATACATAATTAGCCCGTGTCGCGGGAAATAAGTAACTCCCTTAAATTCCATCGTGTTAGGCCTACGTGCTAGTGGCATGATGCATTGCGGCCCTTTGTTAGAATTGCTTGGTTTTTGCTCGCCTCTTGGCCAGTTCAACGGAGTTCAGAAGAAGTGTCAGTCAGGGCTCCACATTAAAGGCTGCCCGCTTATGCGGGTAAACCTCAATAAAAACTATGAGATTGCGTAAACGTGAATTTTTTTTATGAGGTTAAATTTTAGCAATGAATAGAAACACCACACCCTGGACACCCTTCTTCTTCTTCTTCTTCTTTTGTGGCGTTTCCTTGTGTTCTATTGTCAGCCGTCGACAGCAATAGAGTACTAAGCTACGAAGTGCTTATACTAAAAAATGCAATAAACATAAATCTTAAGTGAAAATGTCCAATGATGTCTAGGTAATTATACTGTAATATCAAGGAATCTTGCACAATCAAAGGCAATATGAGGCAAAGAGGCTAGGCCTTGCGAATATATGACACCAAGGAAACATCAACAAAGAAGTCAGTATGAAAAATAACAACAGTTCTCAAACAAACCCAAAAATAAATAGACTATTCCAATTTGTAGATTAGTAGCTTCCATTGGAAATTAAGTCCTGCAAGCAGAATGCGTGACAGTCAAGTACAAAGCTACCTGTAAGGCATCCGTGACTCTTACGTGACGAATAGTTGAAGATTGAGTCATTGATATCTCATTTATTTAATGCGACCTCACATCTTATCAACCCTGTCAAGAGACCTTTGTCACGCGGCGGCCATTTTGTCTCAGGAGGTTTTAAAAGCTTTGTTTATGCACTGCTAGCCTCGTAGAGGGAGAGAGAACGAAGCTAGCTGTGCATAAGCAAAGCTTTTTAAATCTCCTGAGACAAAATGGCCGCCGCGGGACAAAGGTCCATTAAATACATACAACGAAGTGAATCTGCCATAAACTATCGATTCCCCAATTTAGATAATATTAAAAATTAAGCAATAGTCTAGCGTGGTGTATTACAATTGGTCTTCTCTCTCATACAATATATAGCTCAATTCTGAAATAGGACGACTCCTATAAAATTTACAACTGCTTGCTCCCAGCCCAGACGTCTCCGTTATTAGTCTCTAGATTCATATTAACGAGATTAATATTCGCTTAAATTCACTTGCTTTCAACTTTCCGCCTTTGCAACAACGTAGCTTCCTACACAAAACATTTCCTTGCTTTAAGTTTTTCATGCCCTTTTTTATCGACGGTCGAGTAATCATAAGGGTATTTGCTTTTTAAATCGCTTTCGGCGAGACGTGATCAACATGACCCGTCATTTCAATCATCGCCGAAAATAAACCGCATGCTCATCACGAGACTCATTTGCATACAATGAAAGTTTACATAGCCTCACGATCGAAGTTTTGCTCATTTGACATTCTTCTGTTTTTCGACCCCTGCAGTATTCACTCGTTCCAAAGTAATCAGCTCTTTCAAGGAATAGAATTCGTGGACCGACCCTTTCCGGAAAAGCTCTACATCTTTCGCATTAATCTTCCCTTAGCTTTACCATGCGTGGCTTTCGTCACGTCGAGATACTTATCCCCAGTTTCCACGGTCTCCGCTAGGAACGCCTGGGACCATGACCATTTGGCGCACACACACGAAAAAAAAAAGTTGCATTTTTAGAGTCTCGCTCTGCTAGAGCAGGCTCGACTGAAAAGAGTCTATTCTTGGTATGGTTACACTGAAGCATTCAAAATTGCTCTTGCACGTTAAACGTGCCCATGTTAATTATTTGTTGATGTGACAAAAAGGCTTTTAAACTTAACATTAAATTATAAAATGCTTTTTACGAAAACTAATATTAATATAGCAAAACATATATCTTGAATCTTATTGCAAGTATGTCTGAAATGTTCCTTTTTTAAACAGTGATGTGGGGCAGGAGTCTTTGGATGATTCTGCATGGTGAGTATGGAGTTAGTAGTGAATATTCCCCAAGAGATGTTACAGTCAAATCAAGTCAAGCATACCCCTTAAGACTATATCAGTGATAAGTGATCAGGGATTTTAAGTAAATGGCTATGGTGAAAAAGCCCAAAAATGATGTAGTGCGTATGCTTGGAAATGCTCTTTTTCTATAGCGTCAAAACCTACAACATGAGGACCTATCTTGTGTCGTAGTCGCTACAACGTGAATTTAAAATTCGATTTTTCTCCTATTTTTTACAACTTGATCAATTTGCACTTTCTCAAGAAAGTATTTGATGCTTCTAATTTTCCAGTAATTATGTCTTCCTCGCGTTTTACTAACAGCGAAAGCAAATGAGCCAGAAACCTCGCCGTCACTGTTTGAGTGCCGCTTGCTTGAAGTTGAAATTTAGGGGTCTTCTGTGACCGCTGTATTAGAATTCGCCGTAGCGATTTGCTTGACGTCCCTATTATTTGAAAATAATACATCACATTTATTAATTTTCTGCTTTCCTCCAAAACTGGCTGAAACAAATCTTGTGGCGAGAACAGCACAGCATGAAGGAAACTCCTCGTATCACTAAATTATGTGAAGGATAGCAAACTACCGGGGTATGTGCATACCAACTGAAATCAGACCACTACCACAAAGATGCTCTTAGTTTTTGACTCCTTTAAAGCAAATTTAAATGCGTTTAATTTATGATTGATGCACAGATGCCGAACAAAGAAACAGCATAGTAGCTTTACCATTTTGGCAGTGAAGAGCTAAAACAATGGTTTCACACATAATAGTCCATTTTACAGTTACAAGTGGAGTTGACCTTGTTTTGATACAACCCTTCCTGTTTTATTATGTGAGTCCTGTTGTTCTTTTGCCAACTAGTATTTTTGAGCATAAAAGGAAGAGTCAAAACAAGGTCAACCCCAGTCTCTCATTCACTCAAAAACTCAAAACTGTAAAATGGTCTATTCAAAGATGAAATAGGCAAAATGTATTAATTGCTGTATGAAGAATATCCCCTAGAATAAGCATCTCTTCTTATCCTGAAATTGTAAGGGAACAGGTAAATGTTTTGAAGACGGAATTCAAGAGCATTCATTCTTAATTTTTGTACAATATGAAGAGTTATGCAGATTAAAGAGAATGTCTTGCCTCAACAGAGAACACCGTTCTTGATTTCTATATTTTTTCACATAATACTCAGCCACATCCAATAATTTATGTTAAGAATAATTGTATTAAATATGGAGTAAGCCAAGACTTTATGAATGAGTTATACTCAATATTAATTTTATAGGGTGAATGAATATAAGTCTGAAAGTGAAAGTGCGGAACTTTCTAAGACTGCCGGAGAGCTACTTGAAAATGCAGATGATCCAAAGTTTGCAAAATCCAAGGTTATTTTTGTGTTGTGTTTTTCTTTTTAGAAATGCTGGTAGAATAGAGTAGAAATGTTACCCGTAGAATTATTAAGTTATCATTATTACCGAAGATTCTTGGACACTACACAGTTAGCCTGCGTAGCTGGCGGGTTTTTCTTTTGTGTTATTTTTTTGTGGTTCGCAAAGAAAGAGATGCAGCCTTGCGAATAATGAACGGAGGTCTAAACAGAAAACGGTAGGGGAGGGGGCGTGCTTCTCCCCGCTCCCCCTGTTTCGACCTCGGTTCAGCTTTCTATGGAGGTGTTTTATTGTACTATGTGACTAAGGCGGATAAAGGTTGGGCGATGAAACGAGCACTCCGCTCTTCAAGTGATGTGTGATGAGGAGTAGGACTGGCATGATCGCTCTTTCCGCGCTTCCGGTGCGTTTGAAGGCCGGAGAAATTTTCGTTTCAAAACAATATTGACAAGCAGTTTCATATGTTTTTGTCAGTATGCGTATAGGTCAAACTTGCTAGTCGTATAATGCCAAAATTTGAAGTCAACTTGAAAGTTTTGAATGTCTCCTTCTGACCTAATCGTCTTTCGCCATTTCCATTGCAAAAGCTCAAGATTACTCAACCGTAATAGAGTACTAAAGTGATGACGTCATAAAAATGAAATTTCTGAAATTATGGGATTTGTCAGGATATTCTGAAAGAACAATGTCCAAAAGGCCTACTTGCCAAAAATGAGCATTTCGAGGCAAATTGTCTCTGAGATAGTAGCCCAGTTATACTCAGAAAACTCCATACAAACCCTTCTAATTTTTTTTGGGTCGACCCAAAAAAAATTTAGAAGGGTTTGTATGGAGTTTTCTAAGCATAACTGGGCTACTATCTCAGAGACAATTTGCCCCGAAATGCTCATTTTTGGCAAGTAGGCCTTTTGGACATTGTTCTTTCAGAATATCCTGACAAATCCCATAATTTCAGAAATTTCATTTTTATGACGTCACACTTTAGTACTCTATTGTGAAAGGGGGATAGATTTTACATAACATAACAAAACATTAGCTGGATATATTTGGATGTAGTGACTGGAAGGTTTCTTCTCCGTTTTTCTCGCTAAAACACAAAGTAAACAGTAGATAAGTAGGTTAAGTATGATCTTCCGAGTGAACGTAGTCCTGAATAGGACTGTTGTTACTGGGCTGCCTGTGGCACATCCCAGTTATAAAATGGGCTCGGTTTTTTTTTTGGCACAAATCGCACTCTGGCGTGTTCAGCGGGTGCGCAAGATATAAGAGTATGCGTAGAATAGGTCAGCGGACTTCAGCAGAGTACGTTCTAGGGAGCTTGAAGCGACTCGAAGCTTTTAGCAGTCTATCTTCGGTGGAAGCATAATAATGCCAAAAATACGAATGTAAACGCTGTCGATGGGAAGCCCACCGTAAAAACATGGCGAGAGTACATTTTGGAAGTGGGATAGTTCATGAACTACACGAGAGACCCATTTTTAAGCGAACTCTTCCGAGTGAATCTTTTACCGAGAAAACTTGTGTATTTATGTGATTGTTGACGTCTACCTCTTTGGTTACGGTATATTAACGACGCATTCACCGCTGTACATTGAGACGAAATCGACGATGTTCACGAACACCTTAACAAACAGAACGCGGACTTACAGTTTACCATGGATAATAGAAAGACTGGGTGGGAAACTGGCTGACGTGATCCGTTCCAACGTCGTGGAAAAATGTGATGTCACATTATGGAGAGCCATTCAACCTTTTACATCCGATGTGTTGCGCGTCTTATTTTTCCTCGTGTATTTCACTATCTCTGTCTTCAACTTTACAGATTGCCCATGTTTTGATTTAAAAGGATGAAGAGGACTTGCTCTTGGAGAAGACAGTTAGAGGGTACAAAACCGGTAGAGGCAAAAGACAGAGTAAATGATTATGAAACTTGTGACAGCGAAAAATGACTCCAAAATTACGGCACCTACTCTGTAATTATGCGTATGCCACAATTCCATCCTTAAAAGATCTGTCAATCGTAGGTATGAATAGAAATAAGAAAGAACCTTCATATTAAAGGTGTCCCAAAACAGTCGCTAAGTCTACTAAATATGGCTCTCGTAAACTCAATTTTTGGGACGCAATTTTCTCAAAGACAAGGACAAATAACCCAAAACAACAATAACAAGCGCTTACTTCGAAGGTTCAAGTGTGGCTTTGAAGGATCGCCATCGCCGTAAGACAACAAACGAAAGGAAAAACATACACCAAAAGTTAAAATAGCACTAAAAACTTCGAAAAAGAACAACATGCAGGCAAATAAACCCTACATTTCGACTGGTTTGCGCCACACTTTCGCCATCGTTTCGTCACAGATTTCCACTATGATGGAACCATCCAAGTCATCTTGAAGCACAAAAAAACCAATCGGCGATAAGAAATCAGCCCACGTGACATAAGTTTTCTGTCCAGTCTTTCTGTTATCCATGAGTTTACCAAGATCGAGGAAAATGGTAAAATACCTTTTCTAGACCGCTTGATCGCACGTGACAACAACACACTACGAAGGACAATTTACAGAAAACCGACAAATACAGTGTACCTACTGATTACTAGACCAGTCATCGTACAACCCAACCTCTCTCAAGGCTACAACTATACGGACTTTGACGAGACGAGCGCAACTAGTTTCCGACTCGCCTGACAGCTTGCGAGACTGACTACCTAAACAACGTTAAGGGACTTTGTTAGACGGAACACTCACAGTAGCACTGATTCCAACACTCAGACCAACGTCAACTCTGGCCCTGTTACGACAGCGAGTCGACTATACCGTACATCAGAGGCGCCTATCGCACGTATACTACAACCTTACGATATACGTGTTGCACACAAACCGATAACCACTTTACGACGACTACTTACTTATATCAAGGACAAAGACAAAACGGAGAACATACAAGGAGCAGTATACAAGATCAAATGCTGCGACTGCCAGGCTACTTACACTGGTGAAACCGGGAGAAACCTTAGCACGCGACTGAGAGAACACAAACGAGCAACGAGAAATGGTGACGTCAACAATCACATTGCTGAGCACCATTTATAGGCGAAACATCAAATCGACTGGGACCTTGTGACACGTATTACGTATTCTACAGACTACTATGAACGACTCACTTTAGAAAGTTGGTTTACTAACTTAGAACAAACGCCACTGACTCGTAGTCAACAGTTACGGGCACCGTAAAAACGACTTATTGACGTAGTCAAGCAAAACTAGCAATCAGAGACCGACTGGACAACTGACAATTTTACTAACAATAAACGACTGTTTAACTGTGACAATAGACGGATTAAAATGCACCAATGACATTACGAATCTTCATAGCCAATTAACTGACAGACGACTAATAACATCGCAACTAAATTGACCAATCGGGTCAATAACTAGAGTGTAGTAACATCAACTGATGTGATACAACTCACTTTGACTCTGAAGATGACTGCCACACAAGTTGTCGAAATGTCAATCACTGTCAACAACAATAGTGCTCTTCAGGACCACGTTCACCCGGACGATCACACTACACCTACTTATGAAATGACTCCTGGGTTCAAACCTTTCACAAAGTAAACAGTAGAAACTGACGGGCAACTAATTTTGAAGTTCCGAAGAAACAGAAAGACGTATGAAATGTTTTGTCAAAATTAAAAAGAAGCGTGATGGTCATTGAAATTAGCACAATACACCTTGTACTAGTTGCCCGCGCGCATTTATAAAATACACGTCATCTAGTTTTGAAGCGCCTTCTGCTGTCTTTTAGTTTTGCCATGGATGAGGTTTTACTTCGTGTTTTAGACAGTATTTAGTTGTTTTTGTTTTGGAAGAACGTCGACATTACTGTGGCTGCGACCGCAGTTGGGAACTTAAACCAGTAATTTCCAATTAACGAATTAAAGTTAACTCGTTTAAAAAACCATATAAATCAGTGGTAGAGTCATGGAAGTAAACAGAGAAACCACTTGAAATTCAGTGACAACAGTGTCTAATCGACAAACCACATCGCAAGCCCTGGCCGAATCAGAGTCCCAGTCCACTGCATTACACTTATTTGCTCGGACGCATTCGTTTCATCGCCTAACCTTTATCCGCCCTGATATGACTGTTAAGCTACAAAGGGCCGATTAACGTGATTTTACTTGAACCGTGAAACAGATACTAACAAATAGTGCCAAAAAGCAAGAGGTTAACAAAAGAATACAATGGAATTAGTGCATAATAGTGCGTAGTATTCTACTACCTGTTTCACGAGTGAAGTAAAATCACTCTACCATAACTGGGTGGAGAGTGTCATGTAAGGGTATTTTCAAGACAGATCCATTTATTCTAACTGAGAATAAACAATGTCAACTGTGGGCCCTGCAGTCTTATCTATTGTTGTGCAAGATATGGTTATATGGTGATTGAAGAATGTAAAATGTGATCATCATTTAAAGAAATAGGAAATTAACTGCTTATCCCAATAATGAGTTTTTCAACGTTTCTTTTCCAGAGATTGTGTTAATTAGTTTGTGAGACATAAAACAGAGAAGAATTTCTTTTGTTCTTTCCAGTTTATGAAGTTTGTAAAGAAACTTAGAGATGGTGAATACACAATTGAAAATAACCAGGCATGTTTCAGACATTTCTGTCATCAGTCATGTTTTTTTTCTACTTGTCTAGCAAAATGACTTCTTCCTATAAAAAGGAGCTGTTGTTGTTGTTGAGAAGTTTAGATAAGTCATGTAGTTTTTGCTTTTAAAATGCAATTTATTACTAGTAATAACCAAAGGTTACGGAGTGTAGACGACATCGATCGAAGTTGAAAACGCTTTTGCTCCGACCATTGCTGTGCTTTGCGTAAGTTACACGTGACAGATAGTAAAAACATTCGCGATCAGATTACGAGTGATAAAAGGTCCAAACGCACGTGATCAAATTGCGTTCTGTGCATTCCATTCATTCTTAGTGGAAGTCCAATCGATAGCGACCTGGAGATAAAGATTGCGGGCTCCTCTTGTCGCCCGAAATTATTGCCAAGGTCTTGTTAATCAGCTCAACTTTCTACAAAATTCCCTGTTTTGAATTTTTGGAAACTCACGGCTGTCCTTTAGATACGTAATTCTGTCACTCATTGAATTGTTTCTAAATCCAGATGTTTATAGTTACAAGATTGTCTGTTTTATCTCCGGCCTGAAGGGAAAGATGAACATCTTTATGTTAATCACTTCATACAAAGAATTTGAGATAAAGTCAGAATTAAACTTGACCGAACTAGAAGAGGCATGTTTTAATACCCCATCAGGGTATATTAATTTAATGCATGTAATCTTTACATTTATGTATTAAAAGACGTTTTGCTTCTGTAGTTTGTAGTTTTCATTTGTTGGAGCAGGTTAAACATAAATAAATTTGCACGGCTCCAATAAAACGAAGGATGGTAAAGTGATAAAGCTCAGTGAGTTTGCCAGCCACAGTCAATGACTCTGGAAGATGCTATGGGTAGATGGAGAAAATAATTATTATTAATTATTGTCGACATAGTAAAATACCCGGTATTATGTAATTATTAATCACTGGAAGCCACTTTTCGTAGCAGTACTGATGATATCGTGTTTGTCGGAAGGTGGTTGATGCTAAGACGGGGCAGGAAGTAACAGAAGAAACTGAGGCAGCAGAGCATTGGGTTGATGAGTATGATCAATTTAGGACAACTGAAGCAGATGAGTGGGTCAGAGAGTTAACTTCAGGAGCTAATATCCATAAGGTATACTGATATTCAGGCTTATATATGTTCAGGTTTCAGAAACAATCATTGTTCTTCCCTTATAAAAATCTTGGTATTTGTATAGGCAATAGCATGATTTGTAATGATATTTGGCATAAATACCACGAGTGATATTTCAAAATTGTTATACGAAATTTCACGAGCCGTTAGGCGAGTGAAATTTGAGACAATTTTGAAATATCACGAGTGGTATTTATGCCAAATATCACGTACAAATCATGCTATTATTTGTTTATATATTTTCACATGTAGGTATTTCAAATTAAGCTGAAATACCACTGCCCTAAACCAATCAAATTGCAGAAATTTCTCATGTAGTAGTATAAGAAAGCTAACACAACAGTGCCGATGCTCTTCTTTAAGCTTGGGCTACCTGTACTCAAATTAATACACATTGCAAGATGGCATGTTCATTAAAATACTGAGGAAACTTATTGCAAACTAGTGTATAATTGAGAATGTTCTGACTTCATGTGCAATCCCATATCCCAGGATTTTGTCCAAAACTAGAAATAACTTGTCGCTACATAGTGTAATAAACGCTACCACATAAGCTTGCTTTGCTATGTACACTGCAATGGTTTTCATTTGAACCTCTAGAATATGAGATTTTATCCAAAAATAGTGAAAGTTAAAAAATCCATGCCCATGGTTTAGTGAATAGTTAATAGTTACATATATTATATTTCAGTCTGATATAGATTTCTGGGATCATCTTGAAGGCGAATGGGATGATCTAATAAGGTTAGTAAAGGTAAATTACAAGCATATCCTGTCACTTAGTTCATAACATGCCTGGCAGGCATTCTGGGAACAAGACTCTACCTTTTTCTGTAGTGCTACTGCCCCCAGCTCACACCCTCTTTAATGTAATATGGGATTAAATTGTGTTTTGTTTTAGACGCGATGGGGAAGAGGCTCACCCTTGGTATAATGAAAGGGAAGCTGCAATAAACAAGGTAACACTTGTTATTCTTATGTTTATTCTTGTTGTTATCATTATCGTCGTCTTCATCATCATTTACGTAGACGCCAATAAGATCAGCTATAATAATTCTACAGTGTATTTTATTGCTCCATTTAGACAGCTACTATACCTTACATGTACACCAGTGGCACCAAAAAAAATTGTAATTGCAAACCGATAGGGACTGGGTACAAGTCCGTGCATTATTATATATTTCTTTCGATTCTTATAGTTAGTAAATTTTGGAGTTTTGGGCGGGATGCCTGTATCGATTTCAACATAGACTCAATAAACACCAGACTTGAGGATTCTGTAAATCTGGATGTGCTCTTTCTCACTATGTGGGTCTTGGGTTGTTTATTCTGAAATACACCGGCAATTCCACGTGTCCTTCAACCCCCCTCCAACGACTGGACAACTGACAATTTGACTAACATAAGGGAGCTTAAGCAACAGCGTTTTTGAGCGACGGACGTCAACCGGAAGTGGACTTTTTGCATCATTGGGGAGCGGTTTGGTTGAAACTCTCGGGTAAATCGTTTTTAAAAGAGAAAAGAAATTCAGCAATACAAGGTTGTTAGCGTCAAGGCATATAAAAAGGGAGAAGGCCTCACTTCCGGTTGACGTGCGTCGCTCAAGGTCCCTATAAACGACTGTTATACTCTAACAATAGACGAATCGAAACGCACCAATGACATTTCGAGTCTTCGTAGTCAATAACATCTCGGCTTAACTGACAGACGACCAATAACATCGCGACTTAATTGACCAATCTGGTCAATAACCAAAGTTTAATACCATCAACGGACGTGATACAACTCACTTTGACTCTGAAGATGACTACCGCACTTGTTGTCGAAACGTCAGTAACTCTCAACAACAGTCCTATTCTGGACTACTTTCACCTGGACGATCATACTCAACCTACTTATGAAATGACTCCTGGGTTCAAACATGTCACACTATTACATGTACTTGTTGCTCACTAATCTATCGCCACTGTACAACAAATACTCATTCATGCCATGAATAAAGATCGATTGACTGACAGAAAACGAACAGTAGAAACACTCGACTGTTTGGAAAAAATGGACCGACAAGCCTGCTCCCTTTTGTCCTTTCCCCTCTCCGGCTTTCGTTGCTTGCGACGCAGGCTAGACAAATATGACTCTCTATACAGCGACAGAATTACAATGAAAAGGATTAAATCACTCCAGTCGCGTTTAGTCAGCAATAATAAGGCTTAATTAACAGATTTCGATCAGTCGTAACATTGTGTCCAAATTAACCAATCTGATTAGTAACTAGAGTTTACTTGACCCAGACATGGCGGCTAGAGCTAAATGTTGTTTGTTTGTATTCCTCGGCTACCCCTTCGGTCACGTGAGCTTATAAACTTTTTTGTCCCAAATACGGTGCTTTATCTGGGGTAGCGCTTATTCGAGTAAGACTGTCAGATGACAGCAGACGTCCTTGTAGAATCCAAGTCACAAGCTTTCCTCCTTAATCCTCACCTCTTCATGGATGCCCGACTTAACAATCCAGAGGCACCGGTATCTAATATCAACACTTGTTTTTTGGGGTACCAAATTGTTCCAACAGTTGCCCTGTATTGTAAAAAGCCATATACTCTGTTTTGGTTGTTATTGTTGTTTGTTCAGTTAGCCGAGTGCTGGTTTGCTTGCGGGAGGTCATGAGTTCAAACTTCGGTCGAACCTATAACCAGCAAGATCATTCGATTCAAGGTGAAACCCAATTCCTCATGTTCTGTAACGGTGAAAGGCAATACACAGGCAGCCCGCGCGGCCATTTTTGGTTTGGGCCTATACCATTACTGTATGATACACAACTTAGGCCGAGCAAAGAACTCGTTTCTAAAAGAAAAGAACTGCTGACAAATGCCTTCAGCCTTTGCCCGAAGAAGAGAATTTTAGCTAATTTTAAAGACTGTCACCCAGAGTAATCTACTGTAAAGAGCCGAATCGTGGACCTTGAAGAAAGAGGACGTGCGAAGACAGGAGAGCTGTTCCTGTTTTCAACAGAAGACATGTTTGGCTTTGTCATACTCTACGGTAGAGTGATCTTGTCCCATGAGTCGTTGAGGGGAGAATGAGAGGAAAGAGGCCACCTGGAAGACCTCAAGCGGGAATGCTGGATAGAGTGAAGGATGGCAGCCCTTACGTAGCGGTCAAGAGGTGCGCCTTAGATCGGGAACTATAAGGAAGGACCTGCCTGTAGGCAGAACACACACACTCACACACACACACGCCGTACTTCTACCCGGAAAATAAGTGACCCTGATCATATTCAGTTCACTCATCAGGGGTTGACTCCAGTCTGGGCTCAAATCGTTTCAATTTCTTCTTTTCGTTCTCAGGAATATACATTTGAGGAGGATAACCCACTGTTAGATCATCCTAATCCCTTCGAGGAAGGGCTGAAAAAACTCAAAGAAGGGGATTTGATCAGTGCCATTCTGTTATTTGAAGCAGAGGTAAATAGTGTTCGAAATATTTCCGCAACTACGGAGCGATATCTCTTTCGCGCGCGATTTTCCAAGAAACCTCACCGGAAATGTAGACAAAAAAAACTGTCAAAAAACAAATAGACAACAACTTTCCATTGTCTATACCTTTTTATAAAATAACTAAGATAGTACACGCGTTCTGATTGGTTAAAAACCTATTGTTTATTGTGCCGGTAAACTCATAGAAAACGTAAAGTTATTTATAAAAGCAATAGACCACACTTTCTATGTGTTTACCGGCGTGATAACCCACGCGGGATGTTGGGAGAACACGAGAAAAGCGTGATTTACAAGCTTCTCGAGTGTTCTCCCAACATCTCAAGTGGGTTTATCACGCCGGTAAACCCATAGAAAGTGTGGTCTATTGCTTAAATAGAGCATACAAGTGTTCAAAACTCTTGCCTGGGGCTTAATTTTTGAACATTTTGATTGAGTTGTTACTTTCCTTTTGTTTTTCTTCTTCTCCTCAGGTCAAGCAAAGGCCAGAGCATGCTGAGGTATAACCATCGTTAGGTTCTCTCTTTTCTTTTTCCTTTTTTTTTTTTGCATTTCTGAACTATTTAACCCATCATCAAATTTTCCTATGTTTATTGTTGTTCTCGGTTTTTTTAATCTTACACCGTTGTTTCAGGCATGGCAGTACCTGGGCACAAGTCAAGCAGAAAACGAACAAGATATTGCTGCAATAATAGCGTTGAATAAGTAAGTTTATTTTCCTTCTTCAGCTCTCACTGTTGTGTATCTTTTTAATCAAGAGTTATAGAGGTCTTACGACTTGTTTTCTTTTAGGTGCCTTGAAAAACAGCCAGATAATTTAACGTCGCTTATGGCTCTCGCTGTTAGCTACACCAATGAGTCTATGCAGTCACAGGTAATGTTATCCAGTACTTCAATAACCGCGTCTTTTTTCGTTCTTGAAAGAAAGCTCTGCTGTCAAAAGGAGGCAACTATTTTAAGCCCTTAAGTGTTGGTTGGCTCTGCCATTTTCGTTTATTAAAGGAGCTGTCCATAAGTCAAATTGAGGGATTAGGTGAACTCCCACAAAACAACTTACCACTCCAGCAATTTCACAGGCAAACCAGCCACATGGAAGGTGTATCTAGGTGACCGTAAAATGGACTGCTTCTTTTCCCCTTGAAATCTAAATTCTAACGAACTTATAAGTTGAATTCATACAGAGAAAAGTATCACTTGAGGCAGGATCAACTTATTTTATGGCACCAGAGCCAACTGTGGAATTGCCATTTTAGGCATCCTACTGATAAACAGCTTTTGCATTGAGATATTCGCAGAAGCAACATACATTTACAGTTTGTCACCCTTGGAATTGTAGCCAATACCTTACCACCCGGGACTGGTGGAAGAGCACTATATCAGTTAACGACATCACTTACAGAAAATAATTTGGCACATGGAAGTGTATTTTAATCAGGATTTTATACCCTTTTGCAGGCCTGTCAGACGTTGAAAGCCTGGTTAAAGGCCAATCCTCGGTATGTATATAAAAGGCTAAGATTGTAGTTAAAGAGCTTGTAAAAATGAATTCTCGTTTGAGAGATAATACGAGCAGCGGATCTGTATATGTGCGTTTACAATGGTGAGTCGAAGATGATCCATTGTGAAGTCCAGAAAGACCGGAGGCGAATATTATATATATATATATATATATATATATATATTTTATCAAAAGTTAATGAACAATAATTAGTCGATTTTCATTGAACACTTATTGAATGAGGCTGAGTATGATGTAAACGCGCGGCCACGGTTTCAGGATATTTAACAATTATTCCACGAGGGTGCGTTGGATATGACATGATAGATAGCCAACGAGGCGCGTAGCGCCGACTTGGCTATAATCATCTCATATCCAACAAGCGCAAGTGGAATAATTGTTTTATTAAAAACGCCCACAAAATCTCGTTGAATCTCCCCGACTAGAACAAACCGGAAAAGACAAGGGACTTCCTCTATTCACATGTCACACGTCTATCAAAACTGTCAACGCGCGAACGGACTCGCCTGAACTGCATGAATGAAAAATCAAAACATTGTAGCGATGAACATTAGTTTTTTAAAAACTCGTCGGGATTCTAGGATTTTACACAGCAGAACAGCTAAAAAAACCTGGCAGATAATGTGAAGGAAAGGAATTTCTAAGTGACAGACGTCGAAATTACTGTGAATTTGGATTTTCGGTGCAGTTATAAAAGTAAGAACAACGGAGAGAAACTATTACCTCGGTCGCTTGTTATGAAGTTGTTTGAAGCCACAAGCTGGTTTTGCTGAACGAGAAAAGAAGCTATACTACCGCCTCGATTGTTCTAGTGAATGGCTGTATAACCTGTATTTGTAGCTGGTTACTTGCGATTTATATTCTTGATTTCGGAGAAACAAGCCGCAGTTATCTATCGGCGAGTGACTCGATCGGCGAATGGCTTCGCGATCATGAGGAAGCAACACTTGTCTTCTTTCGTAGCTGGTCAAGGTACTTTAGTTCCATGTGTTTTCATGTGTTTTTAGACAAACTTTCAAAAAAGCTCTTGTGGCTTTTTGTTTGTTTTTGTCTTTTTTCTTTCGATGAAATACGTAAAGATCATAAGATTCTTTACTTAATTTTGCTAAACGAAGCCCGCGGCAAGATAGGAAGCGCTTTTTTTTAGAGTCGATCGAAGGTTAAAATTTGACTGCGCATGTCCGACCATATATGGAGAGCATAGTATAATAGCTCTTTGGATAGCCTTGAGCTTTTCCCAATTTTTTCAGTTCACGCATACATAAACAGCTAGGCTACCGCGCCGCTGCCTAGAAACAAGGTTGCTATTTTGTATTGAGGCAATATACCATCGTGTCGATTGTATATTGTCCATCTCTTCCAAACATAGTACGCGCCGGCTGAGAAAATTAGCTGGGAGATTGGGGTCAATCAAAATGGCAAAATCTTTCAAATGAATAATAGATGACTGGATCAGAACCACAGTCGGAGTTAGACAAGGGTTTTTACTCTCACCGACTCTTTTCAACATCTTTGTGGAAAGAATTATGACTGACGCACTAGAAAACCAAGGAACAGTCAGCATCGGTGGCAGAACAATTACCAACTTACGTTTTGCCAATGACATTGATAGTTTGACTGGACTGAAAAGAGGAGGAAATAACCTCCCTGGTGGATCGCCTGGGTAAGACCTCTGCAGCCTCTGGCATGGAAATTAGTGTAGAGAAGACCAAACTGATGACTAACAACACAAATGGCATCAACATCGACATCAGAATCAACGGCGAAATATTGGACGAGGGTGACAGCTTCAAGTATCTGGACGCAGTCGTCACAGATCAAGGTTCCAAGCCCTGAAGCACTGTCCAGAATTGCACAGACAAGAGCAACACTAGCGAGACTGAAGACTATCTAGAACAATAAGCATTTCTCTCTAAGCTCAAAGATCAGACTTTTGCGGTCCCTGGTTATCTCAGTACTGTTATACGTCTGCGAAACCTGGACATTGACAGAGGGCATTCTAAAGAAATTGCAGGCCCCCCGAAATGAGATTTCTTTAGGAAATTGCTTGGCATCTCATACAGAGACCACATCACTAACGATGCAGTCAGAAACAGAATCAGGCAAGCCATTGGGCCCTATGATATCTTAACCACGGTAAAAAAAACGCAAGTTAAAGTGGTGTGGGATCTAACCTTGGATGTATCATCTATCAAAATCAGCAGGGCTCGCCAAGACAATTTTACAAACAGTGCTATAAGGGAGAAGAAGGGGCCGACAAAAGAAGTGTTAGGAGAACAACATCTCTGAGTGGACTGGGTCTGGGTTGAAGTCTTGAAACGCCCCGAAAAAATCTGAAAACAAAATCAATTGGAGGGAAAGGGTTGCTTGGTCAATGGCACCCCAACGGTCACCATGACCACGGGATAGGTGCAATATGCTATAATTAACAATTATTCCTCGAGCCTGAATGGGCTCTGAGTCAATAGCTATTGACTCAAGGGCCATGAGGGCGAAAGGAATAATTATTTTAGTAAAATTCAAATAGTTGGCCAAAAATATCGAGACTAAACAACTTTAGCTAGCAAAACTTGATTCAGCCTCCATTGTTTTGGTTTTCAAAGCCGGCGCTTTTCGCTACTAGTGGGCTATAACATATAGCCTAGTAGTAGCTCAACCGATCAGAACGCAGCATTGATAATAGACCAGAAGTTGGATTTTACTAATTAACAATTATTCCACGAGTGCGCGTTGGATATGAGATGGTTGTAGCCAACGAGGCGCGTAGCGTTGAGAAGCGCCTTGTTTGACTCAAATACTACCTACTGATTAGTGATAACTTTGATGAATGATTTATACATTTTACAATTTTAGATACAGTGACTTGGTACCAAAGCCCGCAGGATCAGAAGCTTCTGCACGCCGTATGCTAGCGACGTCATCTCTTATGTCATCGGACATGTATAATGAGATAAGACAGCTTTATGTGACAGCTGCTCAACGGGCCCCAGAGAAAGATATCGACTGCAATGTACAGGCATGTTTTCTAAAGAACTGTAACAGCATGTTTAAATTTTGTGACTGTAGAGTTGATGATATGCTACAGAAAGCTATAAGGAAGCGACTCATTTGCCTACCTGAAATTCACTAGCCTGGTTCTTACACTATCTGAGTTAATCAAGATATGTAGAAAAATAATTACTAAATACAATTCTTAACATCTCCGCGCTTGCGGTCTTTCTTCTTTCCTTTTCTTGCGGGCGGGGAGAAAATTTATCCTGGGAGAGGTTGCTTATCCACGATAATGAACTGAGTTGATTTAAAAGCCTGAATCTTAAGAAGCAGCACTGTCAGCCAGTATTAAATGTTACCCTCCCCCTACCTCATAGGTCGGTCTTGGTGTCCTGTTCAACCTGTCAGGCGAGTACGACAAAGCAGTGGATTGTTTTCAGGCTGCGCTTCAAGTAACAAATGATGCCTTGCTTTGGAATAGACTTGGTGCTACTCTGGCGAATGGCGGGCGCAGCGAGGAAGCAGTGGATGCATACAGACATGCGTTGAATCTCAGTCCAGGGTTTATCCGGTGTCGCTATAATCTTGGTATAAGCTGCATCAATCTGAATGCGCATAGGCAAGCTGTGGATCATTTATTAACAGCTTTAAACATGCAACGCAAGGTTAGTGTGCTTCTGAGTTGGACCTTATCGTCAAAGTTAAGGGGAAGTGGGGTTATCTTACTGTTTATACAAAAATAGGTTAAAGATAGATTGATTAATTTATCAGCAAATATAAAAATACACCAGTTTAACACACCAGATCGGTCTTAAGTGTAAGCCTGTCCATACCTACGACGTGAATTATTTGACTATTCAGGATTACGCTCACCCAGACGATCATATTCCACCTACTTAAAGATTCTTTTAAATACAGAAGAGTATATGCTGGAAACTCCTAATTTATTTAAACATTCACTCATTTTTTTATTTATTTTACTTTATTATTATTATTATTTGCGTTTATTTGTAAATTAGCATATTTTAAAACACTTAATGACTGGTCCCTCGGAAAAACAGTACTCAGGAAACATTGAGATTTGAGTGAAACAAAATTAACTGTTTCCCAAGGGACCAGTCTTTAAATGATTTGTTGTACAGCTGGAAAATTTGAAGCTGGAAATTCATTAAACCTGCCATCGGTCGACATTCGCGGGTAACAGTGCACTGTTACCCTCACGTGACCTCAAAGTAACCAATGAGAGCGCATGCTGTTGGAAAAGAATTTCCAGTTATAGAAAAATCCAGTGTACTTTACAATTTTTTTTAGGTTTTTTAATTTCTTATTGCAGGAGCCGATTATTGTAATATTGTAACTTTGTTTCAAAACGTTAAGATCAGTAATTACTGCCTGTGTGACGTACTGAGTACGTCACGCAACTTGCAATTCGTCTGCCTGCATGATGTACTCAGTACGTCAAAAATTAGAGAGTAACAGTCAAATCCCCGTCACTGGAGATGTAATATAACCTGGCCTCTAAGGCCCAAAAGAATTTAGTACACTGGTAACTACTAGTGCCTAGTCCCACATTTAGCAAAGCGGGTTTATAGATCACACAAAAACACTTTCGTGCGCCGTCCGCCATATTGCTTTCAAAAGCATGTAGCTGGAAGAGCAAAGAAAAATTTCTGTTCGATTTTGAATATGGAGAGATACGAAACTGCTCAAGATGTGTTAGATGAAGTATGGAATGATTCCGGAGAGGAACCTTTTTGCGATAATGACAACGATTTTAGTGATTTTGAGGAGAACTCTGGACCGAATGAGAATGACGAAAACATCAACTCTCATGATTCAGAGGGTGTTGGCACAGGAGTTCTCAATGGGGTTGGCAGCGAAGGGGTTAAGCTGTAATATTTAAGGCCACTCTTATTAGCTTGGGGTTGACTTGTTGGTGCTATCCTCTCTTGATATTATTATCATCGTTATCATCGTCATCATCATCATCATTATTATTATCATCATTATTATAGCAGAGTTCTCAACTGGATGCTAAAAGCTTAAAAAACTGCACAGGGCGCACAGCGTAACCTGTGAGCCTGGGAGTTAAAAAGGCTTCGAAATATGATAGAGAAGATCAAATTTCGGACAGTAAACTGCAAGTTTTAGCATAAGCTTTCTTCAGACATTCATGACAGCATCATGAGATCTGACAAGCTCTTGGTACCCGCGGGCAAGACTTCAAACGTTTACAAAATGGACACACAATCATACAACGATCTACTGCAGAAAAATATTACTAAGACCTACAAGAACGTAACCCTGGACACAGCGGATTCCATTGAGCTGAAGGCCAAAGATATTGCTAAGAAACTACAGCTAGATAGCAGGATAAATACCACTGCCAAACGTGAAGCCTTTATTACTCTCAAAGTCCACAAGCCTAATTTCGCAAACAACCCCACTTGCCGCCTTATCAACCCAGCTAAGCATGAGATTGGAAAGATCAGCAAACAGCTCCTTGACCGCATCAACACTGCACCTGTTTGAACGCTGAAATCAAACCAATGGAAAAACACTAAGGCCATCTTATCTTGGTTCACTGGAATACAGCATAAAGAGTTGTACACATTTATTGCATTCGATGTGGTAGAGTTTTACCCATCGATCTCCATCGACTTGCTGGGTGCCGCTCTCGAATTCGCATAGAAGCATGTCACCGTTTGCGACGACGAACGGCATATTATCCTTCAGGCAAAAAGCTCTTTTCGATGTGACCATGGGCAGTTACGGTGGGGCCGAATCATGCGAACTCGTCGGCACTTACCTTCCCCACAACATCAAAGAAAGGTTCAGTAACGCATGTAACTTTGGCTTCTGCAGAGATGACGGTCTAGGTGTAACCAAGGCATCACCTCGGCAGGCTGAGCTTATTAAGAAGGAACTGTGTAGCATTTTCGCCAAGTACGTCTGAAGATTACTATCGAGGCCAATAAGAAAGTTGTAAACTTTCTTGACGTCATACTTAAAGGGACAGGTTCACGGTTCAGCGCATGCTCATTTATCAAAATGCTGTTTCTCTACCGGGACATGCTGTATCGTCTATGCAAGGAATATGATCATGTCATAATCCATCCATCCTACTTCAGGTTACTCTTAGACTGCTTGCAGTCCGCCTTTTCTCTTAAAATCCGTCTAGTTCTTAGCTAGCGCGATTGCACTTTTTTTGCAAACAAACTCTCCGTCAGCCCAGAAACAGAGTGGCCGATTGGTCAGTTTTACAGCTGTTGACAGATCATTGACTGCTTTGTGGTGGAGAATAGTCACGCGTCACAACTAACAATTATGAACCTAGCGGTCAGTAATCGCTTGTTATCTACAACGTTTAAGGATATCTTACAGAAGGAAACTGCTGTAAATTTCCTCAAGGGAAAGGAATTCTACGAGAATTCAAGGCAATATTACTGGATTTAAAAAGGTAAAATTTTTCAGTTGTTAATGTTCTATTTATAAATCGTTTCAAGTTAATCGGGTTACCAGTAATTGGTTAATTAAATTACCTTGACAGCTTCCTTGTCCCCAGACTGAACAAAAGAGTCAACAGTCTCTTATTTTTTCTTCTCGGGCTTACGCCCTCGTTTATCGCGGCTTGCGTGCTTGGTTTTCTCTTGCAGTAACTTTGCAAAGAAAAATAAGACTACTCGCAGTCTAGGTTACTCTGAAATACACTTCCACTTTGAAATACACTCTGAGATCGCTGAGATACATGTGGGTGGGATTATTAACCCATAGAATTAATAATAAATTGGAAAAAAAGCAATTTTATTAATGAGCATGCGCCTAACCGTGAACCTGTTCCTTTAACCTGGCTAACGGTAAATACTTGTCATACATCAAACCAGGAAACATTCCACTCTACGTCAACAAGAAATCTAACCATCCACCCCGCATCATCGAAAACATCCCAAAGTCCATCAAAAGAAGGCTGTCCGAAATCTCTATAGATGAAGATTCGTTTAACAAAGCGGCGCCTCTTTATCAGAGAGCCCTCCATGACAGCGGGTACAGCCACAACTCAGTTCCTACGGCACAGTCTCCGAACTCTGGACGAAGGAACCGCCATAGAGACATCATTAGGTACAACCCCCCTTTCAGCAGGAACGTGGCTACTAACGTTGGACGATCCTTCCTAAAGATCCTCGACGAAGCATCCCCGAAGTTCCACGCGCTGAATAAAATCTTCAACCTTCAACACAGTTAAGATCAGTTACAGCTGCATGCCGAATCTAAAACAAAAAGTTGATGACAAATCCACCCGACGGAAAAGGAACGCCGTACCACCTAAAGCTTGCAACTGCCGTCAACCAGCTCATTGCCGTCTGGATGGTAATTGCTTAAAATCAGCCGTGATCTACCAAGCCACAGTGACAACGGATGACAACAGGCCTGCTGAGACCTATGTAGACCTTACTGAGAAGAACTCTTTTAAGACCAGATACGCAAACCATAAGTCTTCTTTCAGAGACCCAAACAAGAGACTCAGTACAGAACTCAGCAAGCATATCTGGCATTTGAAAGACGCTAAGATTGAATATATTGTAACTTGGAAGATCTTAAACCAAGCCGCGCCTTTTAATCCCGCTTTCAACAGCTGTAATTTGTGCCTGTGGGAAAAATATTTTACTATTTGCAGACCCGATCTGGCGAACTTGAACAAGCGAAATGAACTTGTAACTTCCTGCAGGCACGCGCGCAAACTCCTTCTTAGCAGCTTTACATCTTCCGTTGTCACGCAATAGTTTTTGATTCAAATTCTGCGCGCACGTTTGTAGTCTTAGCGTATGTTGTAACGAACTTTTTGTTGGCAATTTTATCTGAGGAGTGCCGTACATGCCGTGCGTTACGAAACCAAATAATAATAAAAATGCCAAAACAAATCTCACGTTGACACCAGATAACCTGGATTATACTACGCTCTAGTCCTTCTATTGAGCATTCTGCGGATAGTCGTGCATACGTATCAACTGGTATATAAAAATATCTATATCTATTTATATACTCTAAAAAATTTACAATTTCATCGTCTGTCAGTTCACATATTATTATAACAGAGTTCCCAGATGGTTGCCTAGGCCTACTCTGGAACCTTAACTCGCCCTAACTCGCAACTTGAGATTACGTTCAAATTTCCTTATCTCTCCTAAACTCGCATTTTCTCGCACAAACTCGCCCAATCTCGCCACTGCCAAGTGGATACCAATCCTACTCTCAGTGTAATTTCACAATTACTCCATAAAGGGAAGATGCCAAAGAATACAAATTTCAAAAGTTTAAAAGATACTGATTTTTAACGAAAATAGCGTTTTTACCTTTAAAAAATATTTAATTGACCAATCCCATCCTTCTGGAATTTCCAATAGCCTCTGTGTTAAGGGTATTTCACCACTAAAGATTCGATGAGGTTTTTCTTGCTTAACATTGTCATGCCTTGGAGTCACAACTGGACTGTCAATGGAACTACAAGGAACAGCCTAACATGCACTAACTCGTTGCCTAACGAAAAGGCTTCAATGCTAAGCATAGCAGAAATTCCAAAGGCATGAGGTCACAGGGTCTTACAAATCCCACGTTGACTGTTTGTGTGTTGGTCCACAAAGTAAGTGACATTAACGAAAAGCACAAACAGTGAATCCATGAAAACGTTTTCATAAAATAGTTTAAGTTTTAGTCTTACACTTCTACGCGAGACAAAGAAACACTCTAAATTCAAGATTGCTTTGAATCTCTCAACTGAAGAAAAAAATATTATCCTATGATTTGTTTTTAATTTTTGGCTTAAAATAAGAAATCTCGAATTTAGAGTGAAATACAAAAACACAATACCAGAATATTAAATTTTTAGTTTTAAGCTGGTTAATGATTTTCAAAAAAGTTTAATTGTAATGGAAAGTTTAGTTACTTTGCAAATATAATGCATAGCATAGGTATCATCTTATAATCTGATGAAGCTTAATGAGGATTCCAGTTGACAATCATCAACGAAAAGCTAGGATGTAGGCAGAATCGAGAATCCTTTAAATACTCCACATACTGATTGCAGTCCATATTTCTTAGAAATAATTCTTATAAATATTTACCTCATACTAGAAGATCTGTACATTGGTTCAACGTGACATCCTGTGTGGCCTACATTGTAGTCAGACTGACAACCATAACCCAGGCATGATTCATAAAGACTTGTTACATTTAGCCCTTAACTGAATGGAGGATTGCTTAAGGTACAATTAGTCGTAACTATCGGTTGAAGCAAGCGGTAGAAACTTTAATGGGTCTTCTATGACCATTGAGCACAGAAGGGTCCCGGGAGAGCGAGTCGGATAACAGGAGCTATACGTAAGACCCATTAAAAGTTCTACCGCGGGAAAACTTCTGAAGGAAAGGAGGAGAACTCGTGCAAAACTTTTGATGTTAAATCGAGAAGTTTCAAAATGTATCACATGCAGGTAAGCTAAGCTAAAGCCTTTTACCTTTGCAACGTTTACTATATAAAAGCCTTGTTGATCCCAGTCCACTGGCAAGTTTTAGGTAGGAAGCTTCAATGTGGCGTACGTGACATGAAAACACGCAGGAAAGATTCATCAGTGACAACTCTCAAGAGTCTGGAAGACAAAGCCGATAGTGGAGAGTGTTTTCTTGTTAATCAAGTTAAATAAGGTATAGTCCACTGCACAACTATGGACACTTTCTGACACTTTATAAAAAATAAGTAAGCCTGAACAGAAAATATGGTCCTTTATTTTTTGCTGTTTTGCTAGGCTGAGAATGATAAAGAGTTTACCATCAAGTTAACTTAATCCTCCTTTCTTTTGTAGAAGTCAAGGTGTCTCTCACAGGATTGTCCAAGTTTAAGGAAGGAGTTTCTAAAATACGGGAACGTTGTCTTTGCGAAAAGGCATCAGCCTCCATTTGCAAGAAATTAAAATAGATTATCCGAGGAAACGAAAAGGCAATCATTTCTGTCAGGGAAAACAAACAATTGAGCTGGATTTCAAGGGAAACCATCAGTAAAGTGGAGAGAATGGATCAAATGGAAGACTTAAAGATAAGTCTTAAAATTTTCAAGGAGAAAGAAATTTCATTTGATTTCAGTAAAATTGATTGTGTCGTAAAAATTTCCTTAGCTGAGTTGTAATTCGTCAGCTTCCCCGGTTTTTTATACTAGTTCTTTCAAGAACATTGACACAGACTGCAAAACATTTATTTTTTTCAATTCTGGAGTTAGTGATAACAATTGATGACATGTCATGTGATACATTATGCTCACCTGCCTATTAAAACATAGTGTTATTGAATAAAATAAATGAATAAAATAAAATATCCTACCTGTGCTTATACTACAGCTACATTTTTTTTATCAATTCATGATTGTTTTGTTTTCATTTTTTTTCTTCACTACTGGTAATTTATTATTCTGCCAAATAATTATATAGCTTTAATAAAGAATATATGATGATGATGACGATGATTATTATTATGATACAGCCACCAAGTTGTATAGTTTGGTGTCTAAATGCTATATAATTAATAAAGAACAGGACTCCATATCACTAGCATATCCATACTTAAGCTTGTCCAATTAGGAAAATAATTCAAGTAATAAATTTAAACAATATTTGGCTTCATTCAACTTTGGAGCTCATCTAAAATTTTTTGTTTAATTTTATTCGTAATTGGACAACATGGAGCCTACTATATATATAAGACATACAAAGACTGCAAGGCATCTTTATATGTATACAGTATTACTAAAGCATATTATAAGTTTTAACCCTTATAACCTCAACAGAAGGTGGATCATTTTCCCCTAACTCGCCTTATCTAGCACAAACTCGCAACTGATAGGTGAGCTCAATTCTTCCTTATCTCACCTTAACTCGCCTAAACTCGCATTAGCTCGCACAATTTCGCGGCGAGTTAAGGTCCCAGAGTAGGCCTCTGCCTACAGCTTAGAATGCTGTTTAGGGCGCACAGCGAACCCAATGAGCCTAGGAATTAGAATAATAATAGTTATTTCACTAACAGACCACACTTTCTATGGGTTTACCGGCGTGATAACCTACGCGGGAAGTTGGGAGAAGACGAGAAAAGCTTGTAAATGATTTAGCCAAAGCTAAAAGTGAAGTGCCCATTTATATAGTTTTAATTACTTAAAACCCAAAAATTAAAACGTAGGAGCTTCAACATTTGCAAAGAAATCCAGAAATTTTTTTTTTATAAAGAATGGTTGTCAGTCACGAAACTCTTTGGCTGCGTCCAGTTCACAGTTTATGTTTGTGGGTTAATCTTTTGGTCTTAAAGGGATTCTACCTAAATGGTAAATTAGGCCGATTTTTGTGTTAAGAATATGTTTTCTTTGCAAAATCGGACCTAGAAACCGTTACTTATAAACTAGCCTTTAGATTATACATCCCAATATCTGATACTCAGTAACCTTTACTGTAAGTTATACTTTTTGTTTCTTCTGGAAAAAGGCCCATGAAGGTTGATAACTTTTATTTAACATTTCCCTCAATGAATAAGTTATAACCGTAATTTTGCAGTCTACACAAACTGTCTTTTGCGTGTTGTGAATTTTAATACGGCTAAATGTGCACTTTAAAAATAACACTGATCTAACGTATTCGAAAAAGAGGAAGTCATTTTGGCGAAGTTACAAGTTAGTCGGTAAAATAATCGACAAATCTTTTATGTACTTTTTTTTCGGCGAGAATAAACAATGTGAGTTAACAGTCGCAAATCACACTGACACGCCATGCTAAACCATTTTCAGACAATTCATTAACGCGTCATTATGACACAGTCCGCAAAAGGGAAAGAAAGCCTCACCACCTTGATAAAATTGTGACTGACGATCAAAACATGAATAAAACTTCAATGAAACACGCACAACAACGACACTACTTGTTCAAGACAGCAAGAAGTGTGACTGAAACTAGAAATGAGTTTTCTCTAAAACCTTTCCCTTTTCATTTGCAACCACAAAATTAATTTAAGCTCGGTGTATATTTGATAAACTTGAGGCCACGTAGCCTGAATTTCAGACGATTACTTCGACTCTTTTTTACTCCCTCAGTTGAGGGAAAAAAGGCTTTAGTTGTCGGCAGGTGGTCTGTCAGCAAACAAATTTCATTCGTACGTCGAACACAAGAACTGCAATGTAGATTTTTACTCGAGCAACTCCGTTGGTTGCCCCTAAAATGGTTAATTTTGCGCCTAAACGAAACGCAACGTACATGTTTGGGATTCCCTTCCCTACCCTACTGGGTTTTTTTACCCCTACCCCCAGAGTCTGTACGGACGGTGTACGCTCACGTCATAACCAAATTTTCTGACTTCGGGTATGGGGCTCCGCTAATAATAAAAATCTAAAGATATCTTTATCTATATACATTCACTTTATAAAAGACAACAAAATTAAGGCTCGACCCAATGAAACGTCTAAAACACAGAATCCAAACTTGGCCTAAGCTAGATTTAAAAAAATCGTCGGAAAATACAGTCAATCGTCTTTCTTTCAAGTCACAACTTTAAATGTCCGGGCAATATTGAGCGTGCCCGACCACACCGCCTTCTGCATTCTTTTCAGCACCTCTTTACTTTCTCTCCTGTTGTTGGGAACTGCTGTTTTAATTCCCAGCGCAGGGGGGCATACTTTACGTTCTTCTCTTCGTACGTCTTTTCTCTGTTGTTGACTCACGGACAGCTCGTTTCGAGGGTTATGACCCGCTTGGTCTTGTGCTTGACGATTCAGATATCAACTCTGTTGCATCTCACCACTTCATGATCTGCAAAAACTGGCACGTCCCAATAGGCTTGTACATCATCCGACTCGTATACAGGCCTTGGCTTGGCCGAAGAGTACCTGGGTGGAACTCACCCATGAGTCCAAGATCATGCAACATCTCATATTAAAGTACCTTTAAGGCTGAGTCGTATCGGGAAAGCTACTTGCTCTGTGCCAGCGCACCGCACCCAAACAAGATGTGAGCCACACTTTCTGGGGCCTTACTGCACAACGTACACCACGCCTCGCTCTCAGAACTGGGTCATGTAGCAGCTGCTCGTCAGAACTTGTTTGGGTCTTCTGACTCGCATATAATCGAGTTGGTAGTAGTTGATCGTTTGGACAGGACTTCCACTCTGTCAGCCACCAAAGCATCCACTAGCGCTCAACTTCTCATCCCGAAACCTAGCTATAACTAGACTTCCCCGCCTTCGCTGATTTCTATCTTCTTCTAGCCTCTCTACTTGACACTTTCGCAGTTCCGTCTTGACTATACGAAGGTGCTCCAAATTAAGTTCGACACCAAGTTCCTCCGCGAACCTAAACACTTCTTTAACCATGGACCTCCGTCCCATTTCCTCCGCTCGCTCTTCAAACTCCCGCATCATTTGTATGGCCGGATCTTGATTACAATAGAGTCTAACCGTACCCTTAACCCTCGTGGCTTTATATTCCATCTCTACCGAACGTAAACCTCTGCCCACCTTCTATCGCCGTAGGTAAAATATCGCATTCGAGCCACGAGGGTGCCTTCCCCCGTTCTCAATAACAATATTCCGAGCTTTCCTGTCGGTCACCTGTATATCCATTATCGGCCACTGTTGCGTCCACAGAAGATAACCAAGCACCGGTAAGGCAAACTGGTTTGAAGCGGTCACACGAATGTGGTCCGACAAAGGACTTGTCCAAATGACAGACATCCGTCGGAGGTACTCCTTGGCTCCGCACCCCAAGACCAGTTTTATCCTCCTGCATAACACTCCAAAGCACGCCTAGGAAATTGTACTGCTTCCCGTCCTCGAGGATTGGTATCCTGGCCGTCTCGTCCTATATCATCCTCGAGTTATCACTCACATACACTCCTCTTCTAACATGAACCACTGCACACATCTTCCATAGTCGTTTTGACCATGTTCATGACCCGGTTGAGTTTACTCTCAGATGCAGCGAAAATGTTGAGGTCGTCAATATATATATAGTAGGTCAGTAACCTTAAAACTGATGGGTTTGGACAATCTGTATCCCTCGGTATTACTGATCTTCCAGGCTATTGGGTTTGAGCATACAGTCAAGAGTCTCGGGCAACCAGACCGGAAACCTGTGCAACAGCATTACCTTATTTAAGCAGCCACGATCCACTGAATCACACGCCTTCTTAACATCAATCCATGCCATACCTACATTGCGCCTTCTCCTGTGACAATCTAAAGTCATCGTTCGATCAATCAACAGGTTGTCTACCTTACCACTACATCCTGTACGAGCACCCTCCATCAAGTTATATTCGTCTAGATGTTGGTCTGTTGGGACAAGTAGGCAAGACGTGAAACATATGTACATGGTGTTTAAGCAAATAATGGGGCACTGGTTGTCACTGGTAAAAATTCTCCGGGCTTCTGAATCAGCGATGTCTTCCCTTTAGAAAACCAGGGAGAATGATCTTCCTCATAATCAGAGATAGCTTGAAACTACGCCCTCATGTAAGACGTGAGCTCGTTTCCACCAAAAATTGAGGAGACGATCCGGTCCATGTGCACTCCAATTTTTCTTCCGTTCTGGAATTTTCACCGCGCAACTTGTGTCTAGAACCCAGGCCTCTTCCCTCAGCTCTTAATTCGTCCAGGCATTCTGCGTTCCCGTTTATTATTATTATTATTATTATTATTATTATTATTATTATTATTATTATTAGAAAGAAGAAAATCCTTCATTTATTTTTATACATCACCATGCAATATTACTTCCAAAATATAATCTCTTTAGACTCAGTGAAACTAAAAAGAAGTTATGTGCATCATGAATGATGTAGTAATTGAAATTTGATAGTTCTAATCAAGATCTAGTTTCACTTTTAAAAGAAATTGTACCTCTAATTAAAAATTTACCTCGATAAAGTGTAAGGTTCTATATCAAATTAAAATTGTCTCGATATTGGTGCTTTTAAAAACAAAAAGGAAAGAAAAAGGGATGGGGTTATTCTAGCAGTCACATTCTTAGCTGTTTCTTCTTGATTTCGATCTCTTAGGGCAGAGGAAAGCTGAGCGTAACTAAAGATTGCAAATGAGGCTTTTGCCCTTAATCAAGACACTGTACTGGCCTAATTTCCCCCCTTTGATGGCGAGATGTTTAGCAAGTCTGCTGTTATATCTGCTGAACTCCTCAGTCATTGCGCCATTCGTAGTAAAAATATATTGGCGCATTGCCGCTTCATCTCATGTCTGTGTTGCCAATAAATTTGCTCGGGAGTAAGATCTGTGAAAGGTTCTGCATTAGGGACATTAAAGAATGTAGAATCGCGTACATTTCTCTTAGAAACCTCGGGAGTGAATATTCCGACGGGCACCAGGGTCTCTCTTAGCGCCCCAGTTAAACTCTTCTCCAATGATCTCCTGTAGGACCAGTTCTATTTCCACGTCACTACACAACACGCTCAGCAACTCTCTTCCAAATCACTACCATGTTGCACGAAATTTTTTTCCGGATTGGTGAGTTTTTTGTTACAGGAACTAATTTTTGCGATTAGGGCAGTCTGGATTTTCTTGCTGGGAATTTATGTTTGCGATTTTCAGTGAGTCCCGGACAAATCATTGAAAATATTTTCTTTTTTATCGAGTACGTGCAATGGAAATATATTTTTTCAAACAATACTACGGTGTGCGTACTCTATGTAAAACCAGTTAGTTTTCTTTTTCATTCGATTACTTCGGTGACTAATTGTTCCGATGATCGATCGGAAGTGAATTTAAGTTGGAGAAGATTTACCTTAAAGTAAATTTTTGCGATGATTTTTTTTTTTTGGCGAGAACTTACTTTTGTGGATCACTGGAAAAATCCCAAAAATTAAATCATGGTATGATCCGCATTGAACAGGTTCCCGCATACGCACGGGGCCGGCGTATCAGTGAATTGGTAATCATATCTCTGTTTAATCGGGTCTTAGTCTGGGGATTACCGTCAGCCGAGGCGATGCTCTCTTTTCAGCGGTCAGCTGTAATGTGTATTTGCTCCATGATTTGCCCCACTAACAGACTTAAAACATTAACTGATTACATCCAGCGATGTTGTAAACTAAACGCTTGAGGTTGTGAAGCGGTGAACCTCTTGCGTCTATAGCGTCAGGTTTTGTCTCTTTCATAGCATTTCACCATTATCCTGCGCAATACCCCATCAACCCCAATCGAACCGCGGACTGCGCTCTCCCCTTTTTCAAGTGGACTGATAAGTCGATTTGCTAATAACGTTCAACACTACATAAAATGATCATTTAGTTCCGTTCATAATCGCCTGATCATTGTAGCTATTGCAGCGCACAGGTCTGTGCCTTATTTCATAAAGGATTTGCACGCAAGGGTTCTCCTAAGACCATAAGCATATTAAGTATAAACGAACATAAACTTCCCTAGAATGTCGAACCGTGTAAGTTGATGGTTAATATTTTCCTTTCGGTAATTCTTCCCCGTTTTGCCGATAGTCAGTCATAGTTGTCGTTATAATTATAGTCGGTTACGCCCATTCAGACCCTCTTAGGTGTCTGAGACATTACGAAGGATCCTTGGCCATTCTCAGCACCACACACCCCTTCTACAATGGCTCTAGACGACGTGTTGCATCAATCCATCCAGAGTATTTATTTTTCCCTTTCTTTTTTGTCAGGGCTCTGTTGGACCAGGAGGCTCAGTGTCTACAATGTCAGACAACATTTGGTCGACACTGCGCATGACGCTGTCGCTAATGGGCAAATCTGAGCTGCATAAAGCGGTGGACACACGTGACTTAGATCATCTTAATGCTGTCTTTCAAAGTGACTTGCACGACAATGGCGCAATTACTGTGTGAATGCTAGTTTGTAGTACCAAGATTAACACAAACTGGATCACTACAAAGTGCGAAAGCAAAACGTTTTTACGCGCGAACTCGTTGGTTCATCCGCTTGTCGCATTGGTAAGATAGATGAATAACAGCAATTTTTGCTTTCTGCGTGTTTTTCGTGGTGGAGTAAGCTGTTAAAGTAAAACCTATTGAAAATGTCGTGGTTTAATTTCGAGAGCTGGGCGAATGAAGATTGAATACGCATTCAAAAGAAGTTATGCCGCGTTCTACGGAATAATAGTCTCTTTCTATGAATTCAATTACATGGCCTAGGCAGAAAAGCACAAGGCCACGAAAACCTGCTTGAAGGCGATTTTTCGTCCTCAATTTTGGTACTTTTGAACGGCGAGAGTTTTAATCGTCCTAAATTCCTTTTTTAATGAGAATAATAAACATCCTTATCAGCAAGGGTTACTTAAGACAATTTAAGGTAAAAATTTACAACGACGTTGCGACCGTGCCTCGGTCATTATTAAGTTGAGTATGAGAATAAAAAATTAGCACTATATACAGTACACCAAAATTTCCTAGCATCGAGAGACGATATTAAGGTGACTCGACCCAGTTATTTTGTGAGGGTAGCATCCTACTTTGAAGCTCTCTGGTATCCCCACCTTTACTTTGATCGTAAGTCTAACATATAGCATGGGTAACATATAGATCAATCTACAACATAGCATAAAAGTTTTGGCGATCGGAGTAAATGTCACGAGGTTATAGTGCCACGCCTCTTCGGGGTCTGAGTCGAAATTCTAGTGCTGCCGGCATTTTTTCGTGAAAATCTCTCGGCTACATTTAGTTCGCATTAGTGCCTTGCGTCGGATTCCCGACGAAACCAAAAAAATCTTAGGTAGGACTAAAATTTCCGAGCCCTGAAAGTTTTCCGTTAAGGATTAAATGATTTTGCACGCCAAAAAATAGAAAGAAAATGTTTGTGGTTGGTTTATTCATCGTACCATCAGCTGAATTTATCTTTTTTGCATCTGACAGTCTGAACTGCGCGGCTAGCATTGTCCAAAAGTGTCTAAATATATTTCTTATATTTTCAAAATTTTCCTATCCTCAAAGAAAACCCGTAATGAAAAATTTCAAAACAAAAACGAAATCCCTTTATCATCTCAGTAACTTTAACTCTCCCCTCCCCTCCAACCTCCCCCCCCCCGCCCCAGGGCCGTTTTTATTGTTGGTAGTAGTTCGACATTTCTCCCACTTCCTCTGTTTGTCCTGGTTTCGGTCAGTTTGGAAATATCCTCATTCTGCATATTATATTGCAATTGACCACTCCAGAAAATACCATAACATAACATAATACTCTTTGTTTGTCACCACAAAATTTTGCATAAGCATTGTTTTCAGTTTCTCTCGGGGCCATGTTAACTCCCAAAAGAAACTGAAGACAATGCTTATGCAACATTTTGAGGTGAAAATCAAAGAACATTATGGTATGTTATGGTATTTTCTGGAGTGGCCAATATGCTGTATATAGCCAGTATGAAGCAAAGTAGGGGAGTCCTACCACGGTCTGGCAGGACGGGGGGAAAGTGTTGAACTAAAACAAACAACAACAAAAAAGACAAAACAAACAAACAACATGAAAGAACACGTTATTTACAAAAAATGTATATATCGCTGTATCGCGGTTAGACACGCTCGGGGATCACAAGCCTACGATCGGTAAAACCGTATGGTAAGAAAAAATTGTCTGCTCATTCAATGGCATATATATAACATGTTGGTTAGAGATGGAATTTTTTTTACACAAATGAGAAATAATTGCTGTGTGTCATGTTTGCGTAACGCAATCAGGCCTAAAACGGCCCTTTCACGTGACACCTGACATGTCGAGCGAGCGGAAATTTCGTTGTTGTTTGTATATCTCAGTTTCATTGCGGAAATGAAGTCAAACAAGGACACAAGGTACAAACAAACAAATTGTACACCTGAATATATACTGGACAGGATTTGATGTATTTTAGCGTTTTGGCCGAGTTTATGCTTTGGGAGTTTTCTATTGTTTCTAGTCTGTCATGATACAGCATTCTTGTTCAGCACGCGTGCAATGACCGCGCTTATGACTTCCCAATGCTCACCGAGATATGATAATTTAGTATAAGAAAATAGAAGGGATTCCCATCATGTAACGTCCCCAGCCAGCTGAGTGTACATCATGCCGAGACTTTAAAAACTCTAAAAAGAAAATGGCCGGGGTGTTGAATGCTATTCGGGGGAGAGAGGAAGTTCACGGAGAAGAGATTGTGTAGCATTTCTTGATTTTTTTGCAAAGAGACAAGAAGCACGAGAATTGATTAAAAATCGTGAGTTAAACCTCTATGTATCACGATTTGTATCACAATATTCTCTAAACTCATTCGACTTATAAGTGGACCACTGTCTGACTTGATGGTATTTGTTACCAAATCGATACTTCTTATACGGTCAGTGTAAAACGTAGAGACTGCGGACTGTAGACTGCGGACTAGGGGTAAAATGCAGACTGCAGACTAAGAGTAAAACGCAGGCTGGGGTAAAATGCAGACCAAGCATAAACTGTAGTCGTGGAAGGGTGAAGGGTAAGAAAATCACGCAAATACACGTAAACGAACACTTACTTGACGACATCTGCTTTCACAAATCCATTCCTTTCTTATCTGGAACGTCGTCGACGACCCGAAAACATAATCGCACTCTTGAACCTTTTTTTCCGTCCGAGAGACTTCACACTTCAACTTTAGATGCGAAGTTTTCGACATACACTCAGTCTGCATTTTACCAGGGCCGGGTTGTTCAAAGCTGGGTTAACATAACCCAGGGTTAGTACAAAATTTGAATTCTGATATGAAAGCTTAAAATGCAAATTCAGTTTAATTCTTTTTTCTACAATTTGATGATTAAATACTCTAAATAGAGTAGAGAAAATTTTCCGAGAAAACGCCTTTGATGAAAAGAAAAAGAAACACGGGTTAAAATTTAACCCTGGGTTAGCGCTAACCGGCCTTCGAACAACTCGGCCCTGTGGCCCGTTTCTCGAAAGTCCCGGAAACTTTTCGGGCCCGAAATCAAATATTCAAATCGAAATATAAAGAATAAGAGCGCGGGTCCTGGTTAGCGAACTACTCCATTTTGTTTCATTAACTGATAGTTTTCTCATGTTAGATGCAAAACTATTGAAACCTCGATCTTTAATTGAAACGGAGACAGCTCACCGGGCCCGTTAATTATCGGGACTTTCGAGAAACGCGCCTCAGGTCCGCAGTCTGCGTTTTACAGTTCAAATACATTTCCAGTCGATTTTGATTGGTCGATATACACGATGCGGTCTTGACAAAACCTCTTGAGGGGACCTGGGGAGCTAACGGGTTTGTTTGTCGACTGTTGTCGACTGCAGGCCGCTGGCTACCCTCGCCGGGCTTATTTTAGTCAACCTCGTCCCCAGGGTCTTCTCGCTTTCCAATATGGCGGCGGCATATGTGTTTTTTTTGTGTGTGAATGTTTTTATGTGTAGCTGTGTGTGGTGTGCGGTACCTGACCCGTTAATATAATCATTTATTAATAACCTAAGTAAGGCTGCACTATCTTTGTAACCCCAGGGGCCCCACTCACATATTTTAATGACGGGGGGGGTCCGACAGAGGTTCATATTTTATACCCAAAAAAATCCCAACTTCAGAATTTGTCTACCCAAAAAAATCCCCACTTTTTTTTAGCATACCCAAAAAAATCCCTCAGTGTTTTTGCATCAGCAAATTTTATTATTTATCTTCTGGAAAGCTGAAACATGCCAACTTCAACTTTGGTTTTGGTCAAAAACAAAACTATAAATTGCGCTTATGTTATTTTTGATTTGAGCTGATGAAAAATACAATGCCCCCAAAAAATCCCTGTGTTGTTCTCGCGACCCAAAAAAATCCCGGCGTCTTTCATAGACCCAAAAAAATCCCTTTTGGCCAAAATGTCAGGCCCAAAAAAATCCTTCGGACCCCCCCCGTCATTAAAATATGTGAGTGGGGCCCCTGGGTTTGTAACCCTCAATGGTTAATATGGGCAGCCTGCACTCTCTCTATATTTTCATCTAATTTTTTTGTATCATGTAAATCAATGTAGGGTACAGCTGGGTACAAATAAAGTTGTTGTTGTTGTTTCAAGCATTCATTATTATTCGACAGAGACAGACATAACACACATGGATAATTCTCTATTTTTTATATTCCCGCCAATATTTGAAAAAGTTGTTAAGTAAGGCAGCGGTTCATTTGAGTTTTATTTGCTTGTTGGTGTAATTCTTCATGAATGCCATTCGATCCGGGGCCACTCAAAGGATGTTACTCAGTAACATCCGCTGAAAGGACCTTCTTGATGTGCTAAGGGACCAGTCATTATTTATGTGGGGGGGTGGGGGGGATTTTTTTTTGTTTTAGCATGAAAGAAAAAACGTGACCCACCCCTTTAAGCCCATTAGTTAATTCTTGACCCACCCCCATATAACTTTATATAAGAGGTGACCCACCCCCAACCCCCTTCAATCTATACCTCTATAAGGAGTTCCTGTTCACTGAACGAAATCAGCATATCTTGTGGACCACTGTCCTACCCTGCGGCCACTTCTTGTTGATGTGCCTTCTTGTATTGTTACAGTATGACTGTCATCATCTGATTCACTTTTGCTTTCACTTTCATCACACAAAACAAGGTCATTGTCACTGTCACTCTCATCACTGTCCTCACCAACACTGTTACACTGACGCTTGAAGGAAATGTAGATTGATTCGCTTGATTTTGTCGATTTTCTTTCCGTTATTGCTAAGTTTATTATGCTCAATGTATTTGTCCAACTCGGGGGCTTTCAGAGTGTCAAGCTCCCCCTTCTCTACAAGTGTTTTCCAGTCATAGCAATGTACATCTTTTAAGGCTCGAACGTGCTTTTCTTTCTTCGCTCTTGCTTACGGATCTCATTGACACTTACTTGGATACCTACATGTGACATCCAGTTGTGTTATATTTTATGTCCAGCATTGCATTAGAATTTATTTAGATCTTCCACATGAATTGTAGTGAGTGTGATTCTTTACAAAACACACAATGACCCACCCCCAATCATCGTGAAATTCTCTTTTGGCCCACCCCTTTTCTCTAAAAAATTAGGCCTGGCCCACCCCATGATTTTTCCCCCCCACCCCCCTACATAAATAATGACCGGTCCCTAAGAGGCTTGATCAAGGTGAAAAATTAAAATATCCTTTCCAAACAGATGTAGCGGCATCCTCTTGATTGAATCAATCGAGGAATGATCGAAAAAGCAAGACAAGACCTCGAAACAAACATCAGATCATCAGACAAATCAGAGTGGACGATCGAAGCCAAGCTCGAGGCGAGCGTGACGTCATACGTTTACGAAATCTTACCGAAGATAAGAGGGCCTTTCGACGGATATTATAGAGTACCGAAGTGATGACGTCATAAAAATGAAATTTGTGAAATTATGGGATTTGTTAAGATATTCTGAAAGAACAACGTCCAAGACACCTACTCGCCAAAAATTAGCAATTCGGGGCAAATTGTCTCTGAGATATTAGCCCAGTTATGCTGTGACGACTCCATACAAATCCTTCTAAATTTGGCTTGGTTCATAAGATTAGGAACCAGGTAAGATTTAGAAGGATTTGTATGGAGTCATCGGAGCATAACTGGGTTAATATCTCAGAGACAATCTGCCCCAAATTGCTAATTTTTGGCGAGTAGGCGTCTTGGACGTTGTTCTTTCGGAATATCTTTACAAATCCCATAATTTCACAAATTTCATTTTTTATGACGTCACACTTCGGTACTCTATTAAACGAGTGCTCTCCTGCCGCCGCCATATTGGAAAGCGAGAAGACCCTGGGGACGAGGTTGTATGGTGAACGAGTCCGCGGCGGTTTGGACGAGCCCACAGGTAGCCCAAGCTCGAAATATGAGCATCGGCGAGCATCGGCATTGTTGCTCACGTTGACACAATAGGAAAACAACGGGAGCAAGAGACTGTCTCCCACCCCGAGTGTGAGTAATTTGAGTCTCAGGCCGTGTCGCTATCTGTCAACGGTAACGCGGAGCTCAGGCCGAGCCTCCGTCGATCGGCAGGACTTTTCCGCGGATGGCGGGTGGCGGGTGGCGGGTTAAAGTCCTGAAAAGTCCTGCCGTCTGTCGATGGCTTTAGACGGGAAAGGTTGCAGAGATTTGCGACCTTTGATTCGCTCTCGGTGCAAAGGAGTCTTGAAGCAAGATAACGAATGGCAAGAAAGTGTGGACCACACAGGAGAGACGTAACACACATTTTAAGTAAGGTCAGCTGTTTTTTATTGAAATCCTTTCATTTTCGCAGGTTACAGAAACGATAGGTTTTTCCCATACAAATCCTTATATTTTGAATGTTACGCAACCCCAGGGGGGGGGGGGGTACTCGGGATTTCAAGTGACGGGGATGATCGAATAATTTTTTTGGGTTTAAAATTTTCAATTCCGGGATTTTTTTGGATACGAAAATTTGGCAAGTATTTTTTTTGGGTAGCTTGATTTGAGTAGGGATTTTTTGGGGGTATTAAAAAGAATCGGTAGTGCCCTGGCTGTGTAGTTCGGCGAATAAAGTACTGAAAGTACAAACAAACGTGTTTTGCTGTTGTTTAATAGTTAACTATGGTGTCGCTTTACATCACACGTGTTATAGTCTGTACAGGAATGAGATCTTTTAGTGGATGGCAATCCGTTGATATTAATTTCTTTAATATCAACGGATCGCCACCCACTAAAAGATATCATTCCTGTCCAGAAGACGTATGTACATAATCTTAAGAAAAAAGGCTGCGTACGCCCAAAAATTAATACAGAGCATTTTATGAACACCTTTGTAAATAGGTTGATTTTTAAGCTCCATTTATTGTAATGATACACTTTTTTAATATATACATATAACGTAGATATTTTTATCATAGTTTTTATCTCTCTTGTTGTAACATAAGATATGTAGTTTTATCTTTTGGTGAAATAAAGACTCATTATTATTATCATTATTGTCCCGTGGTGCCCGGCCGTGTACGAGACTTCAACCGCTTCCATTCAGTCAATGGGCTTTACCGTTACTGGAATTCCCTTTTGCTTTAGTGAACTTTTGCTGTTAAAATGACTGCCAGATGAGGGAAAGGATATATTCAGATGGCATGATGAATAAACAAACACGAGTGTTCAATTTCCAATGTTTTTCTTTGTGTTATAGCATTACCCCTTTCTGAAACTTTAAAGGGCCGCAAAATCGGCATGGGATTTTTTGGGGGTTAATTTTTGGTCCAGGGATTTTTTGGGGTTTTGCTGGAAGTCCTAGGAATTTTTTTGAGTCTTGACTTTTGGCTCCATTCGATCATCCCCGTCACTTGAAATCCCGAGTACCCCCCTGGGTACGCAACAATGCCGATGCTCGCCGATGCTCATATTTCGAGCTTGGGCTGCCTGTGCGAGCCCAGTTCGAAGTTCGGAAGCCGATCGAGCAAGAGATGAAAGCATCACTAGTGAACGATCTGTCAGATCTGTGGGAAAAATTGCGAATCGAAAGAATGGACATGGAACTGTAATATCTCTGCTTTGAATTTCCGGAGGAATTGAGACCGGGGGTAATTTTCCAGCGGAATTATTCGCCTCGAGCGACGGATACTCCGGGAATCACTGTTCTGCCTTGTCCTTCTCTTAGCAGTCGAACACCAAAATAGCGCTAACTCGCCGAAAACGCTTCAAAACGGCCTGAGACGCGGGCAAACAACAAAGAATACAACAAGGCAATAAGGTACGTCGATTTTATTTAAAAACATAACATTTTTTCTCTCTTTTAAGAAAAACCGTTTACATCCCATACAAGCCTTTGTAAGTAACCGTTTGTAACACAACACCGCTCGCAGGCAAGAGCACGTCCACGTTCATGTAATGAGCTTGGGCCACCTGTGTTCTACCTTGAGGGGAGAGTCGAGGGGAGAAAGGGGCTTGCGCCGTGGAATGCACTAATCAGCAATCGTTTGGCTGCCCAATCGTTTTAGTTCGCTGTGTGCAGACGTTGTTAAGTTTTTCTCTTTGTGTAGGGGTCACTGATGTGTGACACAATATTACACCACCGAACCCAACTTCGTGCACAAATCTTCTGGTTTTTTCTAAACGATCAACTTATTAACAGTCCGGATGTAATCCTTGTTGAAGCATAAAAAGTCATGACCAAAAACAGTGGAAACAAGAAACAGACGAAAAGCCAACGTCGAGAAGAGCTTGAAAGGAAAAGAGACGATCGAGTGAGGCGAAATGCCATAAAGAAAGAGCGGAAAGCGAAGGAGTATTTGGAAGACGATGACACTTTTGTTAGTTTTTCAAACCAGTTGGAGGCTTTGAGTTTGAAAATCAAGGATATTCCTGGAGATGGGTGAGTTATAAAATAAGCCCGTTACGAATTTCGCGCGAGTCGGTCGACCTAATACATTTTATAAAGAGGTTTTGCTTCCACGATTGATTTTGCTTGATCATGTCACAATAGATGGTTTTCACAGTGACGTCATCAAATTGTAATGTCAAAATAGCGAGGTTTTACGAATTCTTATTTACACTAGGTTGAAGATAAACAAAAAGTTAATCTTTGTGCAAGTTTTCAGTCCCATAGCATCTTTCATTTCGAAAATACAGCAATTTGAACTTCCGAGTTTTCACAGTGCGTGACACCAAAATAGGAATGCTGTCTCGTTGAAAAAAAGTCTCTCCTCTTGATTTTCAGCAGTATAACCATTTCAAGTATTCGAAGATATGTTTATGCGCACGTAGACTAGTTCTCGAGTGAAAAGAAGGAGCTTTTATGGAACAAGTGAACTCCAGATGTTTTTGTTGATTTTCGGCGGCCATATTGGTGCACCAAAACTGTGCACCAATATGGCGTCTCCATACAAAGCTTTACAAAGATGCGTGAAACGTTTCGGCAAATAACTCAGAAACTGTGGGCCAAAAAGACCTGAGACTCGGACAAATTGTTTAAATATTAGTCTTTTATAACATATCATTTTCTTGGCTTCTTTCACTGGACGGTTTTCAATTTATTTTTTTGTTGCGTGACAGTGAAAACGATCTATTGATAAGTAAGTGCATAATACCCTACCACTTTAAAGCTGTATCCCCTAAAGAGCTGGATACTTGGAAACGCAGTTATCCCTTTTATGCGCTTTTCTACCTTCAGTGGCTTTAACGACAAATAGACATACTACCGTAAAGTTCCGAAAGTTAAACGAGCCTTGTCACTTTCGGATTTAGCAGCCTTTTCCTATCACTACTTTCGGAGGGTCGCTAAGCCCTTTTAGTAAAATCCAACAAGTGGTCTATTATCAATGCTGCATTCTGATTGATTGAGCTACTACTAGGGTTTATGTTATAGCCCACTAGTAGCGAAAATAGGCTTTTTACATTATGCTTTTGCTTCCCCACTAAAATGCTCCACCTTAATGCTACATTTTTCCCACTAGAAGCAATGACTAAATGAAAACCATACAGACAACATGTACTAGTGTTGTGAAATGAACTAACTCAGAACGATCTAATCATGGAACAAAGTGACTGGATACCTCAACTCCTTCACTGACGGTAGTCTGTTCCAATGACAATCAGTGCACGATGTGTTGGTCTAGATCTATCATTGAACATTACTGCCATTTCTCTACACAGATCAGCAATGAATTTAACTTCTTCTATTTTCCTAATTTAGATCACTACGATTCAGATTGGTGTTGTTCACTTCAGCATATTTCTGATGCATGAAAATGAAAGCCATAAAACTCTGGGAGGGGGGTACTCGACCAATATTTGGGTTTAGGTGAGCTGATGAGGGTTTGAAACCCTGACCCTGTTTAGGACAAAAAAATCCTAAAATACAAACCCTTAATTTTCATTAGGACAAAGGACAAAATGCACACCGTCTTCTTTTAAAGCCAGGAATACAACTTTGAAGAGGCAGGGTATTCTCAGTTACTCCCCAAGCTCTAAGCGACCAGTTTAAGTTGGAAGAGACGGGGTGGAGGAGAAATTGGGGGGCCTTCAACTTTTTTTGGATGGAATATGGGGGGCCTTAAAATGCCAAAAGATGACCTTGGGGGGGTCTTCAGGTTTCTTTTAAGTAGCATCCCTACTGAGCAGCATGATGCTTGAGTATTAAAGGACCTGATTTAGATTCAGTTTTAAACAAAGTCCTATAGAGCGGTTTTCACTTGACTGTCGAAAGTAATTGGTTTTGGTTTTGGTTTTAGTTTTACTACGCCCTTTGGTTGGCTAGTGTATTTACTTTGGTTTTGGTTTTACGACAGTCAAGTGAAAACCGCTCTATTGTGTAATACTAAAACAATTTAATCAGCATCTTGACAAAAAGATTTAATGCTCAAATAGTAGGTGCATCAACACAACATCCATTATTGTGTAACACTGAAACAATTTCATCAGCATTTTAACAAATGAACACATGCATAAAGTCATGTTATGCAATCTCACTATCCAAATCATTATTTGTAGATGAGGTTGATGTGGACTCAACTGTCTGTGTCACTGTCAAGTTTTTTGCTATTAGAACATGTACTGCTCATATAAAAAGCAGTAAGCTTTGGCTGATTATCTTCTTTCTTCCTTGATCGGTCCTGTCAGCCTCTAACCTTTCGATGGCTTGTCTTATCTCAATTATAACACAATCACTGATATATCCTTGCTCTATTAGCTGTTTGAGAGGCTCTAGGTGAAATCTCTTTCTCAGTTTAGTGTGAAGTGCTTCTCTGTTGCTAGTTAGCACATTCAGAAGTGACAGTGAGTAAGAACGGTAGAGTAAAGAAAATGTTATTTGTTATTACCATTTGGGTATTATGTAAGAAAGGAGGGCCCTTAAATCTTTTAACATGATTGAAGGGGGGGTACCTAAAAACATGGGTGCTATTGAGTAGGGGTCTGGATATAATTTGGGATAAGAAACAATTTCTCCTCCAACCCCCCCCCCCCCCCCCCCCCACAACAATTGGAGGAAAAAAAATATTTTTTTTTTTAATCCTTTTGGGGTTTTTGAAGAGAGGAGGGCCACTCAATTTTTTAAAACTATGGGAGGGGGGGGGACAAAAAAACAAGGTGCTTTTGTGGAGGGGGGCGGCTTTAAATTGGGAGAAAAAAACCTTTCCCCCCCCACCCCCCCCCCCCCCCCCCCAGCATAACATTCAAAATCTAAGGATCAGTATGGTGAAAAAACATATAAACATATCATTTCTGTAATTTTGAATATTATCGAAAGATTTCAATAAAAATGGTCTACTCCTTACTTAAAATGTGTGTGTCATCTTTCCTGTGAGGTCCAATGATCAATTTATGGCCATTTTATGGGTTTTTTTTGAGAAAACTGGACAGAGGTCAATCATTGAAACACTCTGTGAATTGTTTTAACAAATAGCATGTTATGTAAACCTCAGCTTATGTTGGTACATGTGTACTTATAGAAATTGCCTGTTTCGTTCTTTGGGAGATCAGATTGATGGAGACCATACAAGTCATGCCCGTCACCGAAGAGAAACAGTTAAATACATGAGAGACCATAGAGATGATTTTGAACCATTTATGGAGGACAACATAACATTTGATCAACATTGTAAGTAGTGACATTTGAACCAAACCCTTTAGTGACTATTAGGAAATTATGAAATTAAGTTATATTTAAAGGTACTTTAAATTATGAGTTGCCAACTTGCATGTCTAGCAGTGCATCAAATTGAATAGCTATTACTACAGGTAATCACATGATTTTGAGTGCAATTTGGAATAAATAAGCACAAGTAAATTTTTTCAAAGGCTAACAAAATTGCCCGAGCCCGTAGGGCGAATGCAATTTGTGGTCTTTGAAAAATTTATGAGTGCTTATTTATTCCAAATTGCACAAGAAAAATCATGTGATTACTTATTAATAATATTCATGAAAAAATTGTGAGATAGCTTTAAAATCTCTTTAATAGGGAGTCAACACGTGTAAACTATGTGCAAAAATAAATTATTCAAATTCTGCAAATATTGTCACACATGCAGTCAAAACAACATTTTGCTCCATGTTTTTAAAGTTTGCAAGCTGCAGAAACGAGCTGAACAGTTCATGGAATTGTTCAATGTGTTTGAAATAAAGATTCTGGGTTATTACCTCAAGTTTTCCATTCTTCAGAGAATTTCTTCTTCCTCCTCTGATACTTGCTGAGCTTTGTTTGGGCGCTTACCACAGCCAGCCAAGCAAAGCTGTTTTGCTTTGTCCTCCAACACCTCTTTGGACAAACTAAATTCTCGGTCATTTTCTCGGTGCAGCCTTTGTCCTTTAAGTGTCTATCAAGCGATGCCATCATTACTTTAAGGCTTTCTGGTTCATAATCTTCACCCTTTTTATTGTTTACTTTGGCGTAGAAATGCTCGAGCAAAGTGTTAAGCTCAGCCGGCTCATAATTTTCTATGTCATCAGTAATTTTTTATTTCCTTATCTATGCACCAAACAAAGAGCCAAAAACCAGTGCTTTTCACAATGTTTTCGTTTTTAGAGCGGTTTTTCTTCTCCTCTACATTTGTTTCAGTTGCAAACACCAACCATTGCGGTTTTTGCACGAAACTGGTCTGCAGCGGATCCAAATTTTGCGCCATTTAGATGGTGCATTTGATTGGCTCTTAGTGAGTTCCTTTGTTTATTAGCCAATCAGAATGTCATGTTTGTTACTCTTTTCTGCACTCAATTACCTTTTTTCTGCACTATGTTACCCAAAAACTGCATTCCTCTTAGCCAATCACAATTGAGAAACTTTTTCATGTATATTATTAAGATATAAAACATAAAATAAAAAAAACGATAGTGTGTAAATGTACAAAACTTATTGTAAAAGTGGCTTCAAACCCTGCTTTATAGACACCTCATTATCACGGACAGTTTTCTTTGTCCCTGGGAAAAGCCCTTACATTTTCTCCAAATTCAACCTGCTTAATATGGACACCCGTTATGTAGAAAACGGTTTTGATTAAGTAATATGTAGATGATCGATTTCTGAGTGTTTCTATGGATTTTGTCTATGGAGTGATGGCTTTGTGAGGGTTTAGAGATGTTTAATTTGGCAATGCTAATGTTCTTCATTCTTACTCAAGGATTATAAAAGGTGTTTGTTTTACTTTAATAAAATGACCCACTTAATATAGTTCTAAACCCAATAATACAGACACATTCTATGGCCCCTTCAGTGTCCCCATCAACAGGGTTTGACTGTACATTTCCAAGAAGAACAAGTTGCTATGGGAGCATACACTTCGGCATCATGGTACAAGTGGATTAATTGTGAATGCGGAGGAATAGTAAGAAAATGATATTTTTCCGGATACCCTTCCATACAAATACCCTTACTTTTCTCCTTTTGTGTAACAGACATCTTAACTTCTTCACCGGAAGTCTGCTAGGTGCATAACCACGTGGCTGTAACCCATTTTGATTATAATGTCTGTCATAAATAAATTACACACGACGAGATCTCAGTTCCACTTCCTTTATCTCCTCCACAACAACACGTTCCTTGTACATGTACAGTTAACTTCACACCTTCTTCAGCAATGGAGCTTACTAACATCGGTACACTCCCTGACAAAACTTGCCGAGAATTCACAATCTCCACACTAGGTAAGGTAAGGTAAGGTAGCACCTTTATTTAAAGAGGGTAAACACATGACAGTTATGAAAAAACTGATAAACTTGTGGCCCGCTATAAAACATAAAAACAAAATTGATATTAAAATAATTTTACACTGTCACTATAAAAAGATAAAAGTTAACATTAATAGACACAATTTAAAATTATTTAGAAGTTTGAACTATTTAAAAACTATTAACTATCTAAAACAAGTTATTTTACGGACTTAATATTTAAAAGAATCATATTCAAAATTACCTGTCTCTTTTTGCTTAGCAATCAAATTCGTATACAATTTCCTTTTTACAGATTTCACATTTTTTACCTTCTTTACGTCCATTGACAGTTCGCTCCAATTTCTAATAGTTCGCACGCTAAAGGTAAAGCCCCCTTCTGTGTTTTTCTTAAAAACAGGACAATGAAAATTCAAATTTGCAAAACAAGTGGATCAGTTACGAATCTCAGAATTTGTCTTTAATATAGAATTAAAATAATCTAGAGTTTTACCCTCTATTCTCTTATTGACGTAAAGGCTATAGAACATCTACTTATATATGCCTCAATAAAAAATGAAATCCAGTTAAGTTCATTAAACATACAATGTGGTTAATGTGCGTGTTGTTCTTTTGGCATCCAATATAATGCGTGCAGCTCAGCTCTTCTGCATCCGTAAGACTCTTTGTAGCAATTCTTTATTACATGATGACCAGATTGGACTCAGGTACAGCATAACCGGCTTTTAGTGGCAATATAGAAAATTAACTTGTGTCTTTGCTTGAGATAAGGACTAATATGCCTCAAAAGTCCAAGTCGTTTTGACAGTTTCTTACGTAATTCATCTATGTGTGCTTGAAAGCTAAGATCTTTATCAACGATTAAACCCAGTAACTTGTGATAAGATAACTGGTCGACATTTGTGGCGTCAAGGCATAGTTTTAAGGTGGCTGTTTCCTCACTAAACTTATGTTGTAACCTTTTTCTCGCAACAAGTGACACTTTAGTCTTCTTTTCAGTTGACCATTTCTCGATATTCTCCAAGTCATTAGAAAGAGCCTGAGTGAAAAAAGTGATATTATTCCAGTTTGCACTCAAGGACTGAGGATAGTTCATGTGCAACATTGAAACATAAACGAGAAATACATATCTCGCAATAACAGTTGAAAAGTCATTTTTTTTGTAGCGCCACTCATGTTAAGCCCTATTGGGTGGGGTTAGAAACTGGATGGGTAACCCACCGGGAATAGCATCCTTAAGGTCCCTACTTTGTTGTTTCTTTTCTTCTTCTTTTTTGCTTATTGTGAGGTGTTATTTTTAAAAGTGTACTGAAAAGCATATTTAGTTATTTCGGCCCGGATTTAGAAAAAAAATCCACAAACACGGCAGTACAGTTTGCGTGAAAATCATTACACTTCTGGCCCTAGTACTGAACTGAAAGTTTGATCTATCACAGGGTTGTCACTGAGGGCCGGGGTCGGGGGCCGGGGATTTCCGATCCCCCGGCTACTCAGAGTATGGCCCCCGGCTAAATGTACTTTCATCGTTAAATTAAACCAAATTAAATTTACCTTTGAAACACACAAAGACTATCCATCAAACTAAATGCAAGTTTCATCTGCAGCAGGTTTAAGTAATTTTGAAATTCTCGTGTGCTAAAACTAAGAAATGTTGGAAAAAGACATCTGACTTAGATTAAATTTGGTATTAGTACACATGCGCGAAAACTCTCCTTTCACGAAATGTCAATAGGGAGGTTTAGCGAAGACAACGGCGACAGCAACGAGAATGTCAAAAAAGCAATAGAGTGTTTTTACGTGACGTCACGGCAGCCATATTGGTGTCCCAAAACAATGAAACGATGGCCATGTTGGTGTCCCAAACCAGTCCTGTGGGGGTTGAACTCTTCTGTTATGCAAACGCTTTCTTTTGTTCCAATAAATTTGCATAGATGCTGGCCACGTGAGTGAAAACACTCTATAGGTTTATTGAGCAAAACAACTAGTTTGCACGTGCATCACGCTTTTTTGTACATTTCTTTGCCGTTACTGCACGACTACGACGTGAAAATGCCTATTTTCACATTTTATGGAGGACGCAAACAAGCGACGACAAGCTTTTCTTTCTCTTTCTGAACTTGAGTGTGGTCCCAAAGAAATCAACTTCAGGGAAATTGGCCTACATTAGCTATTTTCAGCGAATTGAAATAAACGTGACAAAGTTGGTAAAAACGCCAATTCATTTTAAAAGTGACGTTGTCGAAGCTAAATGCCCCTAGTTTCAACCGTTGTGTCGGCTTTGTGTTGAACATGTCGAACAAGTGGCAAAGGAATCTGCACTCTTTGTTCACGATGAAAGACCTGAGCAGATCTCTGTTGACACCACAGAAGAAGTTGAGGCATCATTTGACCGTTAAATCTCCCTGATGCTGATGTTGATGTTGAATATAACGATGAAGGCTTTGAAGATGAAGACTATGACTGATTGCTATGTTTAAAAAATTGACATTTAAGTGACCAGGTCTACATTTAGCTTTAGGTATCGAGTGTATAGAATAATGCACAGTCAATCGGAAATGTTCGATCATTGTCCGCAGGTCATGATCACATCCTCTCAATTCTACTTCCAAGAAGTTATATATAAAAGGGAAGTTAAGCATTAGCATTACTTTTGCATTCTTCTCCTTGAGTCTCGTTTTGACATCTCAGTGTCATTTATAAAGTATTAGCCCTGTCTTTTAAACGCTTTTCTGTAGGTCAGTTTCTTTGTATGTTAAGAGATGTTTCGTTCCTAAATTCGAGACCACCAATGTTACCAGTTGTGCAGTTTAGTTTTGCCATATTTTATCCGTGATTTTTTGTACGTTACATTTGTTTTAGCTTTATCATACTTTTATTTTTCAACAAACCATAGTAACCTTATGTTTATGATGCTTTTTCGTACATTCATCGTCCGCTTGTCTTCTTTCCGCTTCTCCGTGGGTTAATTCATTTGTTATTTTAGTTTTGTTTTTGTTTTGCGTAAGTTGTTTCGTTCTTACATATAACTAAATGAGGATTTACAATTGATTTTACAGCGCATGTTAATTCATTTGTACCATATAAGAATCGATTGTCGTTTCCACGTTTTTAACATTTTGTAAAGTATCATTGTGATTTAACACTTCACTGGCCAGCATACGCCTTGTCTGCATGAAGATAAGACTGCGCAGATAACATGACCGGTGCCTACCTGTCATTCTTTTCAGACCTGGTGCTTACATGTATATTCCCATTTGGCGGCCACTAAAAAAACCTTCCAACGAGCCTTTAGGTAAAGTAAAAACTTATTATTTTAGTGTCTCAGAATGTTGTAGTTTTCTTTAACAAAGACGTGATCATCATAAAACCGCTAATGATAGCTGTACTCTTGATGAAGATTGCATTTTTGGGGCGGTAATGCCTTTTGGAAAATGATAGAAGTTTCAGTTCAAAAACTTCTTGGGGGGTGGGGGGGGGGGGTGGGGGGGGGGGGCTCCATGACTGCTTGGGACTTCCCCTGCCACTAACAACAAATACCTGGCAACTTGAAATCTTAGTGACAACCCTGTTATTAGCTTGGAATTTAACAGGCAAACTACACTATATAATAAAGGTGGGTTTTCCACGTTGTAAAAGGGTTTCCAAGCTAGATTTTAGAGGGAAAAAATAAGGTTTCAGCAGTAAAAAGCCAAACTGAAATGCACTTGGGGGAAACATATCGTGCAACATAAGCAAACTCATCTGCAAAGTGAGACGCACTGAAAATTGCTCTTGTATCTCGATTTTTGCTCACATTTTGAGGCTACCAGCCCAAATTGCTTCGATGTTCTCTGCAAAATACTTTTGCATTGAATATGAATAATAAATAAGGATAAGAATAATGCATCAGTCAATCCCACTTGCGCCCAGGGGCATTTGCAAATTTTGCACTGCTCGGGGGCCAGGCATTTGCCGACCCCCGGGCCATTCCCGAGCTTTTGACATGCACGCGGTTTCCCATCAGAATATAACTACAAAAAAGGTTTGACTGGAAAAAAAGTAGATTGGCTTGTCTGTAAAGGACAGGAATAAATTGTAGAGGGTTGTAAAGGCATGTTCTCGATTTTACATGTATGTTGCATTTCTTCATTACTTATAAAGCCAGAATTATGTAGCGAAATTGAAGCTCTCGATGTGAATTAACGTTTTTTGGTTATTGAATCAAATTTCTGTTGATATTATTTGAAGAACATCCTTTCATATTTATAAAACTATTCATAACATATAACATTACAGCGCTCTATTAATTTTAATGTCAATAATTTTATATCAATAGTAAAACCATAAACTGGTGCATGTCGTCGCGGTGTGAAGTCTTAATTAGAAACCTTGCGCTATTACAAAGGAAGACATTAATTGAAACAAGAAATCGCACGTTAAAATGGCACTATTTGACTGTACGATCAATGAAAAATGTTGCAGTGTTGATAGAGAAAGGGGCATTTGCCCTCTTTTTGCGTCCCCACCCCGGGGGATTTGACAGCTCAAGAGTCCCCACCCCCGGATATTTGCCATCCAAGGCAAAAAAAAATGCTAATGCCCGGGGGTCAGTCCGGGGGGGGGAGGGGGGAGGCTGGGCGCAGGTGGAATTGACTGATGCATTACATCAAAGATGTCCAAGATAGCTCGAACTAATTCTGAAGCAACTTCGGGACATTCAGATGCAACTTTGAAACATCCCTCAGCATTGCAAATCCTTTACACAGGGCCAGCGCAGGGGGAGGGGCTGGGGGGACAGAGTCTGCCTCCTCCCTTTAATTGAAGAGGTGGAGCAGCCCCCTCCCCCCTCCACTTGGAAAAGTGCTCAGCGGGCCCTGTTACATCACGCTCCGCTGAAGTAAAAAGGTTCAAAGCCTTTCCTTGATACCTTCAGAAGACAAATGATCAGTCTTTGACTTTTTTGCTTTGAAGCAAGCGAATCGAACCAAAGTCATAGCCATTGTAACCACTGTATAAATTAATAAAATGATAGATAGCGGCCAACCGAACAACTTTATTGGTTGCTCCTCTTTAGCCATTTTATCATTTCAATCATTTTATTTGAACCAACTGATTGTTTTTGTCCCTTTTCCTCCATTTCCCTCCCGAAACCCACAAGTGCACAATATTATAGCTAATTTTCTTATGACAAACCACGTTAGGTCGTGGTGGAGCAATCGGCTAATCCCTCAACATAGCGTCTGACATGTCGCTGGTGAGTCGTAAGCCAAAACAAATACATAAATTATTAATTTTTATTCCTCGAATAAGGAGCTGAAAGAAATCGAAGTGATTTTGAGATATCTTGAAGGAATTCCGGTCTTACATCATGAAATAGCCGTAACAAGCCAAAAAGTCACAAAACTTGTGTGTCCAATCTTAATTGCTCGAAACTAGTGCATAATTTATAGCTATTTTTCACACTAAAAACTACCTTGGGCCGCAGTGGTACAATCTGCTAATCCTTAACTTAGAGTTTCATCTGATCTGACAGCTGGCAGGTGAGTCCAGTTCAAACCCCGGAGAAGCCAAAAATAATAATAATTGTTTCTTCGTCTTCTTTCTCGAATAATAAATCAAAGAAATCAAAGTGATCTCGGGATAAATCGAACTAGTTCTGTTCTCACTTTGTCAAATAGCCCACTCTAACTGAAAACTCACGGACTTTGCATGCCCAACCTAGTGCATAATTTGCAGCTATTTTTCACAATACAAACTATCTTGGGCCGCAGTGACGCACTCGGCTAATCCCTTAACTTAGAGTCTCATCTGATCTGACGGCTGGTGGGTGAGTAGGTTCAAACCCCAGGGAAGCCAAAAATAATAGTGGTTTCTTTTTCCTCGAATAATAAATCAAAGAAATTGCAGTGATCTCAAGATAAATTGAACTAATTCTGCTCTCACTTTGTCAAATGGCCCACTCTAACCAAAAACTCACAGACTTTGGGAAATTCCTGAGCATCGCGAATCCTTTACTTTGTGCTCTGCCGAAGTAAAAAGCCATTTTAAAAAGAACGCAGTCTTCAGATAAATTTATTATTATTATTATTATTGATTTAATTAGGCAACAGCTATTTAATTATTCTTGTGTTATTTTTTTCTTTCCAGTACAAGATTTATCTAAGCTTGGAACATATGGGGGAAATGATAGCATTGTGGCTTTTGCAAGAAATCATGGGGTGAACATTGTCATACATCAGCTTAATGAACCTCGATGGGTGATTAATGGAGTTGATTACTGCAAAAATGGAGGGCAAATCCGTGAGCTTCATATTTCCTATCACAATGGTGAACATTATTCGTCAATACGGCACATTAGTGATAACACTTCAGAACCTGCTTGGGCAAAAATAAACCAAGCAATTTTCACTTCTGTTTCAATGGTGAGTACACTAACATCTTAAAAGAAACTTAAGTTGGTGCTCTACGAGTTTCCTTCTACTCATAGACCCACTGTGTCTCACTGCAAGAAAGGGAAATAAGTAAACTAACAGCTTTAACTTTTATGTCAAAATGAAATTCAGGTTAACCTAGGTTAATTCTCAATAATTACGGCTAGTAGAGAAAGGAAATAATAGAAATTGAGAATCAAACTACAATAATTGAACCTCCATTAAGTGGCCACCACGGGAAGCCGACTTAAAACATAAAAGACTTTAAAAGACTCAGGATTCTTAAATACTTTTTAATACTTTAATACTTTTCTTTGTTAAATGAAAATTGTTGTCTCTGTAAATGTTTTACCGAATTATATATATATTTTTTATTGACTGTTAGTAGTCTTTCTTGCAATTTCAATCGCTGTGTCGATTGTTTTCAGTCGTACATGAACATCGCTTGCAGGAGTACTTAAAATGCCGCACGTATCAAGCGCTTTTAAAGATTTACACACAGTTATAAAACCATTAAATAAAAAAATAAACATAATAAATTTTTTATTACTCTAATAGCGAGCTCTTCGCAGCGAAGAACCATGGGTAACAAAATTTGGTAAACTATCCATCCGAGAAAATTTGGTTATGACGTAACGTACACCCGCCTGCCACCCATATACACACTTCATGTAAGCAGATATCAAATGTCACAATGGATCTTGCACAACTTGACTAGCCTTTCATTTATGTAAGCCATCCGTATAAGTATGATTAGATTGACAGCTGTCAAAATTAGACATCCACTGACAATTATCACAAGACCATCTCGCGGGCTCAGATGAAAGACCAGTCATTTTGCCCAACATATAAGCTGATATAATATGTCACACTTACCAACTCAACATAAAAATGAAACTACGCCGGGCAGGGCTGTCGGTCGGCTGACAGTAATTTAAAGTTATATGCGCAAACAAAATTAAGGTCAATTGACAGGTGTCAAAATGGGACATGTGCAGACCACTATGAGAAAACTAATAATGTGGGCTCAGGTCCGCTCAGGTACACGATCTGGCATTTTCCACTACAAGCCGGACGGATATGTCTTACTCGCACTCGTAGTCCGTAAATTTGAATGTTCGCCATTCTAATGAAGGTCAATTGACAGCTGTCAAACTAGAGTATCTGCTGACCATCATCACCTGACTGTATCGCGGGCTCATTTTTCTACCCATTAAGGTCACATATTTTTTTAAGTTTTCCGCTGATATTTTGCTTGATCACAGGCTCAATAGTCCAGTTTTGAGTTCGCTATGACTGCTGAATTAAAGAACTGAAGACGCATTTTTTACAGCCTTAGCCTCCACCTGAAGTAATATATTCACAAATTCCAACGAGAAAAAGACCTGTTTATTACTCTGTCTATTGTGTATATTCAAATTTCAAACACTTACTTGCTGGAATTTCTGAATATTTTACTTTGCATCGAGGTTAACCCTGTATGAATGTGTCGTCAATGTTCGTATTCAGCGGTAATTTTTAATTCGAAACTAGACTATTCGAAGCCCCATAGCTTAGAAAAATTATCCATCCTTGAAAATTTGGAAATCACGTGACTGTACACCGACCACCCAACCTTCGGTCCATCCGCACCGCAGGCACACCAATGTTTAATCTCACACTTTCTAGCTAGTTTGGGAGCCTGCAACCTGATACTGTACATCCATGTTTTGATTTATTGACAGCTGTCAAAATAGTGTATCTGCTAACCAGTACCGCCTGGCCGTATCGTGGGCTCAGGTATCGACCCCCTGAGTTCGAGTGTTTTTTTGAAGTTATACGCTGACAAGTTGCTACTTTTCAAATGATCGCAGGCTGAAATTAAATTTTTTTGAAATGCATATGAAATAAGTCATGTTCATGAGCCGCACTTTTAAAATTTTGATTTCAAATTGATCTCGGATGCGAAAATTCAACCGGCTTTTAGATGCAGGGAAGGCAATTGGTCGCTTTTGACAATTCAAAGAAAATGTTCCGAAGAATAGTTAGTTATGATTTTGGCTGTAAAAAGAAAGCTCTGAGCGATTTTCTTGCCTCGAGTTCATCTTGAAAAAGAGCAAACACTGGGAAGCCGGCTTAAAACATAAATACATGTAAGCTTATGCTTACCTGACTCATGATTTTCAGAGACCGTTTACTCTCAGTACTTGTCTCCGTGAATGAAAATTATTGTCTCTGTACATGGTGCACTGAATTATATTTATTTTATTGATTGTTAGTAGTCCCTCTCACAATTTTTATCGCTGCACCGGTTGTTTTCAGTCGTACATAAACATTGCATGCAGGAATAGTCAAAACTCTGTGAGTAAATATCACTCGTTTTTAAAGATAATTTACACATGACAAAACCATAAACACTTTTATAAATAAAGGGAAATAAAACCTAAACATAACAAATTCTCTATCATGTTGAAGCAGAAATGGTAACTCTATTAATTGCACTGCAAATTTGGTGCTTGTCAAAATTGAGAACCCGTCCGGCTAGCCAAAAAGATGATTTGGGGAATTTTTTTAGCAGAGCTCTTGCGCGTGTGAAGTGCACGCAGTGGAACACCATGGGTAACGAAATTTGGTAACTATCCATCCAAGAAAATTTGGTTATGACGTAGCGTACGCCCAACCTTACACACACCTCATGTAAGCTGATGTCAAATGTCAGAATAGACCTTGCACAACTTGACTAGCCTTTCAGTTATGTAAGCCATCCGCATGAGTATGATTAGGTTGACAGCTTTTTGTTTTTATTTACTTTTCAGACTTTTATTAAAATATTATACTGCACAACGTTACAATACTAACGTTACATGACATTGCATGATATTACATTACAATGATTTACAAATACATTACATTACATTACATTATGAACTTTAACGGTAAAGTAACTTAATACAAAAAAAAAGAAAAATACGTTCTAATTAGTACAGACGACACTAGGGTACAGAGTCCAAGGGCAGAAACCACTTTTTATTAAATTTGTCCATTTTATTAGTTTTAACACATTTTTACTTTTCTGTTTCATACTTAATTTTAACCTTGGATGAAAAGGCAGTTATGACTGGATTTTAGAGTCTGATTTCTTTTACAACCCCATAAGTATAGTTTAGCGATCAGTGTCAAATAATTCAGTAAAGGGCAATTTGTATATAATATTCCTGTAATAATGTCTTGTAAGGTCAGACAGATGAATTATCTTGTCAATGTGTAATAGTAATATGGAAATTCCTTCCAAAACTGCGTGGTGTGTCTACATTCGAAAAAGATGTGGAATTAAGGACTTTGTATTCAAAAGCTTTTAGATAAAGTTCAAACGCTACCTCATGTGGAAGAAGGAATACTTTTTTCAGCTGGTCTTGGGTTAGATTGAAATCTTGACACAAGTGTTTGGATTTTTTTGGACACTGGGCAATTATTCTTTTAATTATTAAGCTTATTTCTGAGCAAAGACAGTTGCTATTCTTTAAATGTTTTGGAACAGAGTGATGAAGCCCTGCCCAATTTAGGTAGTTAATCTTGCTAATTTTATTCGAAACAATAGTAAAAGAATTTGTGGTGTCAAATAAAAGATCATTTATGAAAATGACATCTTGTTCAAAAAGTTTTTTATAGAAAACAGGCTCATTGTCAGCATGTATCTCTTGTTATTCCACAAAATATATTGACATTCCCTTCTACTATCGAAAACACTACGAACTCAGACCACTTTTGAAGCATTTCGGGATAGAATTTAGAGGGAATATGTATCTCTTTAATGTCATAATTACAATAAAATAAAAAAAAAAGAGGCCCTCAAAAGGTTCCAACGAAAACCATAAAAAGCTTGAACTCCAAGCACCATTGTTGCACTGGAAGATCCTTTTCATCCAGGTTAGTCGTAAAGATTTAATCATACTTTCCAGATCGATCATTTTTAAACCACCGTTTTCATTTCAAGATTGTTCTGTGTAATTCATAGCTGGTTTGCTTATTGCACTTTTGGTTGAGAAATGCACCGCTTGTCGAAGTCATTGGAAATCCGATTTCGAATGGCATCGTTTTGAAAAATGAGCTTACTCACTTGCCCTTGCTTGACGCGTACAAGGAGGGTTGAAAAGTCTCAAGCGATTCTGGCCTGACTTGATGACCTTCAGGAGCAGCATCTCAACTGGTAAGCCTGAGCAATTACTGTCTTTGATGTGTTTTTTTTTTTTTTTTTTCGGTTTCCTGAGGTTTTTTTTTTTTTTTTTTTTTTTTTCGGTTTCCTGAGGTCGAGCGTAGTTTATGTGGCTTAAGTTTATACACGAGTAGTTCATAACCTACAACAGTATGACGTTTAAAAAGTCTTTAGACATTTTTTGACCACAAATTCAATGAAAGAATATTTAGTTATGATTTTGGCTGTAAAAAGAAAGCTCTGAGCGATTTTCTTGCCTCGAGTTCATTTTGAAAAAGAGCAAACACCCGGAAGCCGGCTTAAGACATAAATAAGCTTATGCTTACCTGATTCATGATTTTCAGAGACACTTTACGCTCAATAGACCTTGTCACGGTTTTTGACGCCATCTCTTGACGAGAAATTACAGTGTTTGTATGAGAATCTAATGTCGAATAATTTCCGTAAGACGGCTGTTCTGAAAAAAAAATTAATTGTAAACTAAAGCTACAAAGCAAAGGATTGTCCTAAAAAATTTTGGAGGCGTACCTGTGGTTAAATTTTTTTATCGTTTTCACTAAAAGCCCATAATTGTTACCCTGCATATCACATAGGACCAGATTTTTGTAACTGAAAAGTCCCAGCATTATGGAATTCTCTTCATGAAAACGTTTTATAATGTGGTCAGTGCTATAATTTGTTGTGCAAAGGAAGCACGTGCTTCAATCGTCCTAGATATTGACTGAGTGCAATTCGTCTTACAAAATTGTGAAAAACTGCTGAATTATAGGTTTAAATAGTGCAAAAAAAGAACAAATTCTGTCTGAGGTCTGTATGACAAAAAAAAACAGTGCCTCATAGTACTATTTACCTCAGACGTGATGAAAAAAAAGTACGTTTAAAAGGCTGGTTTACACACCACCAGATTTGTCGCCAAGATTTACTTGTAAAGTAAACTTGTCGAACACAAAAAATCCGGCCTGATTTTTTATTTTGGCCTCCCTTTTAAACAGAGGAATGGAAAATGTAAATTGGCTGCCACCGAGGACTATCATGTGTTTCATAAAATTATATTTAATTTCGGAGCTGTCCAATTATCCATAGTCTCTCAAACGGAGTTGTTGGAGAGACTCTGAATTAAACTTGTAAAATTAAGGTGATGGGCGACTGGATTATTTTATGTGGGAATAGACCAATTCGGTTAACTCAATGTTGTACCCAATTCAAACCCCTTGGGAATAAAACGTTTTGTTTCAGGAATTTCCACATTATGATGCAAATACAATGCACAAATAGGTCTATTTCTTTTCCAGGCCTAATCTACTGTGATCAAACATGACTGCTATTTTTAGGTGTACAAATAAGACTATTAATTCGATGTAAAATTTGTTTCACTCTCGGACTGTCAAATTATTTTTCTCTAAAATCACTCTGCCGTTGCCTCAAAATTTAAGTCAGATGAATATGCCCTGATCTGTGGATTACAAGTTTATGGTTTGATTTAAATTATGAATTTATTAATGGGAGCTTCGCATTTAGCCCTGGCGAAATCTATATATTTTTGTTTTCACTAAAAGCCCATAATTATTACCCTGCATATCACACAGAAGCAGATTTTTCTAACTGAAAAGATTTATTCTGACTGAAAAGTCCCGGCATTCTCTCTTCATGAAAACTTTTTATAATGTGGTCATGCAATGCTATGGTTTGTTGTGCAAAGGAAGCCCATGCTTCAATTGTCCTGGATATTGAATGAGTGCAATTTGTCCTGCAAAATTGTGAAAACCTGCAGAATTATAGGTTTAAATAGGGCAAAAAAGAACAAATTCTGTCCGAGGTCTGTATGATAAAAAAAAAAAACAGCGCCTGACATAGCAAAGTTTACCTCAGACATGATGAAAGAAAGTATGTTTAAAAGGCTGGTTTACACCAGACAGACAGAGGAATGGAACGTGTAAATTGGCTGCCACCTAGCTGGACTATCGTGTGTTTCATAAAATTATATTTTGGGGGCTGTCCTGCATTTATCCATAGTCTCTCAAACGGAGTTGTTGGAGAGACTGTGAATTAAACCTATAAAGTTAAGGTGGTGGGCGACTTTAATACAATACACGAATAGGTCTATTTGTTTTCCAGGCGTAATCTACTGTGATGGAACATGATTGCTATTTTTGGGTGTACAAATAAGACTATTAACTTGATGTAAAATTTGTTTCACTCTTGGACTGTCAAATTATTTTTCTCTAAAATCACCTAGCCTTTGCCTCAGAAGTCACATGAATGTGGCCTGTGGATTACAAGTTTATTGTTTGATTTAAATTATGAATTTATTAATGGGAGCTTTGCTTTTAGCCCTGGCTAAATCTATATATTAATGTTCTTTCAAACACTGACAGCTCGCACTGCAAATTTGGCACTTGTCAAAAGTGAGTATCGGCTAGCTGTAAAGGTGATTTTGAAAATTTTTTGAACATTTTTGAATGAATGCAATTTGTCTTGCAAAATTGTGAAAAACTGCATTCTGCATTCCAAGGTCTGTACGATTAAAAAGCAGCGCCTCATAGTATGTACTGTTTACCTCAGATGTAATGTATAACTGAAAAGTATAAAAGGCTGCTTTACATGCCACCAGATTTGTTGGCCAGATTTTGTAAAGTAAACGTGTTGAACGTAAAAAAATTTGGCCTAATTTTTATTTTGGCCTGCCTAATGCAACCTATAAATTACGTGTAAATTGGCTGCCACTGAGGACTATCATGTCTTCTAACCAGCCCTTATAGCATAAAATTATATTTTGGCGCTGTCCAATTAACCTTATAAAACACAGGTGGTGTGGGTGGGCGACTGTGTTATTTTGTTTGAGAAGAATTTGTTTTCCAGGCCTAATCTACTGTGATCAAGAGCCATTATGCTCTTGACTGTGATTGAAGATGATTGCTATTTTTTGAGTGTACATACAGTGTATAGGGCTATTAACTCGATGTAAGATTTGTTTTACTCTTGGACAGTTTGCAAATTATTTTTCTCTAGAATCAGTTAGCCTTTCCCTCAAAAGTCACATGAATGTGCCCTAAAGTTAACTGATTTGTGGATTACAAGTTAATTGTTTGGTTTAAATTATAAATTTATTAATGGGAGCTTCGCTTTTAGCCCTGGCTAAATCTATTTATTATTTTTAAATAAAGTGTATCAGTGCTTAATTGCTGCTAAAAGGTGGCTCCGGCTGTTTAATAGAGGTGACCGAGACCGCTAATAGTCTTTTCTGAAATTATTTCAGGTCGAAAGTTTTCAAGCTCTTCTGAAAGTGCTTGAAAACTTTCTTCGCGCCATTTCTCCCGGCTCTTTATGGGTCCCCGAGGATACCTAACCCATTTGACTCTGGAAATTTTTTCGACCAATGCGTTTTGAAGCTGTTCTAGTCAAGGGGTATTCTGGTCACTGTTGTGCTATAAAGAGCTAAAACTTACCATGAAGCCATTTACAGGGCGTACACTTTGCAGCCTTTTTGATCCAGATGCAAAATATTAGCTTGTGAAGTTCAGGCATGCACAGACAGCAAAATTTCGAGATAGTTTTTCGGTTAACAAGTGAAACAGAGGTCTTGACTGTTACTTTTTGCTTTCTTTCCTCCCCTCTTTTTTCGCTTTTCTTGCCTCATTTTTTTCTTTTGCTGGCCATTTAGTAGGTTTCATTTTGGTGGGAAAAGCTTTTGGGAAAGCTTTAAGGATCTTAAGATTAGATGAAAGGAAAGGTACATGTACTATAGCTAAGGTGATGGTGATTAATATTTCTACCATAGGTGCATGAGTAGACTATTCTAAGCAAAATTAACTCTTAGGTAGTGGAGAAAGATTTTCATGGAAATTTCCAGGTCAATGTTACATGATTTTTTTGCCTTTTTCTCCGGTGTTGTTGACTGAATTGTGCTCATTCTGGGATGGTTTGAAAGATCTCTTCACTCTGCACAAGTTAGCGGACAAAGTTGTCCTTGACCATTAAAACTGATGATGTCACGAGCGGTAAAAGGGACATGGATCTGCACAGGCAGTTACGGGTGGATCAGGGGCAAATTGGTTAATACAAGGTGGCTGCTTAATGTGGAGCTTCAACTGCAGGTTGAAACTGCTCTTAACTGAATTTTATTTTGACCTTCAAAACAGTCAAAACATGATAATATGATTGGGGTATCTTGAATTTTAATCTGGGCAGTTTATCAAATGGTTTCTTGCAGTCTACTGAAGTACAATGTTCAGAGAACAGAAAAGAGAAGAAGACCAATGGAAAAGGAAAAAGCAAGCAGGCTATAACAAGCAGTACTGACAAAGGCATAGATCGTACTCTACAAGAGAGTGATCTTATGGCAGCAGAGGAATTAGTGTCGACAGCCACAGGTTGTAAGGTACTTAATCACTTTATAGTTTACTCGCTGACTCTTGTGCTTTTGTTACACTGTACTGTATCACATAGCACATCACAATCCAAATCCTTGCCATCTTACAAGTTATTTTGGGCTTCCTTCAGTGCCTCATCAAAACACACAAAACAATATGTACTAGCTAGCTAAGTTCTTGTTAGTCTCTCTCTACCATGTCACTGCATCTCATCCACTGCCTTTTGTGGCACCTTCCTCATATTGGCTCCCTGTAAAAAATCTCATAGGAGAGCGTCATTGGAGCCTTACAGACTATGTGACCTAGCCAAGTTAACTGTTTCCTTGAAGACCAGGGGCTCCATTTCGTCCAGTTTTTTTTAGTACCTTCTCAATAATTCTTACTTTGTCATACCCATAGTAATCTTCTCAAAAATGTATTATTAAAGGCTGATAGTCTTTTTTCTTTCTACCGTTATATTGTAAATAATGTTCCAGGCTGCTGCACTATATATCAGTGTTGTATTGCAGTCAAACCTCTGTGAAGTGCCCACTGAGTAGCATATCCTCATTTCAGTGTGTAGACTGGTCGCTCTATGCTTAATAATGGGTAAGGTCCACTAAAGGTATCTGCTACATGTCCTATGCACAATTTTGGCTCAGGGATTGGTGACGTCACTCCAGCATGTGAAAATTTAATACCAAGTTTAAGAAAGTTTTTACTGTTTTGCTAGGGTTGTAACATGAACAGAACTCACACAATATTTGGTCTTCATTTATTCTCAGGATTTGGTTGTAATAAAACAAGCTCTGATGGATAATATGTACAATGTTGATGCTGCCATTCATTACATTCTTCAGTTGATCTATGTTGCTGAGGAAACAGGTTTTTTCTTCCTGGGCATTTATCTTTGTTCTCTTTTTGATTAATTAAGAAGATTCTTGCTTGAACTCCTAACATTAATTTGCTGTCGGGGAGGAAGATTTTTATTTGAATATCGCAGGTTGGATTGAAACACGTAAAATAATGTAAACCTTGTTTTAATTATTGCTGAGGTACATCTTTACCAATCATTACCAGAAAATGTAATTTAAATAAAGTTAAAAGTAAGAGGTTCATTTATAGTGGAAAGTGCACTTAGCTTGCTAGTTTACAGGCGTTCCACTTAAACAATTAGAAAAATATAATCCAAAGAGAAACAGAATTTAAAACTGCAACTGACAGGAAGCAGCCAGTTGGCTATTTACAAGCATGGCCTCTGATTTGAACTTGGGACAACCCAGAAATCCAGAAAGTGGCCGGAGCGGGACTAAAACCTGGGAATGCTACATCATGACAAAGTCTGATGTGCTGACCGGCCACTTGGACATGCTGTCTCCTAACAGATGTCAGTTTCATTATTTTGAAAATACAGTACATTTATTGTTATTCATTATGAATAAAAATGCATGTCCGTCTGACATACAGTAGTAAGGATGGCTAGGTTGGTTTAAATTACATCTTAATTTTTAAATTTTATTTCCTTTGTTTTTTATGGCATAATAAAAATTCATATGTAAGGATTATGGAATTTTGGGTCCCGAATAGCAGATGTTTTTCCCAAGAAACGTCCCCATTGGTGAGGAGTGAGGGAAAATGGCTGAATTGGCAGTCTAATATATTTCATCAAAGCAATAAATTATTATTATTTTATTCATTCAACAATTTTTTTAATCTGACTGAATACTGAGAAGATGTAGCCCAAAAAATCACTGCTCGACGTTATGCATGCTGGAATGCAGATTTAAATTTAATTCATGTATGAGATGATAGTAATGGTATAATATCACTAAAAGTTTTTTTACAGAGTGACTCTTACACATGCACTAATTTATCTGTTATGTAAAAATGTAAAATTAAAAAATAAATATTGTAGACTAAAAATTGATAAAAGGTAAATGTAAAAGGTAAATGTAAGGTAGATTTGATAAAAAAAAATTAATTTGCAAATAAAAATTAAAGGTATAACAGCTAGTAGATAAAGAATACAAGAGGAACCCATAAGTGTATCTACAATCTAGGACTAAAATTGCTTAGAATTTTGCACTTTCTTACCCACAAAATGTGTATCCCGTGGATTGGGTATCCAGTTCGACTTCAACATTGCTTTTGTGGGAAGGGGGAGTATTTGAAGTGGGTTTTTTTTCGGGGATATGAATACTCTGGAGTATGGGGAAAGATACTGCTGAGCTGAATTTACTTCCCTGTGAAAATGTCTCAAATTTTCACAAATTCTGAGGTGATTAGGGAGGTTATTAAAAATCTTTCCAGGAGAGCCTTGAAAGGATTTTATCCTGCAGCATATGGGTAGTGCAGAATTAACTGTTGTTGTTTCTTGGAATTCACAAAAACATTTTAATAGCAGTTACACTCTTTTCTTAAGAAAATGGCCTTGACTGGGCACTGTGAAAAAGCTGTTAGGGATTGCTCCCCAAGCTCTTACAATGACCAGTATCACCTCCACTTTGTGCATAGACCACGTGTCATGTTTAAAGGACGAGTTGGCATTAATCCAAAGTTAGTTACCATGACAACTGATACACTGTTTACATTAAACCAAGGATTCAAGCTAATAAGGCTTTTAACAGCTCGGTCCAGATGTATTAATAATAATAATGACAGTATTGTCATTAATATTAGTGTTGCAACGGTATTAATATAATTTTGTTTGGTGTTGTTGTTTTCATTGTTTCAGGGCACAGATTGTCGCAGGATCTTGTTTCAACTAGTAATAAGCTATCAACTGAACAGATTCAAGCAGAACTTAAGTCTTCATGTGATGCCACATGTGACATTATTGAAACAAGTAGGCATTGTGAGAACAGGGATGGTACTTGTAAAACTTGTGTTAACTGTTTTAATGACAATGAAAGACGTGGACAGCAAAGAGAGGGATCTGTAACTCATTCACATGCTCAGCAGACTGAAGGTTTTCAAGGCTTTATAGAAGATCTAAAGGGAACTCTATCACCAAGTACCCAGAAGACAAATCAAAATTACGAACATCAAGGTGCAAGGCCCAAAGTTAAGAGTAGAACTGAAAATAGGAAGGAATCAGGCATTGCACAAAATTTGAGCAACAAGAAAAGAAAGGAACTTGCAAAGCAGGAGAAAAAGAATCGTAGAGAAGAGAGGAGAAAGGACAATGCTAGTTCACATATTGACTCTGACTCTGCAACAACTCAGAAACAACATACTGCATCAGCTGTTGTTCCTGATTTAGGCATTCTCGCCATATGAATTCTTACTGTCAGTAACTCCATAGGATTCTGACCAAATAGCACAGAATTAAAATTCATTGTTTTCTTTTTTAAACAGTTTTTGCAAATCCATGAAGAAATCACACAAGATATGACTTTTTTAAAACTTTTCCTTCATATTCCAGAGAATCCATGGTTTTCCAGGTCAGCATTAAACTGATTTCTTCACATCATTCAAAAGGTGGCCAAACAAACAAGATGCCAAGTGTATATAGATAAATTGCCTGATGACTGTGTTCGCCTTTTAGCCATACAAAACAGAGCCGTAGCAATAAAGTGATGTTTTGCTTCTGAATCCTGAACTATGTTTCAATTATATCATTCATTGCCCCTAAAAAGTTGAGCACTCTAGAAAAATCATTCCAAGCAGTTCAGAAAAAATAGATATCACTATATCTAAAATTACTTGTATTTGGCTTTCGTATGATTTGAAGAGTTAATATGCAATTTGTTGCTTAGATAGGTGGTTAACAGCCTCCGAGATCAGCATTATTCTTCACATCATAATAACGCATTTAAAATCATTCATGGTATGTAATATACCGTTGAATCAATATATATTTTTGCTTTCAAAGGATCAGGGTGATCGATGGTATATTTGCCTGGAAATGAGGCTGCTTGGGCAGTAGTTAACCAAACAAAATGGCGTTCACAACTATCTGAAGACAAAATAGCTGAATTTCTGACTAAAACTGAACTGAAGAAATGCAAGAATATGCAAAACATATTATCTACTATCAATGCAAAACATGTTATCTACTTTTTGAGGATTATCTCCAAGGAAAACATTTTTTTTTTCATATCCTGAAATTGTGCCGAGAAATAGGAACTTTGAAATATTTTGAAAGAATATTTAAACAATTTGAATTAATAAATTGGACTTTCACATGATGTGAAGAATTATACTGATCTAGGAGGCTGTTATCCACCTCGGCCAATCTTCAATCTGCATAATGTTTTACATCATACTTTGACAGGCTCATTCAGTAACGGTTAAATGTACATGATTTGGTGGAACATATGAAAATCTTGTAAAGCTCTTTGCACAGGACACCACGTTAGGGTTGGGGTCGCCCATTGGATTTTTTTATTGTTGTTAAGTGCCAAAACAATTTATTCCTCCGGCTAGTGTGTGGGGGAAATGACCCACTCTTTGTGTTATTTATCTCAAAAGTTGGCATTAATTCGAGTTAAAATGCCAAAGGAAATTCTTTTCAGGGGTTATTACCGTGGTGGGGCAAAAACCCATGTTTTCCCTAAATATGCGTTGTCTTTCTTTGCTGACCTTAAAGCCACACTGGATGTTCCAATTCAAGGGTTCTAACAACGAAACATATATTTTAATATCATTCATATCAACAAAGAGGACAAATCTATTCAACCAAAGTGTACCTGGTTTTGTTCTAGCTACTGAACAAGTTTGTTTTTAGCATTATATTAACAAATTCCTCCTGGTTCACTTCATTATCGCCATCTTTGTCAGCTTCTTGGATCATTTCTTTCAATTCTTGTTCATTCAGCTTCACTCCGCAAAGTCGAGTCACTTGTTTCAGATTAGTTAGGGAGATTTTTCCAGTCTTGTCTGCAAGGGGGAAAACATGGTATAAAATGTTTCTGGAGTTAGCCCAATAAGGAAGAAAAAGTTGATGATCAAATTTGTTCCGAATATAGTTTAACCTAATTTTTAGATCCTGTTTCACGTTACTCAAAATGAAAACAAATAAATATAATTAAAGAATAAGAGTACTCGGTTTTTGATTGATTCGTTTTTAAAAGATAGTGTATTCTAGCTGTTAAAAGGTCTGGAAAGTTCAAAGTTGTAAACTAGGTATGGGAAAAGGGTGCCATCTGTCTAGGCAGTATACCAATGCAAAGGGGTTCCTTTTTCATGAAAAATGGTATATATTAAAGGGTAAGGGGTTGGACCTCGAGGTGGAGACTTCCCATGTAAAACTTTGTTAATTACCTCCCCCCCCCCCGGCAGTATGTTTGATTAGGTGATATTATTGATAGGGGAAATTAGATGCTGGTTGGTTCCTTTTTCATGAAAAATGGTATATATTAAAGGTAAGGGGTTGGACCTCGAGGTGGAGACTTCCCATGTAAAACTTTGTTAATTACCTCCCCCCCCCCCGGCAGTATGGTTGATTAGGTGTAATTATTGATAGGGGAAATTCGATGGTGGTAACTATTGGGGTAAAGGTTCAAGTTGGGTAAACGGTTTAAGGGTAGCCGTAACAACACCTGAAGGAGGGTAATGAGATTATCAACGTATTAAGACCTCTCCTTACATATAACACACCCTAGGAAAGGGTAGCCACACCACCGAGGTCTACGCCCCTTACTCTGTTCGAACAAAGTGTGTGTTCTTTTACATCCCACAAGAACTAGATAAGTGAAAGTGATGTAAGATGGGACCTGCGGTTTTTCGTCCGTATCTGAGAATACTAGAAAGTCTAACCGTTTGCAGATGTCATTACAAAGGCAGTTATTTAAGGACCCCGAGTGTTGGTCTGGCCGGGGTCTGAACCCGCGATCTTCCGCTCCGCAGACCGGCACCCTTCCATCTGAGCAAACCAGCCGGCAGTTAAATAGAGTTAACCATCTGAGCTAACCAGGAGGCTGTTAAAAAGGTATCCCTTTTTTTATTTTCATCTCTCTTTCATATTTGTAGGTATCAAAAGATTATAATAATTACCGTTTTTCTCTCTACAAAATCCTTATATTTTGAAGGTTATATGCAACAGAGCTGATGCTCGAATGTTGCACTTGGGCTACCTATGGTTTACGATATTAACTTGGTTTGTAAGCTTAAACCCACTGGGTGTTTTGGAACTTGTTAGACCACAATGATGCATATATGTACATTTATTTTAACTTAAAATGAACACGTGTAGTCAAACAATTTTTTTTTCCATTTAATCTGCAAACCCACAAAATATTAAACTAATTGTTCGTACCTAATTATTCGTTTTTTGTACTCTACTTTAAGGCCAGTGGAACAAAGTCATCGCTGGTGAAATAGATACACTCTGAATGTTGTACTGTTTTCGACTGACCATATTTTTTAGTTGTCAATTTCTTAAGGCACCAGCCTTGTTAAAATGAAAATTCTACCTGCCAAAATCTTATTGGTTGCTAATCACTTTTCGACTATAGTACATGTACCTTTCACCTTATTAGGGGTATTAGAATGGTAAATTTGAGACTTTGCGAGACTGCAAGACCCAGGTTTCAAAATTCGTTACCGAGGCTTAAGGCAATTCGAGGCTCCGACACGCAAAATCACCCAAAATCGAGACTTCAGGATCCACCGAAAAATATCGGGCCCAAAATTTTCCAAGACCACTTTTTTCAAGGAGCCATTCTCTACCCCTCTTAGTGGTCCTTGCAGAACAGACAAAAACACACAAAGTTCAAAGATACAAAGATTCAGACACTCAGAACAGCTAAAAATTTAGACATCAACAAAACCTGGGTCGGACTGGATCGGACCAACCTTTGTAACTCGCCAAATGATAAAAGGTTAGGGCTTAAGTAATATAAGAGTTGATTATGAGTGGTCCAATCCATTACAGGCAAATTCTTACATTTCACTGAAATTATGACACAGGGGCATCAAAATGATTTCTCTTCACCCTTAACAGCCATAATATGCAGTGCGGTCATCAACCATTAAGGTTTTGCTAAAGTTGTCCTAGAAAATGCTACAAATTTTTTTTGCTTACCTGTGTCGAACATCTTGAAACCCTGTGGGTAAGATAACGTTCCATTGAATTAATACTATGTTAAAACAAAAGCTAGGAATGTACAATATTATAAAACTATCTAAACTATACAGTGAGTACATTATAAGTATGACAAAAAGGTACATCAAGGTAATAGCAAAACACCTGAATAATTTCATTGTGGACATCTCTTCCATCCCCTTGTCTTGCAATCACAAACTCCAAGAACTCATCAAATTCAATCGACCTGTGTGTACAGGCATAACCGCAAATTATTATTGATAGTTACAGGACTGAGAGGAATAATTTTCATTAAAGGTCTGTAATCATACAAGTGATAATTACCCCGTATGTAATACCTCAGCAGTGAGAGTCCAACTTTAAAATCATGAGTGTGACTACAAGCCAAATCAGGGCGAAATAAACCCTGGGGGAGGAGGGTTAAAGAGTACTCGCTATGAAGGGGTACCTTTTCCAGGCTTCAGGTATATGCAAGAATATAGTGATTTTCTGAGTTAACGTATTTGAAAAGAGTAGGAAAACTAACACACGCATTTCAAGGCTGCGACAAAGTCAAGAAAACGGGCGTATGGAAAAGCCGGAATCCGGAATCCGGAACCGGAGCCGGATACGGAAACGGAACCGGAACCGGAACTCGAACCTAAGAAATAAAAATTGGAGACGTTTCTGTCTTGAGAGTGTCACTAACAATAATTGCTCGATCAAGACTTTTCATCACCACATTATATTTATTTATTGTTATTATATTTTTTACTGTCGCATTTTTTGCCTACGGTGCAAAATTTTTCTTCGAGAATTTCATACACGCGTGAGCGTTGCAACTTGGGATCATGATTGACATGAGTACTCCTCCTCCCTTTGCGGCCTTTCCCTCACAATGGATGAAACACAGAGCCCTTTTACAGCGGTTACCACTAACACGCGCCCTCAAGGAGTTTTTTCTTCGATTCACACCTGCGTTTTGGTTGACGTCAATCAACCGTTACCATGGTTTTTCAAGCGTTGACCTAGCAAGATTCTTTCCCCGTTTCTCCATCCTCGGAGACCCGGGGGGGAGATAGTGGGAACGAGGGAAAGTCTAAACGGGCGGAAAAATATGGCACGAAGAAAAGTAAAGAACGGCGAGAAGAGCCCCTGGGGACGATGTCTTACCTCTGGTCAAGGTTTGCCAGCGGCGGCAAGACCGAAGACTAACCACGGTCTTTTTGTGTTCAAAAGACCGACCAATCAGAAGCCAGAACGGCGGCGACCGTTTGGAACTGGTCTGGTAAGACATTGTCCCCACGGGCTCTTCTCGCCGTTCTTTACTTTTCTTCGTTCCATAAATATTTTTCCACCCGTTTAGACTTTCCCTCGCCCCCTTTATCTGCCCCTGGGTCTTCGAGGATGCCGTTTTTCGAGCACTCGGAAGAACATGCCGTTGTGTAAGACGTTTTTGCAATATTTTGCTACAGGATCTGACACCGCTTCATGTCAAGATTACGAGGAGCACGAATTTGTCGAGACTATGTGGGGGGAAACTCAAATTATCGACTTATTTACACACTCGCAACTCGTCTAAGTTCTTGTTAGTTCTGGATTCTATTCGATAACATGAAGAATGATAAGTAGATCTGCAGGTTACAAAATTCATTTCGAAAACAGCCTCCACTCAGAGGAAACCTTTTCCCTTGTCGGTGTGATATCTTTCGTTTCGTTGAATTTATACTACTAAAGACCTTCGCAATTCGTCCACGGCTCCCGTGCGTGTACTATCAAATAAAAAATAAACAACCTGGAAACCTTTACGTAAACTATAGAGAGTGTTTCGGCTATTTCAGTCAGCTCGCAGAGACCTCTTTGTTTAAACAATGTAATCCTTCATCTTATTGAAATAATTATAAACGTCGTCGCCATTCGAAATTATTCTTGTAAGTCTTCGCCCTTCATTCAGCGATGAGGGAACCTTCTCAGTCAGAGCACGTGAGAAAACCATGGAAACAGCTGATTGACGTCCATGAAAACTTAGAGAGAGAGAAAAACCCTTCGAGGGCGCGTGTCAGTGGTAACTGCTGTAAGAAAAGGTACGAGTAAGAATATAAAAGTTTTCATTCTTTTCCGTTTTACTGAAATTGAAAAAATGTTACCATTTTACAAAAGCATATCTGTTTTCGTTTACAGATCGCGACAAAGCGACGAATCGATTGAAATGTGAGTACGTGTGAAAATGTGAAGTTGTTGTGCTTGAATTTATGCTCGAGTCTGCGGCGGAACAGCATGGGCTGATTCTTTGAATTTGAGTGGTTATGTTCACTTTCCGAATGTGAGTATATCACGATCACTGTGCTGAAAATTTCGCAAAAAAATGATAACAGAGGACGCCATCTTGAATTCTATTTCCACACGGGTATCGGGTACTGGTTTCAGTGCTTCCTAGTTTACCCCGGTCTCAATTTAAGTTCCGGTTCCGTTTCCGGCTCCGGTTCCGGATTCCGGATTCCGGCTTTTCCATACGCCCCAAGAAAACATTCTGGTTTTGTGATTTATTCATATTTCAAAGACAGTTCATTTTATGGAAAGATCTAAACTAGATAAAATTGTGAAAGGGGTACCATTTGCCCATAGAAGGAATATGAAACCTGAGGTAACTTTTCGGTCTAAAGTGGTTTATAAAAGGTAAGGGGTTGGACTTCAGGGCGGAACCCTCCTGTTTTTAAACATTCATGAGTACCCCCTCTTAGGTGGGCAGCCAATCAATTTTGGGTTTGAAAAGTGGCGTTTAGATTAGTTCTTATCGCTGGAACTTACTATACCGTAGATATTATCAATTTGTCAATTTTACATTGTGGTACGACTGGACCAGCCCTTGGCTGCAATTTCTGTTAGGCAAATTGCCATCATCGCTAAGTTTTGCCTGCGTGTCTTTTTGTTAAGCATATCGATAAGGTTTTCACAGCTATCGATATTAGTGTAGACTTCGATCTGACAATTTCTACTTGGCATTGGGCCATAGGTTCTATCTACACTGGTATTCATCCACCCAAATCAAGTCAAGTTTACGGCGTGTGCAACCCAAAGTTAATAATTAATTCGTTGTTTTTAGGGCTTAAGCTTTTAGATCTTCTTTTTCACTGTTTTTGGTCAAGTTAAGTTTAATGGTAGCCTGAATTTCATCCGATTACTTCGAGTCGTTATTTCTCCCTCAGTTACTGAGGGAGTAACAACGACTCGAAGTAACCGGATGAAATTCAGGCGAAGTTTAATGGCTGTTTAATTGCTCCTTCATTGTTACCAAGTCGACTATTCTCGGAACGTTGTTACATTTTGGAGCTACTAAGTCAGGTTTCTTTCTTTAATATAGGGTATATTCACTATTAGCCACCGTCGTAAGCTGTCGTAGTATAGTCGTACTCATCGTATAGCTTGATCATCTTGTTTAGCCTTCCGTGTGATATGCATAAATAAGCAATTATGGCATTTCAGAGTTGCTACCATTAATGCGAACGTTAGCTTTAATTTTCTCATACACATCAGCCTATCCTAGATTTATTAGTTCTGTTAGATTTAATTTTCTCTGTTGTATTTCAGGCCACGTGGTTCACAAATAAGGCTTATGGTATTCGACGAAACGAAACGAAACGAGTACTGTAACTTGTGCAATCACAGGTGTCCCAAGCTCACGTTACGAGTTTGTTATGTAAGTTAACTTTCTCACAAGAGAGTCGGTGTCGCGTTACAAACGGCAGGACTTTTCCGCGTGTGGCGGGTGGCGGGTGACAGGTAGCGGGTGACGGGTGACGGGTGGCGGGTTAAAAATAGATATGAAAATAAAATATTATAATAAAATATAATTATTGATAATGATATAGCTGTATGTTGTAATTTTAAAATAATTTCAACGTTTATGACTAGCTACGAGACTCCAAATAAAAGTATTGTCTTGTTTTGTTTTATCTACTTACGCGGACTAAAAAATGGGGAAAAAAACGAGAAATCATGCCTGTGAAAACAGTCACCTCTCCTTGCTCCGCACCGCAAGTGACGTTTCGTCACGCTACACGCGGTGTGTCAAATGAAAATGGGCTATGTCAAGCACGACACATGGCACGTGCCATCTCGTTTGTCTAGTTTTCTTTTTCTTCCACATCAAGACGAAAGATGATGACACTTCCCGAACTGTTTAGCCTTGTTTCTAACAGACTGCAAGAGATTCGGCCTCCCGTGTCGTAGCTCAGTTTTTGCCTTAGTATGCGGCATGATTGCCATCCTAATCAGTATTTTTAAGTAGTATTTAAAAAATGCAGATCCTTTTTGTAAATATATACAACGAGATCAATTCGCGTCCGAGACGCCACATGCGGCGAAAACGGTCCATGCTGTGTCAAAAACGTTCTTGCTCCTTCTCTGGTACGTATTAACATTGACAGCTTTTTTGCTTTAGTCTTACGAAAATTTCCTTGTTTTCTCGAAATAGACATTTTGTTCATTTTAAACTACAAGTCGGGAACCAAATTGGCAAAGATTTATCCCACCGGCAATGCAATGTTTATCCCAACTTATAACAAAAGAACAAACGCACTTGTCAAAAATCTGGGACGCTGTTCAAACATGTCGAGAAGAGAATGCGATCTTACTTGTCTGGTGGCAGGATAAATATAGCCTGCGTGGCTGGCGGTATTGTGTGGGTGCGAGATTAAAGTTTTGGCGGCGGAGCCGTGTTCCAAAAAAAAGGAGTAGGGACGAGGCGGTTGAAATATTTCACTGAGACAAGGTCCGGACCGCCGGCTGTTTTTCAGTGCTGCCTTTACTTCGTATTACGAAGAGAGTGACAGGGGTCAAACTTATTGTCGGTTTTTTTGCTGGTTTAGCGACTAAAGTTTGGTTTTTTGTGTCCTTATGTAGTTTTCATTCACAGGAAATAAATAAAATATCTTTTTATTCATTCTTATTACATATTTAGCGTTCGGAGATCGCAGTACTGTATTTCTCATTCAAAGTCTCAACGGTTGTTTGTAACGCGACACCGACTCTCTTGTGAGAAAGTTAACTTACATAACAAACTCGTAACGTGAGCTTGGGACACCTGTGATTTCACAAGTTACAGTACTCGTTTCGTTTCGTTTCGTCGAATACCATAAGCCCACAAATAACCTTTCATCTTTCGCACTCAATCTCGGCTCAATTGAACTTGTATGAAACATTGAACTTTATCAATCAAACTTGCATATATCGTAATCAGAACTTCTTGTCAAGTTCGTCTTTACGCACCACTCTACCCACGTTATTTACTTGGATTTGAACTTCTTATCCTACATGTGTCGTTGTAAGTTACAATCAAGAGCTTGTTATTCTGACTGTTATTGAAAGACTGCGTGAAACAGGATCCCACATGGCTCCCTGTCAAATTCTACATGCTTTATTCACACAAGAATACAATGTATTTTAACTCCTCGTAGCCTACAAGAAGTAACAGACTGAAAGAGCAATGGTGCAGTCAATTTCATTCACTGTGAGCGCGTTTCTCGAAAGTCCCGATAATTAACGGGCCCGTAAAGCTGTTGTTGTTTATATGCAAGATAGAAGTTTCAATAGTTTTGCATCTAACATGACAAAACTATCAGTTATTGAAACAAAATGGAGTATTTTGCTTGCAAGGACCCGCGCTCTTATTCCTTATATTTCGATCTGAATATTTGGTTTCGGGCCCGAAAAGTTATCGGGACTTTGCAGAAACGGGCCCCTGACATGTTGACTCCTGGTTCTGAATCGACAGTGCAAGGATGGCAGAAATCTTTAAATTTCGTCTCGCAAACTTTTGATGCGATCAAAAAATCACAAGTGAAGCGTCTGTACTCAAGATATAATTGTGTCTTCAGAGTTTTAGTGTAGGAACTTTTTGCCTCATCGACTAATAGAGCGATTTTCATATGACCTTGAAATGAAAACGCGCGAACAAAACAGAAACAACAAAAGAACGGAAATAAAACCATTTGATTGGTTTATCGAACGGATACAAAGGCACCTGGTTTTTGGTTGGTTAAGCGAACGCTCGGCTGGAAAAACTTCATGCCCGAAAAACTTTCTAGAAATCGCTCTGACGTCATACTGCAACACGATTGGTCAATCGAACAATGCATTCTCCATACCAGGGTTTTCTTTGGCGGGAAAACGAAGAGTCCATGTTTTGTTCTTTTCATCCATTGGCTGATAAAACAAATAACGAACACTTACCGAAACCATTTTTCAAAGTCATGCGAAAATCGCTCTATAGGATTCTCAAACAGATAAGCATGTGGGTGAGTGTCAGATTCAACGTGCCTACCCCCGATAGGCAATATTTTGCTCTCTTGTCTTTTACCCGTTCATAGACCCTTCTTTCATTTTCCCGTAATTTATGCCCCTGAACCGAACCACTAATAGTGAAAACCTTCTAACAGGCTGATAAATCAACATCCTTGAAAACAGGGTAGCTGACTTAAAAAGCATATAACCGGCAATAAGAATTTTTCTGATGAATTAAGAAATCAATCAGGTTTTTGTGTTACTGGTTAGTACTTACCCTGACTTGTCAGAATCCAGGTCAGCTAACAAAAACAAACAACAAGATCATTCATTTAATGCTTCTACATGTATCAATACTTTATTTTTCCATAAGCTATGTATTGCTTAGACAGGATCTACTGGCCTGGTTGGAACTCGTTCATCACTGACCAAACCCAGGATTAAGTCATTATTGTCTCAACATAAAAGTTCTTTCTCAGCCCAAACAAGATTGAAAATAAAAATAATCATTATATTTTAAAGATATTTAAAGTCCTTCAAAATCCTACTTGTGGACTTTATACATGTATCTTTCATTGAAAAAATTAGAAAAATAATTTTGGAAACTTCCTGACCTTGAACATATTTTTTGTGAGCCTAATAACACAGCTGTAATGTTCTGTTACTGAACAGTACTGCCGTGAAAACCTCACACTGAAATAGGTGTCGAAATTTCTCCCGGACTGATAACGAGATTATGACAGATTATAACACCAAAGCTGTCAAAATGAATGTTATACATGTGAACAAAAAGTCATAGCGTTTGACTTGATTACGCCCTTGCTTGACGTAGAGGGGACCAAAGTAGTCGACGCCTACTCGGGTAAACGGTGGACTGTGAAACTCTTGCTTCAGGTAATGGAGCCATTATCTGTTCACCAGGATGAGCATTCCGCTTGCGATATTTCATGCAGCCTGCCAAGATACGGCGCACGACCGAAAGACCCCGAATCACCCAGACCCTCTGCCTGATTGAAGCTAGCACTTGAGAGGGACCAGAATGACCTTGAATCCGATGATAGGTTTGGGCCAACAACCTGGTTGCGGGGTTACGTTGGCAAGATGATGGGATCCATTGATTCAAATGACATCTGGGCGTTCTCGGGTCGCTTCCCTTTGAACAATTCTGACAAGGCAACTTTCCGTGACACCAATTTCAGCGACAGACAAAGGCCCTCCAATAACAATGCCTGGAAACCTCGTAACATAACTGGACAAGCAGTTCTTCAAACGTAGCAACCCGGCAATTGCCTTTCTAAGGCTATCCCACGAGGAATAACGGGAGAACCTCGCCGCAAAACTCTCATCACAGACGATCACATTTGCTTGACCAACATTCGGCTTAAGCTCTTTGTGTTCGCCAGACAATTCCGGCAACTGAGTGGGATGCGCAGGCCAGTCCTCCTTCTTTTTCCAGAGGAAAAAGCCACATTTCCATTCTCTCTCTCCCCGATTCCTTGACCTCTCTTGAAGAAAACTCGACCGTTGATAAGGAAGGAAGTGAGAAACTTTAGCAAGGAAATCTTGCTTCGTGTACAATAAATCGCCTCCTCACTTCTTATCTATCTCAAAGCAAGCGAGACTTCACGCTTTTAGAGCGTTCTTGTTTCCTAAGGTTCCTAAGTGTCCGACGTGCCATAAACAGTAGGCAACAAAAATTCTCTTTTTCGAGTATCCACCCCATCTTCTCCTCGACAGTAGATACATGTGGGCAGCAGTTCAAACCCGGCAGATATGGCCTCAGAGCGTGGACGTCGGAGAAGTAACTCAGCCCAAGGTACATTTCTTTGCCTCAAATGCCCACTGTGCTCCAGTCCTCACTGCGTGGAAATGGTACCTCCCATGGCGCGCAGGCTGGACGGTTTCTTCCTTTTCGACACTGACTTTCACCTCGATCAATATCCGGTGTTGACCCAACTAACTCCCCATACATCGTGTTCGGCAACATAGCTCTTCGACAAAGTTAACCAAATGTGAAAAGGTGGGCACCGTACCACTTAGCGCAACCGTTCTAACCTGAGATCAGGCCCAATCTTAGCGGTTCTCATACTTTCTCTCTAACGGCTACCGCTAAAATTGGGCCTGATACAAACTCTCTCACGTTTGTGCTCGTTACGGCCACTAAAACCGGCATTGCGACTAACCGACAATCTTGTTACGGTGTTCTAGACTAACCGACAGCGAAACGCCGGAAGTTGAAAGCGCTTATTCCTCGCGTGGTTGTTTTCGTGAATGATCCGTCGTCGGCGGAGAGAAGGATCGACTTTGCTGTCTTTTTTATTGTTTTATGGTCTTATGGTAGGAAAATATGCCTTAATATGTGCCACGGAAATTCAGAAAATTCTTATGGTTGTTCATATCTTCTCAGGATTTGCTTTCTTTACGGAACTAATGTGAGTGTATCGCGGAGTTGAATCCCTCTGCAAGTTATTGACCGCTAACAAGAAGCCTTTTGATTTACCAACAAACGAGTGCAAATAAAACTACTGTCCATCTTAAAACTGGTTGCATCTGAAAGTTTAGCAGGGAATGACGTCTCTGAACGGGGTACGCAAGCTGAGGCTCACTGCGAAAGAAACCTCAATCGCCAACTGTGAAGTATTAGACGAAAAATATCGCATCGCTATTCAAGGAATTTTTGTAGGCATTATTATAAAAGCTGGTGGGTTAAGGTAACAGACTGGTTGTTTGCCTTCGCTTTTTGTAAAATATAAACCAGGAAAACTGGTGTCCTCGCTTGTTGGCTGTTTACTTTTGTTTTTAAAGATTTATGTACTGAAAATCGGGGAAATTACCGAGGAAAATATAAGGTAACAGAAAACTAGAAATTTCAGTATTTTAAATCCGAGCGCGCCTAGCCAAAATAATAAAACTAGTAGAACATCGTGTTGCCGTCTTTTCGAAAACTTTTTACCTTCTATGCCAACAGAAATAACGTTCGAGATCTCCCTTAATCTCGCAAGAAGTTAAATGTGATTGTGCTGACTGCTTCCCTGCTAGCAGAGGTCTCTCACGGCGAGGCATTTTTGCCTCGCCGTGAGAGACCTCTGCTAGCAGGGAAGCTGACTGCTTTATTTGTAGCTGAAAAAATTAACAGATAAAAGCTACTTTTTAAGTCAGCCGGTCTGCATTTTTCCCACGCGTGAAAAATTTGCATACTAGAAAAACAAGCAACGGAAGTTATTTTTGGTTGGCTGATTCGCAAATGTCAATCAATCAAAAAAGTGGGCGGCAGACGTTTCGTAGAAGGTTTGTATCAGGCTCTCTTTTCGTTTCGCCTTGCCCGCCGGAATGTAATTTTCAAAGTGAAACGAAAATAGAGCCTGATCTCAGGTTACAAGCGTTCCAGCTCTATCGGCCCATTTTGGCTGCAATGAAGGGGGAGGCGCTTCATAACCTTTACGTAATTAACAGAACTGTTGATGTCTCTCTGTATTGAGGAAGTCATAAGCTGTATAGCCTCTTGCTGCTGTTCAAGTATCGTTTGCACCTGTGAGGAGCTGGCGACGTCTCCATAGCAACCACTCATTGCATTTCGTGGGGGAGGTGGGTACCAGGTTTCGGCAAATGGATTCGACACTGATCCTGAGCAAGTTTTTTCCAACTTGAAATCAGGTTTGAAATTAAGCGATCGCGTCTTTTTTACACCTTCCATCCTCGATTCTTCTTTGACCACATGTTAGAACACTCCGAAGTCTTACACCTGAACAACACCGCAAATGATCCCCAACCGTAAATGATACCCAGACCGCAAATGATCCCCATTGCTATCGGGCGAGGAAAGTCAGAATGGCCTGGACTCGAGTTACTGGATCACTATGTCACATTTATTATCGCAACAAAAAGTTTTAATGAAACTGAATACTTTTAACAAATATTTGCCAAGACTGAAAAAAGGAAACCGTAAAACTACTTCTTGACAAGAAATTCCTCAAATCCTATCTATCGGATACCTCGTATCAACTTTAGAAAAGGATAAAGGAGAATTCTTTGCTTATAGATACAACATTTTCAACTTAATTGTTCCTTCGTTTCTCTTTCCCTGATTTTGTATCTTTGTCATGGTCTCTGTCTCCAGAGCAAAGGCACGGGAAACGAATAACCTTAGACCAGGCCCAATTTTAGCAACTTTTTGAAGGTATGTTTTAAAATTCCAAACGAATGTGCTTAGGATGCAGGGGCGGATCTAGGGGGAGGGTGCAGGGGTGCACACCCCCCCCCCCCTGAGATGACCTGCGATTTTCTAATACAACTGGTATTCTGCAAAAAAAAAAAAACTATGTGGTTTATTGGTGTTGAAGTAGAGCAAGAGACAAGTGCACCCCCTCCTAAAGAAAATCCTGGATCCGCCCCTGGGATGGGTATTTGAATGGATTTGTTTTTTTGGAAAAGAAGCAAAGAAAGATTCCTCAGCCTAGTTTAATAATAAAACAACTCAAATAGACCGTATATGAAAACGGCTAAAAGGCTTTTAACATAACAAATAAACACAGATTCATTCCAGTGTTTTTATAAAGTGTTCTATCAAGGAGGCGCTTAAGAGTTTTGTCCTTCCTTTCCGTTTTCATATTTAATGCCACTTACGTTTTAACTACATACATGTACATGTATTATCCTTCCTTTACTAAAATCTAGAAAACTTTTACAAAAGTTCTGAAAACGACACGTTTTGCTATTGTACGGAAATCACTATTGCTCTCAAAAAGATATACCCCCCGGCCAAAAATTTATATGTATGAGATCGATCAGGAGCTGAAGGGTGGGGAATTCTCCCCTTCCGCATGCCCGGGGGAGGGGAATAGACCACCAGGAGAGAAAAAATTCCAAATCCCCAGGGGCACTCCCAGAGGGGGCAAGGTAACACGTCAAATTGAACCATGCATTAAGAGAGAGTAGACTGTATAATATTTTATCTTTTTACATGCAAAAAGGAACAGTATTTTCTGTAACTGTTAAGTATCTTTTTTTGACTACTACTGTACATGAAAATACGTACTGCTTAGGATGACAACCATGCTGCATGTAAGTACAAACGCTAGAAACAGAAAGCTACAGTAGAACCCCGCGTATAAGAACCTGGATTTTTTAATTTAGCCTTAACAAGTTCTTATATAAATGGTACTTAAAGCAAATGTAGACTTCCAAGGTTCTTAAAATAGGCTCTTATATTTTCATATGAATTTCATTTAAATATATTATAAACATGATAAATATCATCTCATAATATAAAACATTTCTACCATACAGTAATGCCTAAAGGCAGTAAAAAAATGTTATGTCAAGTTGCTTTTAAATATAATTAGATGATGAACTTAATTCAGCAGAGTCTACCTATACACTTTTACAGCAACTCCACTGATAAGAACCTCACTTTAGCCTTAATAGGTTCTTACGTGGAGGGGGCTTAGCATGAAAATTTTAGCCTGACAGGTTCTTAATAAAACCCTGGTTCTTATACGCAGGGTTTTACTGTATCTCTTGTGGTCTTGTAAACAGTTGCAGAAGAGCAGTCACCTTTCATCTTGACGTGGAAGACAAAAACAAACTAAACAAACAAGATCTCTGCCCCCTTTTCAGAGGCATTTACAAGCAGTTAAACAAAGAAATGAAGCTGTAGACTAGGATTTATTGCAGATACCTGTAGCTGTGAATTGCGTGATTATGATTAGACTAGTGTTGTGATAAGATAAAGTAATAAGCATCAAAGAATCTTTTGCGTTCCTTACATCGCCACAGAAATAATATTTTTGGGGGAAATTTTGTTAAAAGAAAGTTCTCAACGAGCTCCAACTAATCATCAAAAATTTTATTAGATAACAAAAATTATTGATTTCTACCACGATGGATATATAATACAGTTAAGTTATGCTGGCCATCATTCTTTTTTTCTTATATATTTTTTTGGTTTCATATTATTCTATTTTATTCAGAAAAAAAGTGCATAGCAAACTAATTTGCGTATGGTTGAAAAGCAAAAGGCAAGTTTGCATGCAACATCCATCAGCATAAGGTACAACATCTGAGGTACAAGCTGAAATTATTCTTTAGTTTATTGGTGGTACATGAAAGCATCAAGTTCACGGTTGGTTTGCTTTAGAATAACACAAATCCAAAAGTACATGTCAGAAAAAATAATGCTTGGATGGTAAAAAGCTGATGGAACTGCAATGCATTTCTGACAAAAATCGCTGGCAGAGACAAACATGTCTGCAAAGTGAGATGAAATATTAAAACAACGTTCTTTTACCTGCCAATTTTTGCTGTAAAGAATATTACAGTAACACTACCTCACCTATCATTTCTTCTATTGATTCCTTTGATATTTTAAACCCCAATGCCTTCATGGCCTTTCTGAGTTCTTGAGCATCAATGGACCTGAAAATAGGAGAGATTTCTTTCAAAATGTCAGGCCTGTACAGGATTATAACGTTGGTACCCCCAAGGGACATGCATCTCATGGTGGGGTTAAAAAATCAAAGATCCAACATCTCAGGGAGAGATCTGGCACGCACATATAATATTCATCAATATACTGACAATATCACTCCTTTGCACTGTGTGCTTTCAATAAACACACATGTATCAACACACATTAATAGGAATGGTGATTAAAAAATTATGCACAGTTTTAACCATATATCTCTCAAACAATTTAACATGCCAATTCTTGTTCTGATTAACTGTGAGTCCAGGGAGGTGGGGGGTACTTTAGGACTTTTTGGGTGGGGATGTGCCGCTGGGACGCTGGAACCCTTAGCCTATACCAATGCTAGTTCAAGTGAATTTTGCTACCCTATACTAGACTAAAACTCAAAACTCCCCAAATCCCCCCTATCCTAGAGTAGCTGTTTTCCAGAAATAACTGAGGTCACTAGCACAGTCCAGCCAAAACAAAACAGATTTGATTTTTTTTATATTCTTGAGTGGCAATTCCCAGTTTCCCTAGTCTAGACTAAAATCTTCAGCCAATGGATCAATCTAAATGGAAAATGATACCCTCTTCTAGACCCAAACTCTCTGATTTATATACCCTGTCCCAGAGTAAACTGCTTGAAAACGATACCTTTTGCAGCGGCACATACCTATATCACTCATATATGGCAGTAACCCCCCCCCCCCCCCCCCCGGGGGGGCTCTAGGGGAAAAAAACTCCCCCCTCCCCCTAACACCCCACCCCCCCGCAAAAAAAAAAAATTTTTCAAAAATTATTATAAAAAAAAACCCTTTGTGGCCGCACAAGGAGTGATTTATGGGTGAGAGCGAAAGCAACAACCCAAACACCCCATTTTATATTTCATGATATCGTGCATTCCTTCTCACTACGTTCTCTCCTCGTCTGTATTCTCTTGTTTTTTTTATTGATCCCGCCCCCCCCCTAATTCCCCCCCTCTCCCCCCCCCCCCCCCCCTCCCTTCTTTTATGGAACAACCCCCCCCCCCCCCCCAATGGGATGAGTCTCATGGATACAGAGCTTCCCTGTCACTGTACAAGCCATGACCACTTGATAGAAAGTCAGTTTTACAATATCTAATCTGAGAATAAGCTCCTTGGCATGTGCAAGTGATTGCTTAATGAAGGGTGATCAATAGCACAACCACTAACCCACTTTTATCTGTATCGAACACATCAAAAACCAGCTTGAGGTCCCTGATTTCTTGTGGTGTAAGCTGTTCATATGCTCTTGATGTAACTTTGCCCTTCATGAACTTCCTCTGGTTTTGTAGTTCAGCTTCAAACAGGGCTTGCGAAAGCTGTCAGCAGTAACAGAAATAAATACGCAAAACCTCTCATTAATATTTAGACTTTTTCACAACCATATGGCACACAAGAATCATTGGTAGGGTTATTGTTACTCTTCAGTTTTCATTATCTTTTCTGCCAAAAAAGGTATCCTCTTTTCTGTTTGATTCTTTGAGAGTTTAACCATTGCTAAGCATTTTAGTAAAATTTCAAAGTTATTGAAAACTTCTTAGTTGCTGAAATAAAATCGAAATATTCTCGGTGATCGAATCTTGGCTTCTCTGCTTGGCTTCATAGAGGTCATTGTTATAACAAACTAGTTTACTTCATTATAACCTCATCATACACGTAGGAAATTAATGCCCCATGAAATTATATTAACAAAAATTTAAAAGTTTGCATTGCATTAATTTCTTGAAATTATATTTCTGTGCTGTTATTAAAGTGGAGCATCAACTTCCGCAACCTTAATTTACACTTGAAGGAGTATTTTCTCAGCGTGGAGATCCACCAGTCACAGTGAAACCATGACGAACCCTGAAAGTGGCCAGGTTTCTTTGCTTGAGCCCTATCATACAGGCTGTGGTATGAAGCCCTATAATACAGGCTGTGGTATGAAGAGCTATCATACAGTCTGTGGTATGAAGCCCTATCATACAGGCTGTGGTATGAAGAGCTATCATACAGTCTGTGGTATGAAGCCCTATCATACAGTCTGTGGTATGAAGAGCTATCATACAGTCTGTGGCATGAAGCCCTATCATACAGGCTGTGGTATGAAGCCCTATCATACAGGCTGTGGTATGAAGCCCTATCATACAGGCTGTGGTATGAAGCCCTATAAAACAGGCTGTGGTATGAAGCCCTATAATACAGGCTGTGGTATGAAGCCCTATAATACAGGCTGTGGTATGAAGCCCTTTAATACAGGCTGTGGTATGAAGCCCTATAATACAGGCTGTGGTATGAAGCCCTATAATACAGGCTGTGGTATGAAGACCTATCATACAGGCTGTGGTATGAGGCCCTATAATACAGTCTGTGGTAAGAAGCCCTATCATACAGGCTGTGGTATGAAGCCCTATAATACAGGCTGTGGTATGATGCCCTATCATACAGGCTGTGATATGAAGCCCTATCATACAGGCTGTGGTATGAAGCCGAGTATCATACAGTCTGCTGTATGCCAGGAAAGTATCAAGAACAAAGTTTCCTTTTCAGATTGTATCTTTAACTTTGCATTTTCTCTTGTCTCAACAAGTTTTTCTCTGTGAGTGTCACATACATTTGCTTCATTCTGAAATGTTACTCGATCTGTCTTTTACATTAAATTACATCAATTTAATAAATTATTTGAAAGTCGTTTTCCAATAAATTTGCATTAATTCAAGTCACATTAATTTCCAATACTAGCAGCGAGACTCATAATCTGCAACGCATTTTTCGCCCCGTGGGGTTGTCCCTTATATAGGCTATATAATTATATAGGTATGCCGTGCCAAAGGGTATGTTTTTTTAGCTGTTTTGGTCTGAAATAGGGTATCAATTTTGACCATTTTGGTCTGAAGTAGGGTACAGTTTGTGCACTCTAGTCCTGAATTGGGTATGTTTTTTCGAAGAATTAGCTACTTCTTCATCATTTGGCAATAAGACCATTTCCCTTTTAATGTTTATGCCAACTACCGTGTATGTGCTGTAACAGCCTGTCATGTGTTCCGCTCACGTGCCGGGCTCCAGGGCTTCAGGTCTAAAATAGGGTAGGGAAAATCACAGATTTTGGTCTGAAATAGGGTAAAGGTTTCAAGAAGTGTGCTGGAAGTATCCCCAAGAATTTTTGGGACACAAAAGGCAGGTCATTATGCCAGGCGTTCGTTGCGGAGACCGTGGAAACTGGGACTAAGAATCTTTGCATGATCAAAGCCACACATGTTTTGCGAAGAAAGCTTAGGAAAGATTAAATTTAGAGCTTTTCTTAAACATGTCGGTCAACGAATTCTATCGCTTGAAAGCATTGATTACTTTGGAGCAAGTGAACACTACTGAGTGGTCAAAAAAAATAAGAATCTTAATTGGCAAAATTGCGATGGTCGGGTGTTGTAAACTTAATTCACTGTATGCAAATGAGTCTTGTGATGAGCATGCAATTTATTTTCAGCGATTGAAATGACGTGCCATTTGAATCACTTTCTCGATATCTGGCAATGATGCAATTTCTCTGGAATCGAGACCCTTGAATTTTCATGTATTTATACATGCGTATAGGCTGCTACGTACTGCAGAGGTATTTTTGGGCGTCGCTTACACTCATACTACAGTGTAAATCAATTCAGAAACAAATAAAACGTATCGACATCGATAAAGTAGGAAGTAAAAAACCTTTAGTGAGTAAATCATATTTCTTGTAGAATTAATCGCCTCCTCATTTCTTGATCTAATCTCCAAGCAGGTGGGACCTGAATGCCGCTGTAAGCGTGTTCTTGTTTCGTATAATAAGGTACTCATTCAGGGTGATGGCTCTCGCTTGTTTGCATCGATCTGCATATTTACATGCAGCCTGCTGATCAATGATGGCTCACTGCAGTGCTTCTTTCTCACTTGAGTGATTCTTGTCGCAAAGGTTCATTTCATTCAGTTATTCAAAAAATGCAACAACCTGCTACTTATCAGATTGGAAAATGGTTTAATAACCTGCTGCTGTAATAATTTGTGATAAATTATCAGCGTTTCTTTCTATTATTACATGTAAGACAATTTTTTTTATACAAACGGCAATCCACACTGGATCCACCTGTGAGGTAGTGAGGCAGAGATCTTACTTTCCAAGGAAAAATAATTTAATATTTTCAGGATTTCACTTTTACCTGCCAAATTGTCTGATTTTTTTTTTTTGCCCTTTTGTCAATAATTTATTAACGTCCGTTTTCAAGAGGTTTTCACTTTTTCTTTTGGACTGCGTGGGAAGACCTCAAAAAATGCTCTATGAGTAGGGTCTAGACGGATGGGTCCTGATCTCACATTCCAGCTCCACTCTAGAAAATCCAGCATCCTGCTCTTTTTGTTCATCCCTTTCCCAAATCCCGTTTGTTGTTTCTAAAATAAAGTCATTAAAAAAGACTAACCACTGCCAAAGCTAATAAATGTAAAATGTTTGCAACTTCAATTGAAATTTTGAATTTATGAGACAAGGCCATTGGAAAAGAGCTGTTTACAGTGGGTAAATTGCATCTCATTTGTGTGACTTAGAATATTTTCAGGGCAAGGGAGGGTATAAGATCTAGAGTACTTTCCAGGACTCATTAGTGACTTTATTTAATGCCCTACCCGCAAATTTAAGGCAGTGTCCAGACTTTAATACTTTTAAAAAATAATTGTTTTACAATTTTAAAGAGTAGGGCCAGCATGCCCTAGTTATGGTTACTCAAAGTATTTATAGTAGTTTAATTTCGATTTTACAGTTTTAACAGTTTTTAAGTGCATTGTAAATAGTGAGTGATTTTTTAGTAAGATTATGTAAGTACAGTGTAGTTAGTTAATTTTTAGTTAGTATGATGGATGTAAACCATGTAGAAATACTGTCAATAAATTGTTATAATTATAATTATTATTATTATTATTATTATTATTATACGGTTTGTCATTTCGTATGGATCATACTCGCTTATGGTCCGTAAAGAGCCGTTTACAATCCATAAATTGCATCTCATTAGTAGGACTTTTCATCATGCACAAGAGGATAAACAGTTTGTCGATCCATACACGTATATATATATATATGGATTGTACAGATTGCAAAACTTGCATACAGTCCGTAATTGGCATCTCATTAGTAGGACTTGCAGTACTTTCATGGCTGCAAGAGACGGTAGACACCTTTTTCAATTAAGGTTGTTCTTGTGTACATGATGCACAATCCATTCTTCAAAGCCTGTGGTGCTTTATGGTAGACCCTTTTGTAGCCGGAAGTTCAGCCCTGTTTATGTTGATTGGAAGAATGGAGGCCATTTAAAACTGTAATTTGTTTGAAGGTGTTAATAAAAAGTGAGAAAAGCGTTTAAGAGAGCTTCCATCTCACTCGGCTGAGCAAATTCTTAAGGATGAACGAGCTGAGGAATTTAATTTTTAAAATATCACAGAAAGAAATTAGAAGCCGCTTCCTTTAACAACTCCTCATTAATTGAAGAGGGTTTTATGGCTTCTTTAAGCTGTGTCTGGGCCACATTGCTGAATATTTCAATGAAACAAATCAACACTATTCTTTTATCTTCTGTTTTTAATCTTAAAAAATTTGCCTCAAAAATAAATAAACCCATACTGATTCAACAAACCCCTTGTATTTGTTTTATAAAACTCAATCTAAAATTCTCACGTGCACAAGTAAAAATTTGCAACACTTGCATATTAGGCCACAGAGCAAAACCTAACTCAAATCACTGTCTTAAAAAGCAGCAACTGCCAAAGGCCCCTGTTTCAGTCTTTTGAAATACTGTCTTAATGTTAAACTGACATAGCATAGTCCCATGATGCAGCGTAGGCCATGACAGTGCCATGAAACATGGATCGCGCATCAAGCATCATTCTTCACCGAAGCAACCTTAATTGAAACAGGAATATGTGGTTTGTTCATGCATACGGATTGTAAAGATAGCAAAACTCGTATACAGACTCTCAAGAGTTGTGGTTGGTCTGTTTATTGCCATTTAGAGAAGGCTTCGTCGGCAATGGGGTGTGCTTATTTTTTTCTTGATTTACATGTATAGAAGTAGGAATATTTAACTCTTCTTTTGTTTTGTTTTATATTGGCTTGAAAGAACGAGGAATATTACATTTGAAGTGCATAACACTGAAACCTAGCTTCCCCGAACTGATTTTAAAACACATATTATATTACTGTATACGACAGTCGACCAATATGCCACCAATAGTCGACCGATATAATATTCCACCAACAGTCCACCGATAGTTTCATATTCTTGGGCAGCCTAGGATGAGTGCTTGTTTATTGCTTCTTCACCAAGAAGACAAACAAACATGAGAAAACTGCGTCTGACTGGCCGAGAAAAAGGAAAGTTTGAGGTCTCAAAACCTAGGATTGAGAAATCATCGGTTTCAAACAGCAAAAGCAAAATCAGCTTGTCATTACTAAGAAAAACAACGAGCCTAACCAGAAATTGACTTAAATAGTGGTCGGTGAGTGAGTTCAACAAAAATGCGAAAATGGTTTCAAAATCCTTAAACAAGGTAATACCCTGAAGCCATTATAATGTTATTTTTAGTGATGGTTAAAACTTCTTTTAGCCATACCTTAAATTGGAGTGTACATACTTGTCAAAAACCTGCAAGTTAAACTGTGACCTTCTTTTTAGTTGACATTTTTTTTCAAATGGTTATGGAGCAAATTGAAATGCAAAATCTTGTGTTTTTGAAAAAATAAACTGACAGGACAGACGTTCTGCATAAATTCCTTGCACTGTTAGGAAGTTAAATAAGTTTAAACGAAAACAACTAAAATAGTATAAGTTTATTTATACATAAACTTTCATCTAGCTAACATTATTTAAACTTATCAAAATATTCAGTCACCTAAAGAAAAATGTATGCACATTTCACTCGACAAGAACTCAAACACAGAATTTTATACAGACGATATACTGAGCAGTTTAACCCATTCGCCTCTGAACCGCCCGTAACTGCCCGTGCAGATCCACATCCTTTCTACCCTTTGTGACGTCATCAGTTTTAACGGTCAAGGACAACTTTGTCTGCTAACTTGTGCAGAGTGAAGAGATCTCTCAAACCATACCAGAATGAGCATAATTCAGTCAAGGACACCGGAGAAAGAGGCAAAAAACCATGTAACATTGACCTTAAAATCTCCAAGGAAATCTTGTTACATTGCTCACCTACCTTTCCTTTCACCTAATCCTAAGATCCTAAAAGCTTTCCTAAAAACTATTCCCACCAAAATGAAGCCTACTAAATGCCCAGCAAGAGAAAAAAAATGAGGCAAGAAAAGTGAAAAAAGAGGGGAGGAGAGAAAGCGAAAAGTAAAAGTCAAGACTGCTGTGTCACTTTTAAACCCAAAAACTATCTCGAAATTTTGCTTTCTGCGCATGCCCGAACTTCGCAAGCTGATATTTTGCATCTGGATCAGAAGGCCTTGAAGTGTACGACCTGTAAACCGGTTTGTGGTAAGTTTAAGCTCTTTATAACACGACAGTGACCAGAAAACCACTCGACTAGCTTCAAAACGCGTTTTTCGGCAAAATCTCCAGGAGTGAATGGGTTAAACTCCATTTTTCAGATATACACAAGAGTAAATAGAATACTAAAAAGTAAGATAATTAAAGGAAATAAAATATTGTTAGTTTAACAAATTTTACCCTTTTCAAGCTTAAAAAGTTTACTTCTTCTTTTGGGTTCATCGCCTTATCCTTTCTTCTGTTCAGTTATTACGATCAGCTTTTCCCACAATTTTATTGTTTGTAACAGATATCCCTTTGACTTACTGATAAGTTTAAGTTTTGAAATGTTACTATTTTTAAGATTTCTATCGTTTTCCAGTGACTCAGCAGCAAATTGCCTATGCTTGTTTTTGCAAAGAAGTTGACCCGCACTAGCCTTGCAATTGTGCTCATCCCAGGGCTGTCGGGAATACGAAACTTGCCTATTAAGACTGGCTGTCATATAGGTGGAGTGTAGACTGACATACCGATTGACATGTCTACCGACAGTTGACTGATAAGGCAATCAAGAGTGGACCATAATCGGCCAACATGTTAACTGAACTATCGGCCAATAGTGCCACCTGATACTTGATCAAGGGGTTCACAAATTACACAAGATCCCAGTATTGGACATGACTGCCTGTGAAACTTCTGTCCGCTTATTTGTTGACAGTTTCAATTTTATAATCATTATCTACGTTACTCTACAGTTTGCTCCGATAGGAGCTGGTTAACTCCCATATTGCCGCTACAACATCAACTTCCCAAATTCCGAAAGACAAGCAAAAATTGCTGCATCCAATGCCCAAATTTTGGTGAATCCCGTTTCCCAGGTAGCAGTCAAATCACGTTACCTGTTAAGCTATTTTGCGTTTTCCCGAATTCCGCACCGTAGTTTAGTCAAATCCTAGATGCCAAAAATACCTGTCCAGATCTAACCTGAGATCAGGCTCTATTTTTGTTTCACCTTAAAAATAACATTCCGGTGGGCAAGGTGAAACGAAAAGAGAGCCTGATACAAACCTTCTACGAAACGTCTGCTGCCCACTTTTTTATTACTTCCGTTGCATGCTTTTTTTCAGTATGCAAATTTTCTATACGTGGGAAAAATGTAGACTCGCCGACTAAAAAAATAGCTCTTATCTTTTTTTCAACTAACAATAAAACAGTCACCACAATCACATTTAACTTCTTACGAGAGTAAAGATCTTAGAGGTTATTTCCGTTGCCATAGAAGGTAAAACGTTTTCGAAGAGACAGCGACACTTTGTTCTAGTTTTAATATTTTCGCTAGGCACGCTCAATTTTTAAAATAGTGAAATTTCTATTTTTCTGCAGCCTTTATATTTCCTCGCCAATTTTCCTCGATTTTCAGTGTATAAATCTTTAAAACTCTTGGAGAAATACACTGTATATTGCAAACTTTTTCAAAGGCAAAATAAATAATAATAGTTCAAAAAAATAATAATAAATAAATAATAATGTGTCTAATGGTTCACAGCTGTCGATTGAGGTTTCTTTCGCAGTGAGCCTACGCTTGCATACCCCGTTCAAAGAAGTCATTCCTGACTAAACGTTAAAACCAGTTTTAAGATGGTGACAGTATTTTGACTTGCACTTGTTTGTTGGTAAATCAAAAGGCATCTTGTTCGCGGTCAACAACCTGCAGAGGGATTCAACTCCGCGATACAATCATATTAGTTCCATAAATGAAGCAAATCCTGAGAAGATATGGACAACCATTTGAATTTTCTGAATTTCCATGGCACATATTAAGGCAGGCCTACCACAAGACCATAAAACAATAAAAAAGACAGCAAAATCCTTCTCTCCGCTGACGGCGGATCATTCACAAAGATTTTTTGACAGTGCTATCAGCCACGCGAGGAATAAGCGTTTTCAACTTCCGATGAACAGCCAATCAGCATTGCGGCCAAAATCTGGCCACAGCGAGCACAAGCTAGTAAGACTTTGGATCAGGCCCAATTTTAGCGGGAGCACGTAAGAGAGAATGTATGAGAACTGCTAAAATTGGGCCTGATCTCAGGTTATTCTAGATCCTGTATGAGCACCATGCAGGCATGAGAAAAAATAATGCTCATTCATGTAGCGAACTACTCTATTCCGTATTTACTTCGAATTCCTACCCTTTCTCTGGAGGAAATGCCGCTTCGACTGCTGCCAGCAACACTGAGAGTTTCTGAAGCCATATGTTGAATCATCGTTCTGTTTGGAATGCCTCCAACTTGCATGGACGTTTGGCGTTCATCGCTGGACTTACTTGATTTTTTTTTTGCCTTCTTCTTTCCCTTTTTCTTCGGCATAACTATAACAATAACTATGACGTCTATTACTTGAAATTAAGTAAGTGAATCAAGCGATAAGTTTATGTATTAGGGAAAAGAGATCCTTCACACCGCCCGCCATGTTGTTTAGGTCGTTGCCATGCATAGTGGAAGCGTCATGTATTAAACATGTATTGTACCGTTGGCCAACATTTAACCTGAGATGCCCGCCGGAATGTTGAGCTATAAAAGCGTTCAAAAAGGGGGGTACTTTACCATGGGGAAGATTGTAATAGAGGGCGAAAAATGACCCTCCAATACTCGAGCCCGCGTTTTTATTGGTCAATAGGTGACCTTACATGACGTACTTGCTGGGTTGTTTCTTGGTCGATCGCTTGTGAGTTGTCAACCGTCGCGTTGTAGGTGCTGTTGTACCATGCCAAAACGTTCTCCCGCAAAGAGAGATTTTAGAGATAACGGGGAGAGAAAAATAAAAAAGAGCAAAGAAGGTGCTTCTTCATCAACCAGCAAAGTGGATGAAGATTTGGTAAGATCTTTCTGTTTGTTTTCTATTATGGCACCCCTTTTCACCTTTTCACGTATCAGGGGTAAGCTCATATGATTACTAGTTCAACTTTTTAATACTTCCTCAGATTTTCTGGAATGAAAAAGCGTTTAATTCACAAGGAAGCTAACATATTTATTATACTACTGAGTTGATCATCGTTAAAAAGGGAACATGTTCTTTTTTCCATGATCGAGGGCAAGCTACTACGACATATGACATGAAGAGCTTTGTTTTTGTACTAGCAAGATTTGTAGTTATAGTTGGCATAAATACCACGAGTGATATTTCGAAATTGTTATACGTAATTTAAATTTGAGACAATTTTGAAATATCACGAGTGGTATTTATGCCAAATATCACGTACAAATCATGCTGTTATTTGTTTATACTACTACCTGCAAAAGGTTTGTAATTTTCACATGTAGGTATTTCAAATTAAGCTGAAACACCACTGCTCTAAGCCAATCAAATTGCAGTAATTTCTCATGTAGTAGTGTAAGGCGTCTAAATCTGTCGATTTCCAGGGTTTACCTCGGTGTAAGAACCTGTGAACTTTTTCTTTGTTTCGCACCTTTTGTTTTTCTGCGTTCTATTGTGTTGACTTCTTTGTTTCCTCTGTTTTACATCACTTGTGCGTTTAACAGGTTCTTACACCGAGGATGAGCCGATTTCCATTTATGGAAATCAAAAAGCAACCTTGAACTGTAGACCATAACAAATAAATATATGGCAGCACTCCTTCATACTTTATCTATCAATAGTTGGCACTAATTCTTCACTATTTCTCTTTTACTTTTAATTTAAAATGTTTGATCACTTTGCTCTTGGGCATTCTAGTCATTTAACTTTTAAGACAATACGTTAATGAGAATTCGATGAAGAGAATTGTTTCATTATGATGGAAAGATATCTGTTGAAGAGCAGTATTCACCATTTTGCATTCCGCAAGAGATACTGAAAGCAAAGTTTATGCAACAATATTAGAAGGGGGCAGACAGACAAGGTGTGTTAGGGGATGCAAAAATAACAAATACTTGTGGTTATATAAATGTCACTTAAGATCTGAACAAGTTGAGTAATTCATAAGTTTTTTGGCAAGTCTTTCTTACATGTAGCTGAACCATACATTTATAACAAATATGGAAACCTTGGAGGTTTAGCTCTGTGGATTTGACCTTAAAGTGGAAATCAAAGTTCTATTGTAAGATGATACAAAATATTTTATTTCCTCAAATAAAAGCCATCCCTCTATTAACCACCTCCCTCAAATAAGAAATATTTTCTAGTAATAGTTGACAATACAGCTCCACCCCCTCTGTATATTGTCGGTCAATAGTATTCTTGGTCATTGTGTAGCTCTTTGAAATATACCAATTCATGATCAAAGATTTTCACACATATTCTATACAGAAGGTGAGAGTAAAAACAGGAAACGAAAGGTTCCATGCACTGTTTCAGTTTGATTTACACAGCTATGATCTAAAAGCATTCTCTGTTTTGAGAATAGTTTATTTTAAACCATTACAAAAGATTTAATTATTAGAAGTTAAAGTTTTACAAACAGTTCATTTTATTTTCCTGAAATTAAGCCTTAGAAATTAAAAGGTTTGATCAATAATTGCTCACAGATGTCCTTCAAGGGATTAAGTATTAGAAATGGCTAGAACATGCCAAAGAGATAGAGAAAGAGATCAAAGATCTGTGAACTTGTGTCTGGCAAACTATCCAAGTGTTTATATACACAGTCATACACACCTTATAACCTCATTTCCGCTTAACGATGTAACATTTCCCAAGCATTCGTTATATAGAGGTGTTCGATATAGCAAACCCTCCACTTAACTAACACATTTCCCCAGTCCCTTTGCATGTTAAATCGAGGTTCCACAATGTACTTAAATACTTCGATCACTAAAACTCCTTTTAAAGTATATCATACAGCAGAGAAGTTGATAACGGATTTGTTGTTGTTCTTGTTGCAGGAAGACGGAAAGTTATTAATGAAAGAAGATCATTAGGAAAAATAAATATCAATCGTTTTTTTTAAAAAAATGGTGTATTAATTTGTAATAAAAAAAAAAAAAAACTTTTGAACGTCGTTTCTCCTCAGACAACAACTACTCGCACGTCCAAGTTCCTTACAGAGGCGTCTTCTCTATTTTCTAAACAACCATTTTTCGACTAGATTCTGTTTTTTAAGACCAGGGGATTTTTAGATAAAACTTCATTGACAATCATTATCATTAACCTCTCTCATAATATTGGGAAAGGCTTTTCGTTGTGCGTGGTTTGTAGAATCTCGTTTTTGACTCTCTTTTACTATTCATTCTAATTATTATTCTTTAAAAGTTCATATTTCAGTTTATTTGTTGCTTTGGTGCATGTATGTTCTTTCTATCCCCACATAACGGTGACGTGGGATCCTATTCACCACCGGTGTTTAGTTTTCTGTAAGCTAAAAATAAATTTAAGTAAAACCTTCATACACCAGGAAGGGTGGCTTCAGAAAAGAATAAGGCCCGAGGATGATAATTGGTGGTAGAAATGAATAGTCTGTTGAACGTTGTGCTTCCTCTTCGACAACAACTACTCAAACATTAGAGCTCGTTACAAAGCTTTCTCCTCTATTTTTATAAAAACCATTTTTCAATCACTATTGATTTTATTCACATTGAAATGTTGCGAGTTCTTAGGCGACGAAATGAAGAAAATTACTAGCTTTTTCAAGCCAAATGAAGGTGTGTAGTTGTTTTGAGTTGATAAAAGTTTTATATTTTTTCTTTCTCCTTTCGAATCAATGAAATATTCGATGGCAAGAAGAATTACATTACTTGAACAGTGAACGGCCATACTTAGAAATTTTTCAGATCACGTCAGTGTGGTATTTTCTATACTAAAATTGTAATCCCGTCTTTTCTTGCATTGAATCTGAACTGACCGTGTATGTTGGTCGTTTATTAGAGTTATCTGGGACTTCGTCAAAGTCCGTAAGCTCTGCAGAAAAGACGACAACTACTTGCAGTGAAAATGATGAGTTTTAGTTTGACCATTTAACATACAAATACTATGATTTTATTCCTTTTATTCCTTTTTTCGATTTTCAATATGAAAAAAATATTTTCAATTGTCAGCCCTCCCACTTTTCACCTTGCTCCGCGGTCCCTGGATTGTATTATGCTTTAGAACTTTACTTTTCAGCTTATTTGTTGCTTTAACGGAAAAGAGATATCTTGTGCTGCGTGGCCTGGGCATGAGCTGAAAACCGTGGTAAACGGGTCCACACTCTTTTCAACATCCATAGCACAGCATAAAGGAAAATCAAAGTGTCTCCGTAAAGTTGAGGACAGCAATATTGTACGCCGCTTTGACTAAAGCGGGATCCAACCTAGAGAATACTAGCGACGAATTATAGCATGTCACAGTTTGAAAGCTTATCAAAAAATGATGCCTTTACAAATGGTGTTCTCTGGAAAGAATTTCTTTTTTCGACATGACCGAGTATTTTGAAGTCAATGATTAAGAAAATTAACGTTTTGGAAAGTAACCTTTTTACCACCAGTTTTTAGCTTTCTGTTATCTTTAACAGAAAGACTGTTGATTGCATGGTTGAGAATAAACATTAAAAATTCTTAATACACAAAGACGGTTTCCTTCGGAGAAGAATACCAACGGTCAAAATGATAACTAGTGGTAAAATAGAACAGTCGGCTGAATGGTGTTTTTTCTATTCTACTCAAACTGTTTCAACGAGTCAAACGTCTGAACTCCTCCATTTTCTGAAAAACCGTGTTGCAAAAAGCATTTCTATTTTGTATACGTTTGGTGAATTCTTAGCGAAATCTTTGAAAATAACCCATTTAAATTTGTTACTGATAACGGAAAAGGCTTTTCAATGGACGTGGTTAGTAGAACCTCGTTTATGATCCTCCTTCACCATTCATTGAATTATTCTGTGTAAATCAATCCATATTTTAGTTTATTTGTCATTACAAGGTAAAAGAAGTTGAACTTGCTTTGATGCGTGTACTTTTTATCCGCAAATATAACGGTGACGTGGGTGTGTGGACATTCTTTCCAGGATAAAAAACGAAATCTACTGATAAAAAGAAAGACGAACGATTTCGACACCTAATCACCACCGATGTTTACCTTTCTGTAAGCTTGAAGTAAATTTAAATGAAAGCTTTATACACCAAGAAGGGTGGCTTCGGGAAAGAATAAGGCCCGAAGATGATACTAGGTGGTAGAAAAGAATAGTGACTGTCTGTTGAACGTTGTGCTTCCTTTGACAACAACGATTTAAACGTTCGAACTGCTTACAAAGCTATCTTCTCGATTTTCATAAAAAACATATTTCGTCGAGAATTGACCTTATTTACATTCAAATGCAGCAATTTTTTTAGGCTAAACTGTGAAAGATCTATTTCCTTTAAAACTCCTTTTTTATTAAGGGGAAAGGCTTTTCGTGGCGCGGTACGTAGAGTCACATTTTTGACCCTCTTTTACCATTCATCATACTATTCTCAGGTTAACATTCATTGTATTATTCTTTAGAACTTTATTTTTTAGCTCGTATTTGTTTCTATAACTTAACAGTTATCTTTTACATGCGTGACCTAGGTATCCGCTGAAAGCCGTGGTAAACGGGTCCTCACTCTGTCCAACATCATCAGCACAGCATAAAGTTATTAAAGTGTTTCCGTTAGGTTGAGGACAAGCAACATTGTACGCCGCTTTGACTAAAGCGGGATCCACCCTAGAGAGTACTAGCGACGAATCATAGCATGTCGCAGTTTGAAAGTGTCAAAAAATGATGCCTTTAAAAACGATTTTCTCTTGAAAGAATTTCTTTTTTCGAAACGACCGAGTATTTTGAAGTCAATCATTGAGAAAACTAACATTTTAGAAAGAAACCTTTTTACCATCAGAGTTTTGCTCTATAACCAGAGTATAATACCATCAACTGACGTGATACAACTTACCTTGACTCTGAAGATGATCGCACAGGTTGTCGAAACATCAGTAAATGTCAATGTCAACAACAACAGTTCTATTCAGGACTACGGTTACTCGGACGATGAAACTCAACCTACTTTTGAAATGACTCCTGGATTTAAACCTTTCACATGATAATTAGTGGTAGAAAAGAATACAGTCGAACCTCTCGGTACGGACACCTCTCTAATACCGACTCCTCTCTATTACGGACAGTTTCCAGTGTCCCGAGAAATTCTCATATATTTTCTTAAATAAACCTCCATAATACCGACTCTCTCTAATACGGACAACGGACACGAAATCTCGGCCCCAGAGAGTAATTTCATATAAACTTAACCTCTTTATTACGGATACTACTGTGATCAGGTGCCGATCCCGAATCCCGATCAGGTGAATCTGCTCAGGGTGAATCTCGTTTTTGACCCTCTTTTACCATTCTTTGTATTATTCTTTAAAACAATGTTTGTCAGCTTTTTTAACTTAAGAATCATCTTGTACATGTGTGACCTTGGTACCCACTTAAAATCGTGCTGTAAAAAAATAAAGGGTCGACAATCTTTCCAACATCACTAAAAGGAAATTAAATTGTATTTTATCAGTTTGATTACAAGCAATATTGTATGCCGATTCGACTTAAGCAGGACCCATTTTCTTTTCGAAGAATTATAGCATGTCTCATTTTGTTAGTATTAAAAGTTCATGTCTTTAAAAAAAGTGTTTTGAAAGAAAATCTATTCTTGACATGATAGAGTAGGTTTAAGTCAATAATTAAGCAAAACTAACGTTTTGGAAACCTGTTCACCACCGGAGTTTGGCTTTCTAAAGAGCTTTAACAGAACTGACTATCGATTGCATCGGTGATAACTAAATTCAAAACACCCTTCTTAGAAGAGGTGTGGCTTCGGAGAAGAGTAAGTCCGGCCGAAGATGATAAGTGGGAGTAAAAAAGATTATAATAAGATTCCAACACCCTTTTATTTTTCATTTTTTGGATTAACTTTTACAAATATTTGCGTGAACCTTTTTATCACATAAAACGAGAAGGTAAGACGTCCTTTTTTGGCTTCATAAGCAATCGGAAAAGTTGTTTTGGTCAGTTTGCCAACGGCAAGAAAATCTACATCGACTCAAGTTTGCACCCAAAATCAGATATTCATTATTTGAAAAAGGTTCTTTTGAAGGAAAGACTCCATCCATGACATCTACTAAGTTACTATGGGCATTTCACTTCACTCTGCTGCCTACGTAGGTGACAGCGCTGTTTTATTTTTATTCCTTCATTGAGATCCGAGCCAACAGGCGTTAATAAGGCGGCGCAATGAGTAGAAGGACAAGGAGTCTTTATAACATCAGTGGCTTTCTTACAGAGATGGCGAAGACGGCTTAGGACACGTTTTGGTTACCTTTTTCTTTGGCCGAAAGTCGAGACAGCTGACTAAAACTGAGGAAAAGCGTAACAATTAAAATTAGCCCAGGTAATACTGAAAGCATCAACAGCTGTGGCACCAGGTTCTCGATGCCATGAAACTAAACTATCAGACTTGGCATTAAGCCTTGATGCAATAAAAAGTAGATTACATGAACGAAGGTCAAGCCTGCGTTAGGTCATTAACTTTTGAGACCACTCCAAGTAAGATGGATCAAGTAAAGTCTACGGCCAATGGTCTCAATCATCCATAAACCCGTCACAAAACCACTTTCTGATAAAAACAATGGGACCAAGAGGCAATTCTGAAGGATAAATCCAGATTGGTAACGGGAGAATGATTTTAGCCATTGCTGCACCATGGTGGTTCGGTGACAGATTTGCACATTAACTACACCACGGATACGAAATACTGCAAGATCACCATTCAGAAACTAAAAGAACAGCTCATATCACTAAAAATTTTAGGTTTTTTCGTGTAATGCGTGATAAAATAGTTTGTGGGTCCTAGAGAGTCGATTATATACGATTTTAAAACGTGGTATTCCACAGTGCTATGAATTGCCCTCTATTACAACGTTCCCCATGGTATTGTACCCTATTTTTGACTGCTTTCTTAAGTGGAATGTTATTACAAAGCAAAACGAAAATTGAGACTGATCACAGGTTAGCCAACGTCTGCAATCATTCACAGTCGACAGTAAGAGTCGACAGTTAATCTTGCGCAAGTCAAGACAGAAAGATATCTGTTGAAGAGCAGCATTTACCATTTTGCATTCCTCAAGAGTTACTGAAAGCAACGTTTATAAGACCTTGTCAAGGTTATTGACGCCATCTTGAGTAGAACAGTAGGCAAACGTGTGAGAAAATTACAGTGTTTGTATAAGAATCTAAAGTCGAATGATTTCCGTAAAACGGCTGTTCTGAAAAAAATATGAATTGTAAGCAAAGGATTGTACTAAAAAAAAATTTGACGCTCGGTTCCTGCGCTTTGAATTTCACTAGAGGCTTGCTTTAGCTTTTCCATATATTTGTCTGCATGGTCTGTAATAGTAATTTCCCGGACTTTCTTACAGACAAATGTATAGAAAATTTTAAAAAGTGGTTCTACAAGTAGGTCTTCTAGCGCATGTAACACCCTCAATATTTTTCAGTAGAATCCTTAGGAGTGAAGCTTTAGTTTACAGTTCATAATTTTGTTTTTTGGCAGCTAATAACATGAGGGAAATAATGAAGAATTACAAGTCAAGTCAAGTCAAGTCTCTGCTTATATTTTAGAATGAAATATTCTCGAACCTGAAAATGTTTTGCTCTGAGATGCTTAAAATCGAACTGAATCAGTGCATGAAACTTTTCGTTTCCAGTTCTTATCTCACCTTTTCTATGGAATATGTGTGTCCATAATGAATCGGTATATTTTAAAGAGCTATACAAACAAGAAGACTATTGACCAACCACGATACATACAGAGCGGGGGCAGCTGTAGTGCCAACTATTACTAGATAAAGTATGAAGGGGTGCTGCAATATATTTACTTTGTAATAGTCTACAGCTAAAGGTTGCTTCTTTATTTCCGTATTAAAACGGAAATCGACAGATCAGACGCCAACGCGCCTCCTTGTCATGTCATGGTAGCTTGCCCTTGATCATGGAAAAAAAGAATGTGTTATCTTTTTTATGATGGTCAACTCAGTAGTACAATAAATATGTTAGCTTGCTCGCAAATTAAACGCTTTTCTCATTCCAGAAAATCTGAGGAAGTTTATATATTGATTGACATATTTCTTTTCCAATAAATACACCATTATAAATAGTATATATTAATATCTCTTTAAGCCATTTACTCTTTCTCCTCCTCCTCCTCTTCCGTTTCAAAGATCACTTTTTGGACGCCGGTTAATGACATTTCAGCTGTTTCCAGTTTTTTCACTACCAATTTCTTGTGGTATAATGTAGCAATCTCTTCTTCCAACTTTTGGAATTTAGTGTACTGTGCGTTAAGCTCAGCTTCCTCACTACGAATCTTAGTATCTAGCTTTCTTATATGATCGTCCATTTATACTATTGGTTAGATAAATCCTGTAAGCTGCTCAGTGGAATCCAAGACTTAAAGTCGTCACTATAACCCAATCATTTCACAAGAGCTTGTTTTCGGAATACATCTGTTTTGTCTTCAGTAATTCAGGGTCATAAAAGCTCCCTTGTGTATTTCCTCCTTATTGAGATCCTTTTTTAGCTTTAATCATGTTTAATCTGTAGGTGATTGGATTTGTACGTACTTATCCTAACTTTATCACCAACCTTGCACCTAGGTTTAGATGACAATTGCTCCATATCTTCATACAGACTGAAATACACGGCACTTTCATACTTCTTTTACTAACTTCTACAGGTGTCATTTTAATGGAGCTGTGTTTGGTGATACTGGCTCAGTATTTTCGGTAGTATTTTGAGATATTGGGTATTACCCTGGACAGTAAACTGCTTCCACATTTTGGTTTCAATTGTACGGTTCCATCTTTCACAAACACTAGATTTTTCTTCATTCTCAGTTGAGTATAGTGTTATGTCATTCGTTTCCAACAGTTCCTTATGGAACGCCAACACCGTCACGTGTCTTCCGATGAGTATTATATGCATTCGGGACACCATTATGTCTAGTACTCATACCTTTATGAGCGGTCCATCAATGAATATATTGACATATTTTCCTTATATACGGAGTCCATTAACAAATATATTGCGCGCCTACTGTGATATACTTAGTGTATTTTTCATTATATGGCGTGCTTTTGTCGATATGTACAGTGCACGTTTTAATATGTGTTGTCAAAACTTCGTTATATGTGGTTCATTTTCTTATCGTTTGGCTTTACGTTCACTACGGTTGACTGCTTGTGGACCTTAAGGTGGCTCGACTGGATTTTTTGGGGGGGATACCTCCCAAGTTTGAGCATTAACTACGTCGCCATAAGTAACGATATGGGAAAAAGATTACCACAACTGTATTATATAAAGATGAAAATTTCTTATGATCTGGGTTTTATTGCAATCAGAGTCGCCATAGCAACGTAACGACGCCATTACGTTTTTTATTTATCTTTGTGTTTCTCTGTACCAAGAGTTTTTTTAAGAAATCGCTTAAGGGAGTTTGTACCTGCCATAATTGCCTCAATTATATCAAAGTTTGAACAAATTTTATGAGAGCGTTTTCGAAATATTTTGAAACGAAGTTTTAAGCATCATAAAAACAGTGAAATAGCATGCTATAAGCTTTGGAAACGCAGCTTCATCTTATAGTGGTTTGATTCCATTGAAAACTGCGTACAAGAAAAGAAGGGAATTGCTCTGGGCGATCGCGTGTAAGAAGGATTTTATTAACTTGCATTCCGCTGCTTTTGTATAGTTTCTGCACGTAATTTGGCCTATTCCTACAATTTTCGCATTTTTTAAAAAACCGCTCGATAAATTTTTTTTATAAATTTGACAATCCCGATATCAATTGCCAATAAATATACCCTACAAGTTTCAAGAACATTGAAAACAGAGAAGACTTTTAAATAGGGCGTCAAATATAAACAATTTTTCCCCCAGGTTTTGTGTTTACAAGTGAGCGTTCTCATTATTCACTGGCATTGTTTCCAAGTTTCATATGCACGTGCACATTTAGCAAAAAGAAATAAATTTGCATCAAAAAGAGCTCTCGATTACTTTCGGAAGAAATATCCGGAATATGCTAATAACTGGCTTGTGTCACAGATAGCAGTGAGAGCCGAGACGGTGAACGAACGTCACGGCTCATCTTGTAGGATGCAATTCTTAGTTATCTTACTCGAGTTACAACATCACAGAAACTCTCACAAAGAGTCAATGTGATGTTATAATATATCACTAATTTCTTTACCTGGTTATTAGCATGTTCGGGAGATTTAACCGAGGGTCCTTTTTGATGCAAATTCTATCTTTTTGCTAAATGTGCACGTGTATAAGAAACTTGGAAACAATACCAGTGAATAATGAGGACGCTCACTTGTAAACACAAAATCTGGGGGGAAAATTGGTTATATTCGAGGCCCTATTTAAAAGCCTTTTCTGTTTTCAATGTTCTTGAAACTTGCAGGGTATATTTATAGACGATTGATCTCGGGATTGTCAAATTTATAAAAAAAATTTATCGAGCGGTTTTTTGAAAAATGCGAAATTTGTAGGCATGGACCAAATTACGTGCAAAAACAGTAACAAAAGCAGCTGAATGCAAGTTACTAAAATTCTTCTTACTCGCGATCGCTCGGAGCATTTCTCCTCTTTTTTTGTACGCAGTTTTCAATGGAATCAAACCACTATGAGATGAAGCCGAGTTTCCCAAGCTTGTCATTTTCTTAAAAATTTAGCTAATTGTGTGGATAGCATGCTATTTCACTGTTTTTATGATGCTTAAAACTTCGCTTCAAAATATCTCAAAAACGCTCGCATAAAATTTGTTCAAACTTTGCCATAATTGAGGCAATTATGGCAGGTACAAACTCCCTTAAGCGATTTCTTAAAAAAAACTCTTGGTACAGAGAAACACAGAGATAAATAAAAAACGTAATGGCGTCGTTACGTTGCTATGGCGACTCTGATTGCAATAAAACCCAGATCATAAGAAATTTTCATCTTTATATAATACAGTTGTGGTAATCTTTTTCCCATATCTTTACTCATGGCAACGTAGTTAATGCTCAAACTTGGGAGGTATCCTCCCCAGAAAATCCAGTCGAGCCACCTTAACGCAGCATTGAACTCCAGCAGCAATGTTATGAGCAGTACAAAAAGTTTGATCAGCAAACTTTCTGATGATATACCCACAATGCATCGCAGGAATATTAGTTTTATAGTTTGTGGGTCCTAGAGAGTCGATTATATACGATTTTAAAACGTGGTATTCCACAGTGCTATGAATTGCCCTCTATTACAACGTTCCCCATGGTATTGTACCCTATTTTTGACTGCTTTCTTAAGTGGAATGTTGTTACAAAGCAAAACGAAAATTGAGACTGATCACAGGTTAGCCAACGTCTGCAATCATTCACAGTCGACAGTAAGAGTCGACAGTTAATCTTGCGCAAGTCAAGACAGAAAGATATCTGTTGAAGAGCAGCATTTACCATTTTGCATTCCTCAAGAGTTACTGAAAGCAACGTTTATAAGACCTTGTCAAGGTTATTGACGCCATCTTGAGTAGAACAGTAGGCAAACGTGTGAGAAAATTACAGTGTTTGTATAAGAATCTAAAGTCGAATGATTTCCGTAAAACGGCTGTTCTGAAAAAAATATGAATTGTAAGCAAAGGATTGTACTAAAAAAAAATTTGACGCTCGGTTCCTGCGCTTTGAATTTCACTAGAGGCTTGCTTTAGGTTTTCCATATATTTGTCTGCATGGTCTGTAATAGTAATTTCCCGGACTTTCTTACAGACAAATGTATAGAAAATTTTAAAAAGTGGTTCTACAAGTAGGTCTTCTAGCGCATGTAACACCCTCAATATTTTTCAGTAGAATCCTTGGGAGTGAAGCTTTAGTTTACAGTTCATAATTTTGTTTTTTGGCAGCTAATAACATGAGGGAAATAATGAAGAATTACAAGTCAAGTCAAGTCAAGTCTCTGCTTATATTTTAGAATGAAATATTCTCGAACCTGAAAATGTTTTGCTCTGAGATGCTTAAAATCGAACTGAATCAGTGCATGAAACTTTTCGTTTCCTGTTCTTATCTCACCTTTTCTATGGAAT